TCAAATTTAAACAATAATGTGGGCAGGCCCATTCTGGTTGTGGGCCTCCATTCGAGGTCTCGGGAATATGGAAAAACCCGCAGAGGTAGATATTGAAGAGAGAGGGACCTCACCCATCTCTCACACCTCAAGCATCCATATATGGGGAGACAGTGAACAGGGGTGAGTGGGCCGCCCCGCTGCCTGTCAAGTCTACGGGCCAGGTTTAGATTGACTCGGTGGGGAGATTGGGCTGGACCGGGCCCGGCCTGGAGAACAAAAACACATTTGTTTTCTCCACTCCTCAGGTCCATGTGGAACGAGTAAAATATGCGACGTGGCAGGAGAAAAGGGCTGATGGGGCCAAAAATACTAGGTGCACTTTCCAATGGATCCTAGGAATATCTTCTATTTTGGAATTTTTGAATTATATATGTATTTTTTTTTAAGATACAAATACAATTCTAGAGTATGGGTGGGGTGATAGGAACCAGCAGTGACATTATTTTGGGAGCATTCTACTCGAAATTAAAATGTTCTCCGTCGGTCCCTTTCAACATACTGTCTCTCTTGGATCATATCAAACCACGAACGATACCAACTGCGGACGATGCGGATTCAATAATATTTCTACATTCCTCGTATAAGTGGCCCAGGCCCAATTAAAATAAAACAACAGTGTCTGTCTGTGCGCCTGGGGCTAGGAGCTGAAAATATTTTCTATTATAATTTTTTCGCGGGCCTGGGTCAGAAGAGGAGGATCAGTAGTTAGGCTGGGGCGAGCTCGGGCAGATGGAATCGGATGTAGGTCGGGCTTGGACCTAAAAATTTCGGTCCACCTCATCTCTAACATGAATACCCGAGAATTGAGGGGTTCAAGTCTCAATGGAGGAGATCAGTCTTTCATCAACCCTCGGGTTCGGTCACAAGGTGTCCGCATTTTGAATTCTTTCAAAACCAAAATGTGAAAGATGGGTGAAGTCCGACGTTGCTCAATTCCTTCCCGTGTTGTTTTCTTTCGCTGACATCAGTCTTAGTTTACGGTGGAATCAGTGATTATGAACCCCAAAGTGGAATGATGTACCCTTGGAACAGCAAGGTCCCCTAGCCACAGTTCGCAAATGGTGACATGCATAACCACATGTTTCCTTTTATACCGTCAAGGTCTGGAATGGACGATGGGGATTGTCCAGGGAATGCATGTGATGACACAGATGAGAGCGCAACGAGTGAGGACATATAGGGTATCAAGTGAACGAGTGAGGCGTAAAGGCAGGAGAGAGGAGAGGAGAGGGAAGGGGGGAGAGAGAAAGAGAGAGAGAGAGAGAGAGCGAACGCATGGCAAAGTGAGATGGGGAAAGCATGTCTGGCATGTCATCCATATGGGGATGCTTTCGCAAAGCATTATTGACCTCGGGAAGGAAGAATGTAATACCGGGTGGCGCATAAAAAACGTGCCGAAAATTTTTGTGGTTGTTTCTCAGCTTCCAGATGAGGCAGATGCGTACAAATCACACAACTTATACATCTATCTTTCCGAACAGGGTCTCAGTTGAAAATGCTTCAACAAGGTTATTTGGATTTCCTAACTGTTACTGGGGTGACGTCACATTTGGTCAATCTATCAATTATGCATAGTTTTCCTAGGGATGAGGAGGTCTGACAAAAAGGTGCTCATGCTCATTGATCTCATCGATACTCCGGTGGGGGCTTCTCAAAATATACTGCTCAGTTACGGGTGAAACGTGAGACATGGAGTCCTAATACAACTTCTCACACTCCTCAGTGAGGAGTGTGAGAAGTTGTATTAGGAGGGACCGAATTGCAGAGCGGTTCTTAGTTTAGAAGGCACTATCGCGCTTTTCAATTGTACGCTTTAGTGGAAATCTTTCGTACAATCAGAGGGGTTAACCATCGTCTTCGGGTGATGCACGTCGGCGTTTTTCGTTACAACACCCAATCTACCTGTACTGCTACCTTCCTTCTTTATTGGTTAACCTCATTGGATTACAGACTAGGGTCTCAAGTTTCTTTTGATAAGTTCACCTCACCCGTATTTCAAGATGATGTCCTCCATTGTCTAAACATTTCTGTTTACGATTCTAGAATTCATAAGTTGCACGGATGAGGAGATTTTCCGGCATTATTTGCAATGTTTTGGTGAGTCTTCCTTGCAGGAGTTCAAGATTTGTAACTTTCACATTATGCACGGCTAATTTTATATGACCCAAGTGGAAAGTATTTTGGGGACAGGTCAGTTGACCTTCGGGTTCATAGGATATGGCCACTCCTACCTATCCTGGGAAATGTCCAGTTCAGAGATATATGCCTGAAAAACTCTAGAACTCTCCTAGAAAAACTTGGGCGGCCAAATGGGGTTGAAAAAATTTCAGTTTCAATTTAATTATTTTCTTCAAGTACGACCATGAAAGTAGTAGATTTGTTGAACTCAATCTACCGCATCACAACTTGGGACTTTTCTTGGAGAGTTGCCGTTTTAAAAATGGAACAAGCTGATCGTATGTTCGAAAACCATACGAAACCACACAGCCCTCCCTGTACAGCGTAATTATGATAGTTGTACTTGTTTTGACCTCCGCTTGCTCCATGTGAATGTTCATTAAATTCTGCATAGAAACCCCTCTTTTCAACTATCAACTGAAAATGGTTTATGTCTCATCCTCTCTTAACTCTTTTAGTGACAGAGTCGATTAGATCTGCTAAAAACTAAAGTGAGAGGATAAACATGACCATGCACTCTGGCAAAATGCATTTCTTAATCCTTTTATTGCCCGCTCTTTGACTCTGGCACTTTTAAACGAAATTCGCAGCGTCGATCTAATCAACTCTGGCACTATAAGGGTAAATATTCTCTGCAACATGCCAACTCCAGCGCGTGGAACAACTAAAATCTCTTGCGCAACCATCCAGCACAGACAGAAATAAGGAGCTGGGTCTGTTCCCCAAATACCACGGATCTATCTACACAAGTAGCACGGATTGTCGGCGTGCCGTAGGTAATAAGAATATTCGGAGGACAAAATAAATTTTCGGTTACTAGCTAAAAGTAGAGATTTCCATGTAGAATTTAATACGTTTTCACTTGACCTCCACAACTACTATGGTTTACGCTGCAATCGGAGGACTGTAGTTTTGAACTGTCTCGTACTCTGTTGGAGATGATAGCTTGATATGTAGTACACACATCACTTTACGCCTGACAATATTATTCGGGAATCCTCTAGATCAGGGGGTCGGGAACCTTTTTGGCTATGTGAGCCATATTAAGATTTAGCTAAGTGCTTGTGAGCGAAAGATTTTCAGAACATCAGAATATCTTCTGAAGTTGGCAACATACGCATGCATTCTTTGATGCATGAGAAAAAATGTGGAGCAACCATGATTTTCAGTCATGACTCAATGAGAAAAACCTTTTAGTTCGTGAGCCAAATTTCGTCGGGAACCTATGGCTCATGAGCCATAGGTTCCCGACCCCTGTTCTAGATAAAAGCTCAAATCCTGCTTTAATGTGTCCTGAAGTTTTCCTGGGGATTGCAACAAGACTCCTGACATTTAACCAATATTTCGACATCTCCACTCTTCGGTAATGTTTACCAAGTAGACTCATAAAGCAATAATAAATATTCCATTTCATCCCTCGAATGCTCGTGGGGTTTTGTGACAAAATGCATAAGAATAAACCAAAATTATTTTTTTCCAAGGACCATAGACAAATTTATTAATCCTATTTTGGTCTATGATCACCAATCAATCAGACCCTTTCAATTGGGCGTGCGACTGCAGATGGTAGCATTCTGGGTCACATCCCAAGTCACATCCCATCCTAGATCGCATCCCAGGAATCCCTGACTACGAGACATACATGGCCCGCAGAACGGAGAAACAAGGTGGGGCTATTCTCGTTCGGAACCAGTTTCGTAAACACGTTGCTCAGGTCCACTCACAAATCGAGAATGACTTAGAATGTCTTCTGATCACTATCGTCCCAAAATCAAGAATCGGCTCAACCACAGCCTTCGTATACGTCCCACCGCAAGTCGACAATAGGAAAGCAATCGCCCAGCCGGAATACATAATGGAAACTAGAACAATAAGAATACAACGTCCAAATGGATAGTAGCTGGAGCCTTCAACGCTTGCTTCCAGGAACTATCTGGCTTGAAGAAGCATGCACGGAATCCGACAAGGACAAGCAACACAATCGATCTTCTCTTCAGTAACATCAAATACTGCGCCACTGTCCTTGCACCCATTGCTAGCAGCGATCACCCCGCTATAAGATGCGGGTCTAGACCTGGGAATGACCTTAAATACCCTTAAAAATGGAGAGTGAAATTCAAATGTCGCAACCTTACGGAAGCGACCTGCGAACACGACGAATTCGCCTCGACAGAATGACTGGTGTTCTAGGAACTGTCACGATTGCCACGTATATGTCCTTCAGAGCAATATTGCATTCGTGCAGGAAATGCACGTTCCACTAGAATTAGGAACTAGAGTAAACGTACGACCTTGGATTGCCTCAGAGCTTATGAAGCGTGTGCGAGAGAAAAATGAGCGCGCCATCTCTGGGGACACTCAGAAAGTTGCTGAACTGACATCCTATATTCGTATATGATGTTCTACTCTATTTCTTTGCCCGGAGACAGCTGTTTTGAATTATTTTTATAGAAATTCCATTCCATTAGACTTGGCCTGTGATGGTGTGTCCGGTTCTTCTGAGAAGGAGATAAACTTGATGGATTGCGTACTAGCTTGCGATAAGCATCAATTGCGATCAGTTTATTTTTCCCTTAAACTAATCTGGGAAGATAACCCATTCACAGCAGGTTGCTCTCCTTAAACGCATTCTCAGAGGTATTCAATAGTTTATCTTGCCTATGTGCAAGTATTACAGTTCTTCTCTTGTGTTACAGGCTGATTCTGGGATTCATAAGGATTCATTGATTCGTTAAGACGATGGGGACGCAATCGATCCCAACATACCAGTGGATAGTTTTCTAAAGGGAAGGAGACTTACCGACGACCTTCGCGGCGACCTGGTCGAGATGAGGAGAGGCCAGGAGAAGAAGATTTGCGACCTTGTTAACGGGGACGAGGGTCAAGTCTTCTCCGGATGAGACCGACCCCAAAGGGGATCGGTGAATCCCTGCATCCACCTCGTCCATCCCCAACACTACACACATCCATCTCGATTAAACTCTCTCATATAACTTGGATTGAGATACTCTAGAATGCCTACATTCAGACTCATCCAACTCACATTTGGTGTGAGAGAAGGAGGAGGCACTAGACTCATAGGCATTAGACACTAGCCTCTTGTCATCTTCCTTCCATGACAACTCCGACACTAGACACGAAGAGAAGGAAAAAGAAGGAAAACTTAGCCCTTAAAAATTCTGATTGCATTGCGGGAGTTGGTTAATTGGAGAGTTGGTTAATTACGATATGAGGAGGAGTGAAAGTCGTGAATGGCGGGTTTCGGAGACTCCAACTCCGTCTGTCTCCAGGTCTTCACCTCTTCCCCTGTAGTTGGTGGTGGTGTTGAGCCATCTATATTTACAACATATATACAGGTGTTAGGAATGAACTGTCTGCTACTATCGTTAAGGGTTGGTATAATTCAGCTCACAAGCATGAGTATTCCTTGTATCTTCTTCCCTACTCCAGTGCTGATCTACCATCCATCAATGGATTAAAGTGTTTTTTATTATTCCTCCAATCTCCATTATATGAGGTATGATCGGAGGAGTGAAGCTCACATGCATTTTGGACGTGGGGAGTAGTTAGATAGTCAGGTGAGTTATCACCATTTCTCCATCTCCTCCTTTCCCTCTCCCTGTCCCTTTCTCTGTCTTTTTCTCTGTCTCTCTCTCTGTCCTTCTCTCCCACTCCATCTGATTACATCAAATTCTCTTTATTCCCGTCAGACAAGTAACTGTTTCAGGCAGGCCACAATCAACAGATAGAGATTATGAGGATGAATATCGGTGGACTGAAAAAATAGGGAAGGATGAACTCTTTCGGAGTTCCTAAGCGAATGCGAGCTGTGAAGGTGGGGAGTTGCATCATGGTACGTTATTCCTACTATATCAATTCCCTGTAATTTTTCTTCGAATCCTCTTTCTTAGGTGACCCATCGCCGCCAATGAGGTCCATGGTAAATCATACCAAAGATGAAGTCTCCATTTCACCCATCTCTGCTGGTCACCGAAGGCGAAAAGTTTGTTATCCGAGAGAATAGCCATCGTAGTTTCTCTTAGAGTCACGGTGAAAGATCGTTTCCACCATCGACATCCAATAAATAACAATGAGGGGGGGATGAGAATGTCTCCATCTTTCTGAGCACCCTTGTGAATACCGTATTTCCATTGTGCCGATTCTCAGAGGCCAAAGAGTCGAACTACGATACAGATTTTACCATGTCAATCGCAGACGCGATTGAACTGCTAAATGATCTATCTGTAGTGAGGTTCGTGACTCAAGCAAAGACAGCTCGTCGCGCATCTTGTGAGCATTGGAGAGAGGGAAAGGTGTTAAATGTCTTTCCATTTCAATGGACGTCCAGTTTGACATGACCATGCCGTTCCCGGGGCTCAATTTTTTCTTGTCATGCTTTCGATGCGTTGCATTGAAGTCGAGAGTGAGGATTGGGATAAAGGAAAGAACTCACGAGTGATTTTCTTGTCAGCTGCACGCCGATGGTGAGACCTCCTCTTCTCCTCCTTGCTCATATCCCCGATCCGCAGGGAAAAAGGAGAAGCTGCAGCGAGTTTACCGTTTATTCATTCCCGATCCAAACCAGTTGCAATCGAGAGGGAAGAGAGGGAGAAAGACAGACCTTTCAGTTCGATGCCGTTGAAATAAACGTAGACTCGGTATTTCCCTGGTTGCTCGGGGACGAAGGTGACGCGGGAAAGTTTGGGATCCCCTCCTTCTAGTGTGGATTCGAGGAAAGGGATGGATCTCCCATTGTGGACAATGTCAATCCGAGTCTCTCCCCACCCAGCATCCCGGCTGTCCACTCGGAAACTCATCTCTCGTCCTGGAACACCTCCCCCTTCCAAGTCTAACACCTAGTTTTATATATGGGTCGTTGTAATCATCATCATCATCACCAACCTGCAACACCTTCACATTTTCATCAGAAGATTGCTATTTTTATTACGACCTTTGTCAGTTCGATTTTAACGCTCGAATCGTGAAGCTCTCTCAGTATTATTATCTCATTATCACGAAAAATGCAAATAAAAGGAACAAGAATCAGTTGCTTTGTAACCCCCACAGTACCTTTTCTCCTTTAAACTAAAAGTCTGCGACTCACTTTACCCGTCCATAAGGACCATCAGCGTAGGCAGAAGGAGGGAGGCTCAAGGCGCTCGAGCCCTTCGTTGGTCCGGTGGAAAAATGTCATCCTCCTATCTTTGGTTGCGAGAATTTCAACAATTCTTAAATTTTCAATTACATTTTCCTACCAGAAGGGACAAGTGACCGAAATGGCTTTTGCGCTCGCCGCTGTTATAGGCAAAAAAAGGATGATTATTTATTTTCCAACATTTTTGTACCCAACTGGACACACTCATTCGACGGAGATTTGTAGCAAAATGTGATATTTAACACTGTAAGCATATCAGCACACGAGTCTCACTGCCTATGAAGTAAATGTGTTTCACATTATTTTACGAGTGATTAACACGTTCGATCCGATAGACGTAAATGCACGTCCAGCCCTAACAACCATCGGACGACGGTAAACGTAATAGTGCGTCCTAAGAAAAAATTTCAAATAATTGTTCACAACAAAATAGAGAACGTATATTTCAATATACAACAAAGAGCGAGTCTCTAAAATTTTGCGCTCCGAAGTTATGAATTTGTTTGTAGACCTCCAAAAACTTCAGTCACATTCCCTCAGGACCGAAAGTGTTAAGGAATACTTGGACTGCATGTTCCATGTGATGTACAGAATAAAGATAAAGCAAAGTATTTATCTCATCAATTTATTTTATTGCCAATTTAAAAGGAACTGTAAACGCTACGCTTGTATACAGCAAACCTCTGAATATGTTCTTCAATGCTAACCAGTTGGAAGAAGCCTAGCCAGCAAGTAATTGCTTCCATCGAAGTCGCCGTTTAAACATTTTTGTTTTTACCACTCAAAATAACGATCTGATTGGTTACATTTTCCTCATTTCAGTTTGCTAAATTCCAAGTTCTTGTCTTCACAGGTGATTGTGAATATTATTGGTTTAGGCATTTGAGGTTATGTGCATTACGCTTTTTAATTTTCCTCATTTTGTTTCAATACCCAGCTTTGGTGCGTGTCTAATTGGACCCATCTTGACTGGTCGATACGAATTTTCTTTTACCAGTCGGAATACGATTGGGGAGGTCATGGCTACTTGCAGGACTTTTGGGTGCGCAAACTTATTACAGTATAATGTAGGGGAGTCACAATGATCCAATGATGTCAAGGCTTCAAATATTAATATTTACATGAAATGAAAATATCCAGAGTGAAAGTAGTTTTTTTATTTTACCTTTTTTAAAAAATAAAAATCACAAGTATTATGGCTAACATGTTCTACTGCATTGCCAGACAAAATATAATGTGAATAATTTTAATGAATGATGGATACTTGTAAAAAAAAAATGAATTGCAGTAGCGTCATTCATGCTCATGATGTCAACTATTGATCAGTTTGTACAAAATTGGTTGAGTATTCCATAGCAGTATTCCCATTAGAGATTGAAGCTCGGTCAAGGTGACCCCGTGGCGAAAAGGTTTACTTGATTTATGCGGGAAAAAAATTAGTGTATTTTCCTCCGTATCGGCCCTAATGAGAAATTCTAATTGGAAACCAGCCTGGACCTAGCTACATTTTCCTGTTATTTCCCAGTTGGAATGGGTCTGAACTTACAGCTGTGGTCCAGCTGGAAATAATAGCTCGAATCATGAACTGGGTGGCAAGCAGAGCCATCGTGGAAAGCGGTCTAAAGGGCGTTTCACACTTTGCGTCAAGCGTCTTTTGCGTCAATGCTGGGGCAAGTAGGCAAAACGCACGCGTGCACACGCATGTCCACTTACATCGAAGGTTTTCACAAAACGCAAGGCTTGCATTTTCAATAGAGCCCATCCCAATTCCATTCGCAAGCCTTGCGTTTTGTGAAAACATTAGAATGACTTTGGTCCTTTGGACTCCTTTGGAGCGGGATAGGCCCTTCACATTTAATTGGCATAACCAAATTGCTGGGCCCACTTGGCGATACAGCTGGCCCTGATGAGGACCTTTTGGCCAACGTTTTGCGCGGTCGCTATTGGGGCTGAGAGGCCGGGAAACGGCGTTCAGTTTCCGATGTAGTGGCATTAGTTCGCGTTTTGAGCAATTACCAGGTAATTGTCAGGTTCGCTTAACGGGGAGGGCCACGAGAAGGCTGCCACAAAACATTAGAATATAAGTGGACATGCGTGTGGACATGTGTGTGCACGCGTGCGTCTGCCTGCCTGCCCCAGCATTGACGCAAAGGACGTATGACACGCGAAGTGTGAAACGCCCTTAACCCTTTCAAGGGCCAGTTTTTTCACACCTTTCAACACCTTCAGAAAACATGCCCCTTCAGAGTATTTTTGTTCATGTTCTTCATGTATGTGATGTAGACACTTTATATATAATATATATATGCATGTACACAAATTCTCGACTTACCGGTACCGTCTAGGACGGCTTATACGGCTTATACGGCCCGTCAAAGCGCTAAATTTTAATACCCATATATGGGTCCATGCCCGCGAATAGGTTAAGGAGTGCAGGGTGAAGAGAGGGAAACGTAGTAGCTGTTATTCATTCTTCAAATTTAGTTTGATTTTCTTCTTTTCTTCTTCATTTTCCCATTGCGGCAACATAATTGGTGCCATGTGCCGTGTTGGGCACGCGTGCCATAGGTTCGCCATCACTAGTTTGTACACTGGGTTCTGCGTTTTGGAGAATATGGGTTTTTCTCTTTGGAATTTCATTTTTAATTCTCTAATCATCTAGTTTTTCAACATGGAACAATTTCACAAAAAAAATAACCTCGATAAACCAAGAGATTCAGGGTGAAGAACGAATCTCGAGAAATTGTTTTCGAATGCCATGGAGAATAAATCTAAAAAATGTGGAACTCTACCTATAATACCAAGAAAGTATGATGCTGCATACTTGTTAAGTGACACCTGCAGGAGGAAACAGGAACGCCCACTTACCTCCATCTCTATCAGTTCTCGCTCCCTACCCACAGGATGCCCATATTAAACCTATTAAAATATTTTTTCTGTTTTTGATCGGCAAATGCCGATTCGTATACCATGGGCTCCGTCAGCTACATCAGAGAAAACTTTTGAGCTTTTCCTTACATGACGATGCAAAATTCGCACTGTCCCATTCCAGAGACTAACGCAATTGAAAGTGAGTTGCACTATTTGATTACCAAACAGAGAAGGGAAGTTCACCCACCCCTCTAGTTTCCAGATCCTAGTTCATATATTACCAGGAGAGTGACTTCCTAGGCTTAAAACTTGCATATCGTGGCAGCGAAGGCATTGTGAAAAAGATAAAGTTCGGGATTTAGTGCGACGAAATTGGAAAATCTTTGCCTTCCCATCTGATTTGGGGATTAACAAAAGTTTGCTCATGAGGGTCAATTATCGATTATATACCGATTTGATCATTCAAAAGGTGGATGACATGAACATATCGAAAGTTAACCTTGACGGCATTGGGGTCGTAGACGAAGCAGGAGAAAGGGGAAGATTCGATGTGTTCTCCCTCGTAGGTGATGGAGATGTTCCATTCCCCAGCCTCCTGGGGTTGGAAGGTGGCCATGTGAACCCCCTTCCCCCTGTCCCTCCCTTGATCCTCATGAAGCTGAAAGGTGGCCATGTAATCCCCCTTGCCTCCTCCGTCCTTCTCCTCGTGAACGGGACAACTTATTTCCTTCCCACTTGGACTTGTCGCCAACACCTCGATCTCTCCTCCCCGAGCCCCATTCGAATTTATCTACGAGGAAAAACACGAGGAATCTGGTGAGTGGGCGGGTACACGTGGAAAAAGGAAGGAACCTTTACTAAAAAATGCGATTTGATTGCATATCATGGCAGTTAGATTGCAATCGAATGCAAGCATCATACATTGACATTCAATTATATTGCACTGAGGTGGGTAGTTTTAATAATGAATGCGGTAGAAATGCAATTCCTTATTCTAATAAAAACACTAACAGTTATCAATGATAATTTTTGCAGTGCTAGGATTCACATTGCAAAATTAGCGGTTCCGATGTATTACATTTTTATTACAATAATTTTTGACAAGGGAAGGTAGAGGACTGACGAGAACTTCGACGATGGATCCGACAGCGCAGGGGGCAATGCCGCCGCCGCGGAACTCGGGTGCATCTGGTGTGACCCTGACGTTGATGGGACACCCGCTGGCCAGCTCCCCCTCGTTCTTCACCACGATCTCATGCATCCCCATCTGGGTGGGGATGAAAGTGCCCCGTCCCCCAGTAGAAGAAAATTCCAATTTGTAGTCGACGGGTTTCCGCCGGGGGCCGAGGATCTCCACGGAGATCTCCTTGGGATCCAGGTCGGGGGAAAGAAAGTCCATCTTGAAGGTGACGGGGTGATTGACCTTGATGTGGCGGACGTCGCAGGTAACGTGTAGTCGCTCCCCGGGACATTTTCGGGCTGGGACCCAGAGATACCGTGCCACGTACGCCATGGGCCCCAGGTGAGTCAAGCCCGGATCTGCCATCTCCTTAGCCTTTAGCAACGGCTGAACGCCCAGCTTCTCTCCTCCAGCAAATGCTATCGCACGGCAAATGCCAAGAAACTACGTAATCGTTGGGATCCACATGTCCATAAGGGTAGGAATTGGAAAGTTCAAGTCACGGCGGGGGGCAAATAGTTCTGAATAGGCCGCAGGTGGGGTTACAAAAATGCACATGCTAGAACTCGATCCGCTCGTCAGAGACATTCATCTAACTGGATAAAGGCGAGGGGGCCCCCACACCGGGAAAAGGGGCATTTGTCACCCCTTTGTTGTGCACGACCAATGGCGTATTTTGGTTGAAGAGTCAGGAGGACAGGGCAGCAGAATGGAGGCGCCAAACCTCACTCGAGTGATATCAGGGGGGGAAATTATTACCTCCAAGGGGGTGCCTGGGCCCTGCTCTCCCGTAAAATAAGGCAAAAGGCTGTGCACGACCGAGGGATGGGTCTTCCATCTCCCTCGCCTTCAACAACGCCTCCACCCCCGAATTCTTCTCTCTCAGACATGCTATTGCATTCCATTTTTATCTCTATTCACATTCCCATGTAAATCATCCCCTCGAAGCTTCAGTTTCAGTGTGGAAACCTGCGGACGTCAAACACCAAAGCAACCCTACACCTTCCTACAGGCAAGTGAGATCCTTTCAAAACCTGGGAGCAACACAGCCAAAGGCAGTATGAGGATTTCAGGTCACAACATTGGAGTCTTATAACATAAAAGAGAAACGTACACGCACCAAAGTAGATCAACTTAATTCGCGGGAGGGAATGAGATCAGCTAGCATGAGAAAACTGCCTAGACAAATCACTTCATTGACAATGGAAAACATGAGAACGTATCTCGCCTGTCTTGTTGGCGTCGGAACTCATTAAATCTTTCACCACGATTACGGTTGTTTTCTCTTTGCTTAACTGTGGGATCGGTGTGATGAGGATTCCTACGCCAGAGAAGTCGTCGGGCAAAGAGGTGAAGTTCCGTATGTATCTCATATCCTAAGGTATCTCATAGATTGTCCTTTTCATTCGACTTTTCCTATGTGAGTCACTACAGGCCTAGGACGGATGGGCCTATCTTCATTTTTCATTTTTATTTAACCCGTCAGCAACACGATCTCATTTCGTAACAAGGACAAAAAGAACATGTAAGGACAGTTTTAAATTGATCCATTGAAAGGAAAACAGGGAAAGTGCATTGAACCTTTTTCGAGGTTGGATTCCCAGTTTTGTGGGTCCCGATTGAGTTTGTCGTATCCAGGGATGGGTCCACCGAGGCTCCGGACCAAGGAACACAATCCGAGACCGTCGTTCCAGTCCGTCTAAAATACATTCCACAAGATATGTGTTAAAATTAGGGCTGTACCGATAGCCGATTTTAACCTCATATCCATCGGCCGTACCAGTGCCGATTGTCGTCTGAAAATTGAGAAGTAACATAAAATTGCATACAACAAATAGGCCTATTTAGAAACCATGTGATACTTGTCAGGGGTGCCCCTAAAAAGGATAAAGACCATATTTAGTACTGTATGTCTGTATCCGTCAGTGGTTAGCTAGTTACCAATTGCTGCTGTCAAGAGCGTTTAGCGACACATCTCTCGCAAAAGCATAGCATAATAGGCGGTGCAATGATTTCCCGTTCTTTACCGCTATTTTCCTCCGCCAGTTCCTAGAATAGGGCTGAAATCCTATTGATATTTTTCGAGTTCACACGTTCACTCTAATTTTTTTTTATCGTAAGTTTTGCCTCTCCTTTAAACATCGGCATCTGCAGCTTGCAAACATGCCGATGGCCTATGGCGCCGATAATGTAACACTGCCGATACTGATGGTAGATGATACATCGGTATAATCCTAGTTAAAATGAACCGAGAAAGCACGACGGTGGAGACTCGAGGGAGAGGGACTCACAGTGAAGTTGCGGAGGAGGACATTCGGGATTTGTTTCTGAGCCCAGTTCAAAGTAGCGTAATATCCCGGGCTGTTTTCTTTTAGGAAATACGAGATGTAGGTCATCCCAGACAATTCGTCTAAATATGGAGAGGCCAAGTATTCCGGTTCCAGGACCATCGGGATCTTGAATTCCCTCTTCGCCAACTCCATTGCTCGACGGCAATTTTCCACCCTATATCCAATCCATCAAAAAGCAGGCAATGGTAAAACTCCAGAAGTCACGCATATTTGACGATTTAACCAGAGCTCAGCCAAGAAAAAGTCAATGGACTGGAAAAAAATGTGTCAATCTTCATCATGATGGGTTACTTTTATTTCTTTCGCTCTCTGCGGACTGATACAGTTTGAATGATATTGAATGAGTTTGAATTGTAGGGTGCCTTTTCCTGTACTCAACTGAGGTGGGAGAATAACAACAGAAGACATCTAAAAAAAAAAGTGAATCAGAGCAAGGTCACTCTTGTGAAAGTGACGACCGACTTTGATTGGTCAGAAAGTCCCAACAGCAACGAACTTGTAATATTCGTGGTATAAAAAAAGGGCTGGGGCATTGTGAAAACCCATGAAAAATTGCATGGGCTTCTATGAGGAAGAAGAGATGAGGGAGAAGGATCTCCTCTGGGGTTGCTGGCTACCACTTTTCATCTCCCGTTCCTCATAGAGGCGAATATTAAAATCTCTTATCGACATCCGTATTGTCCCAGGATTTTTTTCTTCACACGAGGGCATTTACAATGAAGAAAGACATTGAAAAGATAACAATTTGAATAACATGATAACAACAACATGTATATAAAATAATGTAACGAAAAGCATATTAGAGCTTTATAGCGGAAAACTGACCCATCCCGAGGATCGAGTTGTCTCCAATGCGGGAAGAGACCCGGCTTGCAGTAATCCAGAAGAGCAGATAGAGTCTGGCCACTGTTCCAATCCGTCGTGAAGTTCGTCACCTTGCAGTCTGGTAGAACTGCCTATTTTTTAAATCGATACCAAAAATCATGATTCCACATCAAGTAAGAAGGGAGAGGAAGCTGTGCTGTTCTGGACTCATACCTGAAGCCAGGCAAGCATGAGTTTCTTGGGCGGGAATTTCGTCCTCCCGATCTGATATCGAAGGATCAGAGACCAAATGAGTCCCAAGATAAGCTTCAGGTTTCCGTTCACGATATCTTCGTTGCCTGTGAAAATCCGTAGGAACATTATACGTTGAGCGCTTTCTTTTTTTTTTCAAGTGGAGAATCTAGTGGAGGCGCAAGTGCTCGAGCAGATTAAATCAGTGACGTTCGCATCCTACTAGCAGGGGGGGGGGACTTAAGTTCAAAATCTCTGGTGTTCATCAAATCATTGAAGTCCTGAATTTTTACGACAGCCCCTGTCGGATCGGCCGGCAAACGAGAGTCCAGTTTCGGGTAGGAGATTTGATTTAATGCCGCCACGACGCTCTCGACTTCACAAAGGCCATCTACTCTTCCAGAATTTCGATTCTGATGGACTGACCGATGTTCACGAGTTTGATTCCATCGGCTTCGATCGCATTTAAGGCGAACTGGACATTCTCCAGGTACTGATGGTGGTTCATGGGTCGGGGGATCTTCTTCATCCTCTTCTTCTGTAAGGCTTCCACCAGCGCGATCAGCTTCACGCCGTCGGCAAAGTCCGTCTCCAGGTTCTGCACCACCAGACCTATCATTAGAAAGAAGCAATCACGATTCCGTTCATGTGATGTGGTTGAAAAGGGGCAGAGCATCATTACAGCCGACAGAACTACTTCCTTTCACGTTGAAAGGGTGACGCAATTCGAGTCAAGCCCTCTATTGTGTTCTTTCGTCGGTATTAGAAGGTAGTCCTAATACAAGTGCCGTAGAGTCCTCAGTCTCATATCTACCTACTTTTCCATTGTCAAATGTGGAATGTCAATATAGAAATGCAAGTGATTGGAGGCAATGCGGGAATTGGGCATGTGCACGGGGGCCGGAAAATCTCGCGAGGAAAGTCGGTGAAAGTCATTGAAAGGGAAAACTAGTTTAAATAAACATGATAAGAATATTTTATGGCACCCACGTGAGAATCCCATATGGGCATATGCTGTCATCAGAGAGGCTATACGACACCTATGCGGAAGCAGCTGTTGAATAGAGCGAAATACGCCCCCGAAGGCGCTGAAAAAGAAAAACGGATTCATCGGTCACGATCCCCAGAATCCCATGCAGAGAAGGATCAATGGCTCCGATGCCGTGTTATCGCAGAGAAGGGGTGCAGGTCTTCCCTTTGTGATTCTCCGCCATAAAAGGAGAGGGGGAGATGTTTGTCCCTTGACCCAGTAAAGGGAAGCAAAGAACCAACAGGTTCTAAGCAGAGTTACGCAAAGGATGACGCAAAGGCACGTTGGTATCTCCTCTCTAACCCATTCCTTTCCATTGGTAAAATATCAAGCATTTCTTGAAATGCAAGAGCGCACGATCGGAAGTGAGGGAACGATGGAAATTAGGACCGAATAAGGAAGGCGAAGATGTGTGACGTCATCCGTCCTTGAAAATTTTCTATGCGTGTTCTCCCGGCCCCACCCATGGAGAAAAGCCAGTCGGGCATTGACTGCAATAAATACCATTTCCCTCACTAACCCCCCCTCCTCTCCGTACACCCCTACGGGTATTTGTTTCCAATGGAGGAATGGCGAAGACTCAAGGCATACGTGCATTCAAGTCACTAGACTGACAGATCGTAAACAAAGCCACACGTGCTGCAATTTACGAGGCCAGGGGAACGCAGCATTTTTTTTCCCATTTAGTTTTAAGTTTTCATTATAGCTATTTTAACTTAAATTTTTACCAGCTGGTCGAAGTTGCTCGTTGACCCAGTTTCGGAAGGTGTGTGCTTGGATTTCGACCCAGACGTCTTCGTGTCCCTTGATTTGCATGCCCCGTGCTGCATGGCCTTCAGGGCTTCGTGCCACCAGTCCACTGTGCGAAATCCGTAATTCCTCTTCCTTCCCGGGGGTATCCATTGCCATTCGCACGGTCAACGACGAAAAGAGCGGGTTTATGGAAGGAAAGCGGCACAGATGCGTATGTTATGTCACAAGAAGATAGAGAGTCACAAGGGCTGGATCTCGACTGCATGCCCTGCCCTCCACCACTCACTTTCCCTCTCACACTCTCTTGCAAGGTCTGTTGATCTTAAGCTTCGTCCCACTGCTGACACCTGTCAGACCGCCGATGAACTATGCCTTTCTTGTGATCGGTCAGAGAGCAGTGAATGAAGCTGCAATTTCAACGTCACGTTTTCAGTATGGCGGACTCCTAGGATCCAAGCGTGATCATGACCTGCTTAAAGTTCCAAGGTTGTCTCGCTGGTGCCTTGATTGGGGATGCTCTTGGTTCCATTTTCGAATTTAGCTCGAGAGGGTCTCCGGCCGACGTCCACAGTTTCTTTAAAAAACTTCAGAAAGGTGAACATTACTCGAGGTAGGCCTAGGGTTAGACATATGATAGACTTAATATGATAATCCTAACAGATTTCACGTCATTCAAAAGCTACTGGCTCTTTCCAGGTTAAAACCCCGCTTACATGGCGATATCAGGGCCATTTTTCATATAACACCGAACGATCTAGTTTCTCACAGGATCAAAACTCGTCTAAGTGAATAAGAAAAAGTGGACGTGGAGGCGGGAATCAAGCTCGTAATGTTTGGTATTGTCCATAGTGTAGGCGATTGTAGCACGTCTTGCTTTCAAAGGGGCGGGAATTGACACAGATATGAGGAGCTAAGTAGCTTGGCCTATATTACCCTAATTCAAGCCAGCGGTGGGCAGTTGTATTTAAAATTCATATTTCGATACATTTGAGCATTTTGTATTTAAATATCCAGCACTCGATGTATTTGTATTATATTTGAAGTACAGTTCTCTGCACGAAGTGTATTTTGAAATGCATTTGATAAAATTAAATACCTTTTTTAATTGGTTAACCCTTGTTGGGCAAATTTTTTCTAGTGTGAAAATGACAAAATTCAGTAAATTTTATTTTTTTACTTAGAGGTACTTTATTTTGAAAACAAAATTTGTTTATATTTGAAGAAAGTTTGGAAATAAAATATAATATTTGTGTTGGGAATTGTTCTTCCCAATGCCCTTTTTGTCACCACGAATTGCTGACATTGTGGTTCTAAACATACACAATCTTCTGCAAAGTACTTGAATATACAGAGGCTCAGGGATCCCTTACATGTGTCTGCGAGGAATGAAATTGCTTGAAACAACAGAATGCATAGGGGAGCCCTACTTGAAAGAAAGCTTCTCTTATGTATTCAGTTGTGTTTCAAGTTTCCGTTTTATGTATTCTTTGCTTCTTGAAAGTGTTGCCCGAACAAGTTGTATGCTCTCATATCTGCTCCAAATTGGCTTCCCTGCAGTCCTCACAGGTGCAGGGTAAAATTTGCATGGAGTTGTCTTGGTCACTAGTAGATAGTGCAACTCCAAACCAGGCCACATTAGAAGACTTGCCTTCATTATTGGATGGGTGGAGTTCTTTAGTGATGTTGAACAAGAGGGCCAGAAGGTCAAGGTCAAACTTGCTGCTTGCCCTACAAAGAAAGTGATTAGTGGAACTCTCACTGCAACATCCAACTTGGTCACATATGTGGAGGTCAATTATATTGCAATATCTTGATGTGAAAATGCTGACCTTGGCCCAAGCAAGGTTTTTGATCTGTAATATATTTGCCATCTTCAAGCCTAGGCCTTGTGCAAGCAAAATCTTGCAATAAATTTTTGTTCCTTGCTTTCTGAGAGTACATCCAGATTTTTTTAGGATTATGAACAGTATAAAGGTGAGCAGTTTGGGATTTGGAAAGGAAAACAGAAAGGATGCCTTACTGAGCCAATGTGTTTTTGAAAGCCAATAGTCAGTATTTCCAAATGGTTCCTGATTTTTGGCCAAATCTTAAAGGCATGATGTAAACTTGAAAAATATTTGCATTTTGTATTTTCAACTGCATTTTAAAATACATATTTTGTATTCTAAATATTATTTGACTGTATTTGTATTTTGTATTCAAATACTCAATCGCTTGTTTTTGTCTAGCTCTATTTCTAGCCACTACCTTGTTGACTTATCTGTTCCTGTTAGTTTATTAATTTCTTTATTTACTTAATGACAGGGGTGTTACCCAAGCAACTATACACCGATGACTACGCAATGACCCGCACTTTGGCTGCCAGTCTTTTAGCAAATCACGGTCTTCAACCTACTGACCTTGCTCAAAGGTGAACCTGATAGATATTTCTGACTTATGATATGTCTAAGCATAGCTTTCAACTGAAGGTAATCCCAGGAGCCAAAGATCCACTCAATAATATAAGGCTACTGTTTAAAATCTAAGCTGCAATTTCCAGTTGGAGCACATCTGCATATACAGGTTTCAGGGTTCACACTAGCTTTTTTAAATCTTGAGTCCCTCCAAGAAAATATGAGTCAGGGGAACTTGCTATAGCAAGTTTATGTGAACCCTGGGTTTATTTCTGCTAGGAAGCACCTAGAAAATGTAGGATTCAGGTTTGCTCCCACTTGGATCACAGCTGGAATTCTCCAGCTGAGTTGTGCTGTGGCTGGTTTTCTTTGTGGTTTACATCTGGAATCTCAAGCTGGAGAATGGGATTGAATTTACAGCTATGGCCCAGCTGCAGGTTATTGTCTTTGTGATTTTAAACCGAGTTGATGCCACTTGGAGGGCATAGTTATTCAATTGTTTGTTAGGCTAGGTAGATGTAACTTTTGAGTGAACCAAGGATTTTCCATGTTCTGTGCATCTTGTCACCCTCAGTTTCATCTTCACCATCCTTGCACTTGCTTCAAACTTCCCTTCATGCTCCTTGCCTATTGTCCTTCCCACTCCCAGGGCTATGAAATATGATTCAACTGTATTTATGGTGGGGGGGGGGGCGTAGAGATAGTTGGTGGGTGAGCAGGATCGTGTTAAGTATCATTGACAAAACCCTCATTTAAAAACCTTTGGGCCATCCCATGGCCTCCCAGGTCCCAAGTCCCCAACCTCTCTGCCTGATCCATCAGTTTGGAAACTTTCCATCAAAAAAGGCAGACTTTTTTGTGGGGCATGTTAAGAACATTGTGCATGCCACATGGTCTTAAAGCATGGCTGAATTGTGCCAATGCATTGAGAGAGTAGTATAGAACATCACACCTTCCCAATTGGAGGCAGTTATGGATAAGTTTACAAGATTGCATACATGTGGAAGTATGAGATGTGTGATATGGTATGCCATAAAAAAAAATTTCAGAGATAACCTTTTAACCCTTTCAGTCCTGGCAGGACTCAGGAGTCCTGCATTTTCTTTGCATATGTTATAGGGCTACATAGGAATGCATGACCTTGAGGCCATGGCAGGATTCTGAGTCCTTGTCTATAGTGAAGTATTTCACCACATGTTCTCAAGTTGATAGCAGTGCATAGCAATATAAAGCTGTTGTATATCCTCTGGCATTTAAAAAATGTCACTGTTTATATTTATTTCAGCTAAGAGATTTCTTTCCCAGTGAATTTTAAAAATGTTTTTGTATGCTAGATAATGGAAAGTAGTACAGAAATACTGGGAAACATATGACATAAAATAGGAATAGGAGAACTAGCTGTAATAATTAAATAGCATGATTAATTAAATTTCTTTGAATAATTGAAATAAATATTTAATTTTACTTGAGGAAACCATTTCAAAAGCACTTTTGTTATATAAATCTTGTTGAAGCCCAAAAAGTATATGGCATATATTTTCCATGCTTAGAACATAATTCAGCACTGAAAGGATTAAATGATGCATATTACTTATTTCTACACCACCCCATTCCCAAGATATATGGACATGAAACTCCTCAGGAACTTTATACCCATCCTGTTGAGGTTGGTTAAAAAAATAAATTATTATCTGTGGAAGAATTGTGACTTTCTAGAAGTGGTTCTGAAAAAATTTAAATTCCTTATATATTTTTGAAAAGAATATGTAGGCTTTATTTGTTTTTTGTTGTCGTTTAGGTTGTGATTGAAACATAAACAGCAGAAACCAAAAGTAATAGAGGCATCAGTTCATGCAAAGCTTGTGTTTATGCGCAGATGTGCATCCTATATGCGCCAAATTCTGAAGAGACGCAGAACAGAAAAACATTGGGGTCCCAGAGACGCGTGGGAAAGTTCTAGATTTTCTGACTGGTTTTCAGACCAGTTGGCAGTTGCCTCTTAGAACCTAAATAAACCTGTGTGCAACCTTATTAGTGGGAGGGGGGGGAGTCTTTGCCAAGGAAGGTGAACGTGAAAGTGATGAGAGCGGTGCATGTTGCATTGTGTTCATGCACTCATGATGTATTTCTGTTCATTTCAATTGAGACTTCAGGGCCGTTTGGGCCGACACTCCTCTCATTCAGTTACAAGCGGAAAATGTACAATGTAAGTTTATGGGTCTGTCCACGCCTAGAATTTTAGCTTGAAATTTTCCTAAATATACAAATATTACTTTCGCTACAGAAGTTCATCTCTTTTCCCAGAAGACATGAATGAAAGAGAATATTACATTGAAAAATGAAAGAATTAGTCATGATTATGATATATTATTAATACCATCCTCATGATGCTAAAAAATGTGATGAAAATGCAAATTTTGAGAGACTGAATAAGACTACTGGAACAGATTCCAACTTGGGTTTTCCATACATACTGATAATTTCAAATCAGCTCAGGTATGAAGAGTAGATGTCAATAGTTCACATTTGAATGATATCTTTAAAATAAAGTTATTATATATGTACAGGCTTCTCGTTTAAAAATACATTTTCAGAGCATGTCACATCCAACACCGTCACAAAATAGGCTTACTTTCTGTTTCAAGTGTTGTCATCTTGGGGTGAGTTACTCTAATTCCAGGCTTTCATTCAGTCTATAGAATGAACATGAAACTAAATTATATGGATCCACTCGATGACAGATATGTGAACATTAGTGCAAGTGACTTCAACTTGAGGTTCATGAAATGTCATGTCTGACACTTTTCTTTGCACATGGGTACACCTCTAACAAAAGAGAGAGTGCAAGACTTTGGATTATGGAATTTTCAGTCTCTACCTAATGCAAATTGTTACAGCCTTTATATGCTGATTTATCATCCAAAATATAGTTAAACACATTTTGTATAATCCAGATATCACATCTGACTCTGCAGACAGCACCTTATTCTAATCACATGTTGGCATATGTTCAGATGTTCCTGAAAATGGGCCTAGTGACATAAAGAAAGGTATCAACAGTGTAGATCTAAATTATAAACAAAGGTGGTGTCATCATTCCACTTAGGGTGCACAGAGAAGGGAAAATCACCATAGGCTTTGACCTAGTCAAACTGAAGGGAAAGAGACGTGGGTGATTATGAAAATGGCCAGCTTGTGAACCATGAATCACAATGTAGGAAAAAAAGATTTAAAAAATGGAAAAAGTCTTGAGTCAACATGTATTCCTGGCTTTCCTGTAGAGATGGAAGAGCTTCCTGTGATTTCTGCTCAAATTCAAATAAGAAAAATCCCTACTCAGCATCTGACAGTCATAATATGCAGAAGTTTGTAATTTGGAAATTTGAAGATGCCCTAGGGATATTTGTCAAAGAAAATGTTGGAATTAGTCCTGAGGCTGCTGGATTGAATATCATGCATTTGGTCATGCTAAATCAAAGAAAAAACATTTGACTGTGGAATTTGGAACTTTTTGTGCAACTTTGCAAGATTTCATCATGCTTCAATTGCAATGGGACCCCTAAATTTTTCTGAGTGACTCTTTCTTATAAGACTTGAGATTGAGACTTCTGGGGCAGGATTAAGGCAAGAAAATTATTGCAAGCCCTGAGTTCATGAATTCTATTGTGTATCATTGTTGGTCAACTTGGATTGAGTATAACCAGCATCACTGCTCCTGTTTCTTATGGGTTAAGTCTGTAGCTTCACAACTTCTCCACAGAAAACATTTTTTATGGATTCATCACAAAAAGAATGAGCTATGTAATTAAATGGGAATCAGGAATTCAAAGCTTTTAGCTCCTCTTTGAAATTAAACCAATCAAGTCATGATCATGCTTCATTCAGACTCCAGTGTTCTGCTGCTGATGCCTTTAATGATGACTATTCCATATGCAATGCTCTAGAAGCATTGCATATGGAATGGTTGCATGAAGGAATGCTCTTTCTTGTTTCAATTGTAGGCTGAAATTGATTTCTCTGGTTCTGCACTTTCAGACTGTAAAATGTATGCTGCATGTGAGCATACAAAGCAGCTGCCATGTACAAGTAGATGGTATGACCAAATTCAAGAGACTAGAATGTGGGACACATGAGGTCAACAAATGGGGTGGAGTAAAGGGACTAAAAGCATAAAGGTGCAAATATTTCTTACTTATAACAAAAGTATTTTTTCATTCTTTGGCAGAACCTTTATTGCAGTTTGCTGGTTTTGGGACAATAAAGATTCAAGAATGCCCAGCAGAATGTGGGAAAATCAATCAGTCATCCAATATGAGAATGGAATGTCCTCTTTGGTCCTAGAAAAAAAAGGAATTTAGGCAGGTACATGATTCAATCTTGAAATTCTCCCATACGATTTGATGGAGCTTTTTTTTCACTTAACCACCCTATCTATCTCTAGTCCTGATTGTCACCTCTCTACCATGTGAAGTTTAGTCTTAGGTTCTTATGTGTAGACATAGCATAAGGGTACTGAAGGGAGAGATGAAAAAGCAGAAGTGTAGTAGTTGTAGGGGAAAATGAGAGGATAGAAGAACCAGGAATAAAGGTTTCTTTTATTATTAATGCATGGCTGTCTTCCACCATTCTCCCTAATTCCCTGATAGACCTAGGCCTACATGATGAGGTGATGCTGAACAGTGAAGCTGATGTCAATGGTTGGTTTGTATTTTTAGGATTTATGATACACATAGGACCTAGTAGAGTAGATCTAGGCCTAAGCTTCTTGTTTTTCTTCTCCTTTAAAAACTTACTTTTCCCCCATAGGTTTGTGGAATGTTATGAAGATGAACCAGACAGAGGGTATGGAGCGAATGTAGGCAAGGTCTTCAAGGTCCTCAGAGCTACTTCCTTTCAAAACCCCTTTCTGCCTGCTAGGGAACAGTTTGCTGGAGGTGGTAAGCATATGTTGATTTGTATTTGTTAATCACATGGATGAACATCAAAGGATTATGTTCTAGGACTAGACTAACTTTGAAATGTAAGTGTTTCAGGATCATATGGAAATGGAGCAGCAATGCGTGTGAGTCCTGTGGGACTGTTTTACAGTCGAGACAGTGAAGAGTCAGAAGCAATAAAGGTTGCAAAGATGCAATCACTAGTCACTCATGCTCATCCTCTTGGCTACTTTGGAGCCATTCTTATGGTGGGTTACAAGCACCCCTGCAACCCCTTTTGGTTGTATTGCCAGCTTGTTATTAAGATAATTGTTTATCATTTTATATAGTGCTTGGCTATTAGGGAGGCATTGAAGGTCCCAAGTGATACACCTGTTAACCCTGATGAATTCTTGGATGCCCTCCAGCTGAAACTGAATGCCCTTCCATTGTTAGTGAATTCATTTCTTGTATCTCATGCTCTATAGGCCTTAAGGGAGCTTGGTCATAAAGGTGGATGCTATATTTATTTAGTTTTCCATGGAAAATGATATGGTGGCATTCACCTAACACAATTTTGTTTCAACTCTGGCCTATTGCTTCTGTGACATAGCATGATGTCATCAGTACTCAATCATATCAAGCTGCACATTTTCAAGTATGGGAATTTGCTATGCTGAGCATCTTTCAGCTTGTTATCTTTGAGACCTATTTTCATTCCTCTCAGCAAGCAATAATTGCCTTCTGATTAACAGCAGGATGGGGAATTCAGCAGCAAAAGATCTGAGAATGTATCCAGTCATATTCCAGGAGAATTTGTACTCATGAAAGTTACAACTTTTGTAACATTTTCAAAAAACTGACCAGAAGGATTGGCAAGATCAGAATGACAGGGAGTGAAGACTAGAACAAAATATTAGAGGCAAACTCCAGATTTGTTTCACATAGATTCAGCAACATCATGCATGCAGTTTAGAGGAGGATGCAGTAAAGAAACGAAAGGAGGGGGAATTTAATTTTGTGAGTTCTCCTTCAGAGAGTTGAGCAAAAGATATGTAAATATGGGATATTACTTCTTAGGCTTTGATAAACGGTGATATTTTCTGAGAACCATCTATAAACTGACCCAATAAGGTATATACCCATAGTATAAGGATACTGTGTGGTTGACATCTCCTGCAGAAAAATGATCAGTCTTTTATAGGAAGGGTCTTTCTCCTGTCCTTGTTAACCCAAGTACATACTTGGGCTTTGAAACACAGTCCTTTTAGGTTGTTTTAGTTGCTCTATTTATGGATGTAACTGAAATATATTCTGTATTTTTTTCATCCTTTTCTATGCAACAGTGCTGCTTTTGTCAACATCTTAACCTTTGGAAGCATTGAATAACAAAAAAATAAAGTGCATATCTTCATCAACCCATTCTGTAAAAATGGTTTCCTACTCACTTAGTTTTGCATTAGATGATGATGAAATATATATAATTTTAAATGCTGATTCTGGCATTTCCAGTGTTAGTGAAAATGATGGTGATGTAGTTGAAGTTGAAGCTGAACTCAAGAAGATGAAGATTACAATGATGGGAGTGAAGATGCAAGCAGGAATAGAGGTAGACCAAGGGGGCAAGAAACTGTTGATGTATGGTAGGTGATACAAATTCCAACCCCCTTGTGCTCAAAATCTGCCCCCTCACCAGTGGTTTAAAATAAATTTTTTTGGGATCTATGCCAATCAAGAGGTAAATGCCCACTGCCCATTCATGTTTAGCGACGTAGCTTTGGTGTAATTTGGTTGGAAAAGGCTGTTTGTGCTTCTGATTGTTAAAATATGTAGCATGTGGACTGTATAGCAGGGTTGGAATTTGCATCACCCACCCTACCTGGGTTTAGCAAGAATCCCCATGCAACTCATTTCTTGACTTCTGCAGGAAATCCTGGATTGAAAATGGATATTCCAGACAAATTTCCCTGAGATTGATGTTTCTAAACTAATTTTCACAGGTGACCTGGGTCAATTTATATGTTCCTGGCAATATGTGCTCGTGGAAACCTTGAACATATAACAGAAACATAAATTTGCAGCAGACCATATTTCTAACACAACTCTAATTGAATATTCAATGGTAAAACCATGGAAAACCAGAGAACCTCTCTGTATAGGAATTTTGTACATTTATTTTGGCACTGACTTTAATGGGCATTACAAAATGGCCTACTATTTCGTCTTATTGGAAACTGATAAACTTTTTTATCATCCCTGCTTTTGGGTTAGATAATGTCTGTCAATTGATTTATACGCATCTCAAAATACTGGCACTTTTCTGATAACATTCTGGTTGTTCCTTGAAATACATTTTTAAACACGTTTTTGTCTATTATCAATAGTTTTCAAGATATGGCAATTTAAACTAAAACCATTGTTTGCAGAGACACAGTGCAATTCTTATAGCACAGTGGGGGTCGTGAGGGCTTTTTTTTTAAGCAGTGAAAGGGTTAAAATAACGAGTTTTGAGCAAAAATATCTCCTGGAAAACAAGTGAGAAAAGGGATGGTGAAATTTTCTTTGGAAGACGTATTTCAGAGCATGTGCAAATCAGATTTCTTCTTAAAAGATTGTGGGATTGAGTTCAATGTGTGCCATGTCATAATTTGCAAGGGGGATTTATGAAATAAGTCTAACTTGTATTTTAATAACATTGCATCTATCTTTCCATGCCTTGAGAGTCTTCCTTCTTATTCCCTGTAGACCTGGTGAATCCAGAGAGGAGGGAGCTGCTGCAGAGTACAGAGAAAAGTTGTTGGCTTGCAGGAAACTTCTGAAGAAAGACTTTGACAAGGATGAAATAGTGAATCAGTTGGGGAACTCAGTCTCTGCTGTGGACTCTGTCATCACTGCATTCTATTGCTTCCTTGCCTGCTATAATTACAATCAAGCACATGAATTCATGGTGAGTCCATTGGGAAGTGAAATAACAGAGCTGCTTATGTGACTTTTTCATCAAGTGCAGTTATTTTCTTCAAACTATTAGGCTGCACCAGAACTTGAAAAGAAGGCATTCAGAAATGGAGAGTAATTAATAAAAAAAAGCTTAAAATTTGAAGATATATTCAGTACATGGATGTGAATTGTGAGTTAAGGTGGTACAAAGTGCATGCTAATAGGAATGCATCTGTGATATATACTGACAGCAGACTTCAATCTTAAACTTAACAACTTCATGTTGGGAAATCAGCACCATACCACTCTTTTTTGCACGTGAAACTATTGGTATTGTGTTCCAATTGGCATCCATTTTTAACTTTTGAAAAGGTAAAGTCAGTCTCTCTGGACAAGAACTGCAACTATGGTAATTGGCTTCAAGTGCTATGTCATTCCTGATTGCAAAGTGATCTTGACCATGCAGGATCAGCTGCTATGGTTGCTCTGCCCCTTAATTCCAGATTCAATGCATCTTTCATCATATGCCTTTTCTAAGTGTTTAAAAGTGCAAATATCTAGTTATGATTGAGAATCAAAGGAAGATTTCAGTTTAAATTTGTCATAAGCCTAAGCTTTGGAAAAGGCTCCCTTGAGCCTATCATTACAGTTCTGGATATAGTGTTTCTCAGTGAGATGTGTATACCTGGCAGGATGCCAGACACTACTGGCAAAATGCTTTGAACCTCTCTCAAGATTTGTACACTTTGCATAATCTTTTGTTAGTCCACTTAATTTTTGGTACTTACAGCATGATCCTGGTCAGCATATCTTTGTTCATCTTGATGTTTTTTAGCAATTGCATGGAGAGTGGGAAATGAACATGGATTTTGATGAGATCATTACATGATCCAAAGTGCTGACCATGATAAAGAAGGAACTTTTACATTGCCCTCTTTACTTTTTTCTTTTTAAGGTGGAGGCCAGTGGAAATGAGGAGGGGATGGAGAAAAGCTTGAGACTGGCCTGCATGTTGGGAGGAGATACAGACACCATCGCAAACATGGCGTGTGCCCTTGTTGGAGCCCATGTTGGCCTCAACTCTCGCATTTGTTTTCTCCTTGACAGCTGTGAGGAGGGCAATGAACCTCTAGACCTTGGTCGGCACATCTACGACCTTGTTTACCCCTCAGCATCTTGATGTAACTCTCATACCATGTTGTAATTCAGGGTGGTCCATCTGGTGGCCTGCAGTAGTTCCTTCTCTGACTGTCACAGTCAGAAAATTAGAACTTTGACAAGAATGTGTACTGTAGGAATTACTCTTGTTCTTTTCCTTGGAGCTTATTCCATGATTCCTTGCAGCCAAAAATCATTGGAGGCCAGGTCTGACACACAGGCCACCAGTTGGACCACTCTGTTGTAATTCATCACCCTTCCTTTTCTCCTGCATGGAGACAATGTCATTTTTTATTAAAATAAAATTTTCACTGAGAAATGTCCATTCAAAATTTAAAAAAATTGCAAAATGATTTATTTCCACATATAAAGAACCATGTCAAAGGATCCTGGTGTGAGCCTCAGTTTCAGAAATAATAGAAAGTGGCTCCAGTAAAAGAAAGTCATTAGGAGAGTGGGTTAGTTGACATTCTGAAAGGAGAATCCTTTCCAGAAGGAAACCAAAATATTCATATTAGCCAAAAGTATTGCTTGAATTGTCCATTTTGCCTATCTTAATAAGAGTTTTTTGCCTCAAGCCTGACACCTCTGACCAAGCAAGGAAAATCTTTTGAGAAGTGATGACTCTTCCATGCTGAACATATAAGTGTTCTGTGATATTAATACATAGCCCTCACTATGATCAGTATTGGAGAATTTATATGACCAAATTGAATGGAATTTGAATTGCAACTTTGTGCAAGTATCACAAAGTCCCTGCCTATACATAACATTGACTCAGTGTTGATATGTGGTTGATTGGATGTTGATGCTATTGATCCACTACATAGTCAACATTGACTTGATGTTGAAATATTTTGATGTCATGGAAATCGCATTGCACTTCAGTTTAATACTCAGTCTTGTCAACGTTACATTGACAGGTGTTGAGTGAGACATCTGACAGTCATTTTAACAAACAAGGTTCCCTAACCATGAAGTGCAAAGGTCACGGATCGCCAATGCAGCAACTTATCTCAAGTAAGCAACTGGCATGAGTCCCCAGTGCTTTTAGAAAGGTATTTGATAGTTTCTTCACCGACAAGAGTTAAGGAGAATCACTACTTGGGCAGGTATTGGAATTACTGGATACATTCAATGAGAGGGACATCTCATCCTAACGAGACCTCAGGGTAATTCTGAGCCTGAGAAATGAGGATTGAGAGGAAAGTTCACGCGGTGATCTGACCCCATAGGCCACCACTCCCCCCTCTTCCTTCATAACGCCTTGTCCTGTTGGTTGCGCAGGAGAATCTTTGAAGCGATATGCAGCTTCCTCTTCATTGGTTGCAATCACTGTATTGTCCCTCTGCTTCTTTGTGGCTGAGATATTCTTCTCTAATGTTGACATTGAATCACTGACAGTAGCATGAGTATACTTACCAAGGTCACACTGATACACACATTCACAGAGCACTCAACTGGAATGAATGCATGAATTCAACACTTCGGCAACGTTGAGTCCTGTTTCATTTCAACATTGAGCTAATGAACATTTAGCATTCTAGCATTGACTTGAACAATGCTCTTGCATTATTGCAAAGAGACAGATATTGGAAGCTTAATACTTCCACTAACCACTTCAGCCGCTTCACTTCACTTTAATACTAACCACTTCAGCCGATTCGTACTGTGCAGGGTGCCTTGCGTAAATTATGATACCTTGCACAGTATGAATTGGTTGAAACACAATGGAAGGGCATATTAATCGTAATTTCAGGATTTATATTTCGTTGCATATAAATTTTTATTGATTTCTTTTTCTCCAAAATGCAAATGTTAAGAAAGTACCATTTTGTTCAACAAATATCAGCGATTACATTTCGCGAAGCTCGTTATGTTTGGGCGAGTTTCTTGATCATGAATTGTCAAAAACCAGAAAAGTTGCAGAGAAGCATTTGAACAAGAAAGAACAGGTGTTCTTGTTCCTATTTTCCCCCTGTATCTTTTTTTTGTGTTCCACGAGCATGAATTAAAACTCGCTACAGCATCATGAGCCTCACAATGTGCAGTTGTGTATTCGATTAACAAAACGAACAAGTCACATGCCATATGGGGAGGTAAACAATTTAGTTACTTCGCATGTACAGGGTGACTCAAAAGTAACCGATATGCATTCACACCGCACAGTGATACGTCTTCAGTCGAATTATTATCGATCCCTCGAAAGGGATATCTTTAAGATCTTCACCCAAATTTGGATCTTAAGATCTCTTTTAAGCTGTTAGCGACATTTGACATTACGAGGTATATTCAATTTTGCTGTTCTTGGTTGAAAGAATCCCAAGAGTTGTGAAGTCTCTTTTGGAGGCTGAAGGGGGACGGGGGCACCAACCGTATTAGGCTATATTGTTGGTAACGTTATGCTGCTGTGATAATATTGCAGTAAATTTAAACTAACTTGTTCGCATAATTTCTTACGATTAAACTAGTGAGGTTTAGCCGCCATTGCCAGATAGGGAGGAATTATTAGCTAGAATGTGAAATTTTGCAGCAAGAAACTTTTTTGGCCAGTGGTGCGGATATACGAGATATGCCTCGTATTAAGGTAACCGGGGAAAAGTAAACGAAGGTGTCTAATGGGTCAATGCTGAGAATTTCCTTAACGTTGTCAATTGCCTCCTTGCAGGCGGATGGCGTATCTTGCAAATTGGCAGTGCACATGTTTAAGTCTATCTCGAAAAGACTTGACGATAAAGGTGCTGATGTTTGGTATTGAAAAAAAAAAGTTTGTAGGATTAAAAAAAATCGCGCAAATTTTTTCATATAATTTTTTGGATTCTTGAAAAACACATCAGTTGCTTCTGAATCATCCTATGCAATGAACTGTTGTAGTCCAGGGATCAAGTGTGCCCCAGATAATTACTTCTGTTTACGCTGAGAGGGAAGGTACATTTTGAGACATCCTGTTCATAGTTATGGCACGAGATCATCTACGGGTGGAAGCATATTAAATGAAGCCTAGGCACATTTCTTGTCACCCTTGAGCTTGCTAATTCCGGAGGGAATTCGCTGCTCACTTCAAGCCAAAACCTCCACGACTGATGTTACACCGAATAATCAATGCGCAGGCTGATGCACGCTTAGCGAAAAATTACGTTCAATACCGTTCAGAATCATAATGCCCGTCATTGCCGCATTCTGATGCATTTTGCCGTAGACTGAAATTTTCAAGGGTTTCGACACTGCTTGCTTAAATGGGAATGCATCCGAGGAAATGGAAGTTGATGAAAATTAGGAAATGCTATTTCTCATTCATTTTCTTTTTTTGTTGAAAAAAAAAACCTGAGATTAAAGAATGAGAAACACTGACATTGAAAGGATGAAAGTACCCGAATTTATTTTCTTTCCTGAAAATAACTACACGAGCTAGCGAGTGAACATCACCTGAAGTCGTGGGTCCATACGACTATGAAGTTAGAAAGGGTTGGTGACATCAACTGTTTCACTCGTCAAGCACATGGTTTCGGCCGACAAGACGAGCAGAGCTACTGAAACCTTCCAGAAATATTGAGAACTCCAGACGTCGCATCGTCTCGTATATTTACCGGATAATTAATTAAGGTTCTCGATTGAGTTTCAAACGACGAACACACTTCACATTATGAAATCCCTTAATGAAGCAAACTGCGAGGATGTGATCCCTGAATAAAACCGCTCATATTCTCGTCTCCGTATATCCCGTAAAAGTTTAGCGACCTTCCTCTGAGTCCTCCCCAGCGCTCTTACTTCTCGTTTCTTTCCAGGCCTCTTAATTTAGACTCAATCCTATAGTTAGAGCCTCCTATAATATAACTTAGCAGCTCCGGGCACAAAAGCAGAAAAGCGCGCTACCTTTCATATGTAAACGAACGCCGGATGAAAATCCTATTAGGCTTAGCCGTTGTCGACTTCGCGTACTGAGAGAATTTCAGCGACGAAAGACTGAAATTTACCCCCATAATCCTTCCCCAACCTATCTTAGCCAAACGTTTTTGGAGACCCAATAGTAATCGCGGTAATCATCCCAATTTTTGACCACCTAAGTCCATCGCCGAGCGTGTAGTACTTGGGAGCTTGAGGCGAAACGGAGCGATGATTTACGAAGTTTCAGTGATAAAATGGGACGAGAAGCAGAAGTGTTTAAAATACGTATTTCAATACATTTGAGGTATTTTGTACTTAAAAAAAAATACATATCACACGATGTATTTGTATTTTATATTTTGAAATACAGTTCTCTGCACAAAATTTATTTTAAAATACATTAAAATACAAATATAAAACACTTTTTAATTGGTTCACTGCAACTCCAAACATGGCTAACTCAGAAGGCTTGTCTTCTTTATTAGATGGGAAGTTCTTCAGTAATGTTGAACGAGAGGGCGAACGAGAAAGGAATATTTTAGTATATAAAATAATATTATTGGACTGTATTTGTATTTTTAATACTTTTTTCTTGGGAATTTAAAATTTTGTATCCAAATACTCAATCACTTTTATTTTGCCCAGCTCTGATGAGAAGACAGTGGCGTAGTTCGTGCTCCATCATTCCAGTAGTATCATCGAATGTGAACTTAATTGTAACGGTGTGATGAAAATATAATTTCTTGGTCCTTTAATGCCAATTTTTGGCCAGTTAGACCCGGTTCTTGACCACAAGAATTTTAAAGAAGGAAACATCAATCCACTGAATAAAAACAAGAAAAACGAAACACAACTGAAGCCCCTTGACCTACAGGAACCCTAGTAGTATATAACATTAAATCAAAATTGATTCAACGTTGGTTCAACGTCTGGACGTTGAATCAACATGGAATCAAAATTTGTCTCAATGTTAGATGATTTCAAGGAATGCGGCCTCCTTCATAAGTTCATCGACCGATAAACCCATTCCATCTTCATAGAAACTTAGAGGTGGATTTTTGAACAGAGCATTACCCGATAATGCAGCTTTATTTCGGAGAAAATGCATTATAAATCCGGTAAATAAAGCTGCATTATCGGATAGTGCTCTGTTCAAAAATCCACCCTAGAACTCATTGTTCGTTGTTAGCGTCAGGCTCATTTTAACAACGATGGCAGATGAAACCTTCATCGCTTTCGTCAGGGATGTTCTCATGGAATACATTTGGCATGCACGCGAAATGCACTGTAAAAAGAATGGGATAGGGATTCCCTGGTTTGTATTGGAAATTTTACTTCCGTAGCTTCCTTAAAGAAACTATAAGATGCTATGATTTTGCTTATACATTTCACGACAACACATATGTGCTACGAGCTCGTGTGATCTAGGTCTATGAGCGAGTCGTAGACTCACATGAGAGTCACACGCCAACTCACAAGGTCTCGAGATCCCCTTGACATTATTTTGATCGCACATGGGAAAGATGCCTGCTGCTAGGCTATCATGGTAAGTCAGCATGGCGCAGTGCTTCCGTCTGGCCACGTGAAGTGAGGTCGTCACTTGAAACTCAATCGAGAAGCTTCGAGTGCCCCCCCCCTGCCTACCCCCTCTCCATAAACGAACCACTAGCGCTAAATATCGCGAGCTGCCTGGTGGCAACTGTGTGATAAGGGTCTCCTCCCATATTCTCTGAGAGTCTGAGAGGAGACTATGTTGAGAAGTGAGAGATGTGGCTTTGCGAAACTTGGTGGGTTACAGTATAATGGCATAGACTTTCTGACTGCGTTCATTGCATAGAGTGATTCAGAAGCATCTATTTGTTTGCTTGTTTTTCTATTGGAATAAGAGTTGACAGATTTAAAATATTGAAAAGTTTTTGAATTCTATGAACGAGGAAGTCTTTTTCATAAATACAGGGTGTTCCTAAAGGTATGGACATACTTTAAAGTTAATATCTCTCTCTAAAAAAAAAACTAAAATTAAATGATTAAAGCAATAAAAGAAAGAACAACTCAAACTTGTTAACAACCTGTTATTGCAATTCTACAGGGGCACCATCTGTGACTGCAGATGTCCAAACGATGTTCAAGCTCTTGCCACGCCTTATGCAGAGTGTTAGGCGTAAGGTGACCAGTCGTCCCGATTTAGGCGGGACAGTCCCACTTTCAGACCACATGTCCCGGTGTCCCCCGATGAAGTAAGCGGGACGCCCAAATGTCCCGCTTTTGGAAAATGTCGATGACAGAATGATACGACTGTTGAATTTCTAGCCTTGCGAGTTTCAGAACTTCTCCTAAACATATTGTTTAGGAGCTAAACCAAGCGAATATCATGATTATGAATATAAAAAAAAACCATTATGGATAATTAAAAAAACTCAAGATATGCTATCTTGAGTTTTTTTATCCATGGCAACTGCGTAAATATAAATTGACAATGGGAATTTGGATTACCGAACAGCTAACGTGCCTAAAAACATGCTAGTTCTTGTTAGCAGGCACCTGCTCGTGCGCACTGCTGAGTCAGGGAAAGCCTCCAGGTTCTGACTTCCCATCCGCGATTCCGGACAGGAGTCAACTTTCAGAGGCTGGACTTGATTCGTTTTGCGTCGATTGAGAATGAATTTAATGGTTCTCAGAGATTTCTTTCAGATATTTGATATCTTAATAGATGTTTTCAAATTGCATGGGAAAGTGACTCCTGAGAATTTTTGAGGAGGCCGGGCCAAAAATGTCAAAACCCCTGCTTGCTGCAGTAAAGTGAAAATGTCACGGAAGCGTTTTGCGCATGTGATGCTGCTGACATTTTTTTCTGAAAACGGAAGGACCACGACTCGGATGAAAGTCACGAATAACGTACAGGTTAAGGAATTTCCAGTTGCATGCCTGCGCAGTAAAGTCTGGGCTGAATCCCGAAATTAACTCTGTTCATCTTTAGCTTTGTTTCAAATATCGAATGCACTTGTATTATTCATTGTTTAAATTCTGTTTCCACCATTTCATGGAATTTTTTTCGTTTCATTTTCTATGTTCGCGTGTTCGACGTCGTTTCGCATTTTTCTCTTCTGGTGATTTGATAACGCCTTCTTGCATCTGGAGACATTTGAAAGACAAGTTATACGAACTTTCCCGAAACTCCCTCTTTAGGGCTGGTTGCGCTACTGTGGATGCACAATTAAATAACAGCTCTGTTTCATGTTTGGCAATAATAAATACAATTGTCGGTCCAACAAATACATTCATATTCTTTTTCGAGAGACAAGGGGAAGTATTTATTGGGCGTCCCACTTTCGCGACATAGAAATCTGGTCACCTTAGTTAGGCGTAACTATCGGGATAGCTGCGACGTTTCTGTTCTGACCTTGGAGATTGTTGGCTTGAGTAAACAATGCCCTTAGTATAGCCCCACAAGAATAAGTCCAAGGGGTGATCAGGTGATCTCAGTGGCCATGAAATGAGTCCATTTCGTCCGATCCTTTTTTTCTTGTGGGGCTGTGTCAAAGGCATTGTTTACTTAAGAAAAGAAGCAGGCTTCGTTCTGTTTAAGGTGTAGGGTGGAGAGTCTTTTTAAGAGTTTCTTTGGCAGAACTGGATTTCCTTAGAAGGGAGATCATACCAGTCTACATTGTTTCAGACAAGAAGTTGTATCCGTACAAGACAGTTCATCCTGAGATGTGGTTAACTGAACATGGCAAATCCTTTCTGGCTTGTTTCTCACCAAACAATCTTGTCAGTCAAGGTTAAGCTGGGGTTTTTCACAAAGATAATAAAATTAGCCTAACGTTTTTATGTCAAGTTTCATGTGCTCTCCCTCTCACGTCATTGGCTTGGATACATTAGAGTGCTTGGACAGCTTCCAATCCAAGTTCAGACATGTGGAGGCCAGATGCAAGCACGCGGCAGTCTAGTATTAGCTGTCAGCACTATCACGCGACTCTTCAACGGGTGAGTATTTGGCGATGATAGGCACGGGATTCATCGTATTGGTTACTTATTTAGGCATAGGTAGACCTAAACATAGGCTTAGCTTTCAGGGTTCGGGTGGGTCTTCGAGAGGCGTTTTGCCCTTTATGACGTCCCTTGTCAAGAAGTGCGTCTATACATAAAAAGATGGGCCTAAGCCTTTTGAAGACAGATATCAAGGTCTCATTGATTTTGATGAGCTTTCTCTGAGCCCAGGCAGGGAATATTATTGGTTAGCGTGGCTACATTTTTTCCAAGAAGTAAAACCATGACATTCAGTACATTGACTTCTTAGGTCTCCTTCCGCTCTAAAAAACTAGGACATGAGTTCAGATGAGAATGCATTCCTCTGCCACTTTAGATCTATTTGGCAAAATAAAAAGTGATTGAAAGAGTAGGGTGGGAGGTGGTGGGGATGGTGTAATTAATAGGAGTGAGAGTTTCTGCTCAAGATTGAAACTTGGATGCCAGGACATTTTTGCTGGAAAACAGGATAGAATCTGAGACAGCCTCAGTAATAAGTTCAGTTTCAGGAAAACTGGGACCTGATCATGATACCCTTGGCCCAATAATCAAGTTAATTCAATTCAGGCCAGAGTAAAGGAGGGGGGGGGGGAGGAATGACAGTTTGTACAATGCCAACAGTAGCATGCTACTGATACTCCTAGGGACCAGCACATAGTCCTAGGAACCAGCACTTTAATATATAGAGGAATCACACCATTGTAAAAAAAAAAAAAAATTAAATGAAAATAGGAAAAAGAAAATGGGAGAAAAGAAACGTTGAATTCATAGACCTTGGTGGCTGGATGTAAATTTTTCATCCCTATAATTAGTCAACCAACAAAAGCTCATTCATGGTGAAGATGAGACACCCCACCCAGGGTGATCTTGCATGATGTCATGTTGTAGTCTTCATTTTGGTATTAATTGAAAACTTTCTGTGGTACTATTCCTGTCTATTTATCTCAGAACCTTCACAAAGCTCATCAATTTTGGGCCAATGGTAGGTCTCAGGAACATGTATATGAAGCACAAGATTTTCATATATTAAGGTGGACATGCTGCTGTTTTGGGAAGAAAACTATCCAATCCAGTTGATTATAGCTGGACTGCCAGTTGGATAAGCCTAATGTTGGATATTGCTGAGATTACATTTCCAGTAAAATTGTGCTGTGTGCATGATTGCTTGCCTCAGATGCTACATTATGTCAAATGAGTCAGTGAAGTCACTGCTAAATTGCTAAATGTGTTGGCAATTTTTCTTTACAAGCATAGATGAAACAATACAGGGAGAGACTTTTGCAACATGTTCTCCAATATTCCCTTTCCTTCTTTTCAATGATCTGATGAACTGTAGTCTGTGTGGTACTGGGTTGTTCTCTGCAAACATGTAAATGATATGCTTTCTGGGGAATGTCTGCATTGCATTGAGGGAGGCCTTGCACATGTGCCATGCTTTATGCCAAGTCTAGAGTGAAATATAATTGTCCACATTAACAGTCACTTATACCAGTTTTGGATCTATGAATCCTGTGAGCTGCCCCTACCTTAAGGCCTCATAAAAGAAAATCCCCAATGGAGTGAGTGTGTAGAGGTATCGTGCCTGATCCAAGCAGGTATCCCCCTTCCTTTGTTCGGACATTGCCAAGAGTCCAATGTCCTATGTGTCTACTGTAAGCCCTTGTCACTATTTTTTAAGAACCTCAAGACATAACCACTTATGTCAACACTTCTGCACAAATATAGGCCTAATACTGTATGACAGATGGGAGAATATAGGTTAGATTTTGTCTGATTACTCATAGTTGAGCTATGTATATTGGGTCACTGTTGGAGCTATTTTTCCCAATAACAATTTTCAGCACTAAATATGCAATCTGGGCCTTGAGGGGGTCAGTATCAAGGTCAAGATCTTCTCCTTAGCAGTGATCCCATCCTTTTTGGCCCAGTCTCAACAGGTGCTTCAGAGCATGCTCAACTAGTTTGACTCTTTGAGTGTACTGCAGTCAGAGTGAATCTCAGAATCTCCAAAATGCATATTATGGTTCTCTTGACAAGTGGTTAAGTGCACTCAACATATTAGGGGAGCCCAACTGAAACAGGTGAAGGGGTACAAGTATCTTAGTGTCTGATTCTAGAGTGAGGAGCAATACTGAAACAAAATTGACAGTAGTATCTCCAGGGCTTCTTCATTTTTGCAAGAACCCCGGTTGACTGTAATTGTTCTGAATCATGAGAAGATGCAGAGTGCCCCAACCTCAAGGTTGAGCAGTTACTTTTTCAGATCAAGATATCTCAAACCAGTTTGTTTGGACATGTTTCCTGCATGCTGCTAAAAGGTCCCCAAAAAGAGTCTCCCAATCTAAAATGACCTGAAGATCTATCAATAGGCCTTGTGCATGCAAGACAAACTATATTCTGAGGCTTTTTTCAGGTTTAGTATTCCACCTGCTCATTCCATTCCCCCAGAATTGTGAATACTGGAGGATGTTCCTGGTCCTGCTTGAGCTAGAATCCCAATAAGTTAGGATGGACACCACTGTAAATGAATGAAGGAATGACATCCATATGACTGTGTCCTGCATGCATTCCTCCTTTTGAGAAGCACTTGCCCATGCTGAAGTCCAGGAATTTCAGTCAGTCTTAGGATTGCAAAGATGCCATTATAACTGTGAAGTGGGAGAATTTCTCAGAAAAGCAATGGCATGGTTTTATAATTCTTAAAAATATATTATTTGCATGTCATAGTTGACTGACTAATCTAGGACCATTACAGATTTTCTTTTTTAGCATGGAAATAAGGATGTCATGCTCATGAAAGGATATCTGAGGGTGGGATGTAGAACCTTTGCTGAGATGGAGTCCCTAACATTTTCCTAAAAAGAGGGATGGACATATCTGTCACCATTAGATTTGAGAAGAAATGTGCATTAACCAATAATTATCAAATAATAGACTTATTATGGTAATTGGTGCCAATAATGAACCAGCTCTGCCAAGCATGATTCAGCAGCGGATCAAAGGAAAATGTAACATGAGGGAACACTAGCATGAATCTAGAATTCCTGAGTTGAAAGCATGAGTTTCCAAGAGTCTTCAGCCTAATATAGAACTGGAATTGTGGCTCCAGGAATAAAGCAGTTTCCAGCTTGGACCCTCCTTCCTGCTGGATATGAGACTATATAACAATATATTGATATTGCTTGAATTGATAAGAAAAAATGTAAAACTTTTTAGCTGGCATCCTGAATGCTTCCTTATTAATATTGTTTGAACGACGAAAGCTTGTACTAGTTGCCTTGAGGCAATACCATGCATTGCCAGTAAGAAATTGCAGTTGATTGGGCTATTTTGGCATGAAAAAACTCTCATGTGGCTTTGAATTCAGTTTTTGTAGTGTTTTTGATTAAATCAGGAAGAGTTGTGTTTGATTTCATCTTATTCAATTGCATGTTTATAACCTGCACTTACTGTATACCCAAATTTTTCAGATTCATTGTTGTTCAGACATTCTTGGCTATGTACTTCCTTATATTATATATATCAGTAATTGGCAACTGTGCTGAGAAGAGAGCCTCGGTCTGAATGTTTAATCTTGTATTTTGCTCCCAATTGCAGGTAGCCTAACTGAGGATAATTTTTCTTTGGCGAAAATGAGTGAAGGGAAAGCTGAGAAGAAGAAAAGAGAAGACCCCAAATCTCGCCATGATAAGATGCCCAGGAAGGCTAACTTGGACCCCATCCAACTCCCTCGTGTATGTCTTGCTTATGTCCTTGTTTGGTTTATAATGTCTGCTGAAGTTGGAACTGAAGCATTCTGATAATAATAATGAAAATATGTATCTTAGAAGGTAAGCTTACATCAATGATGGTAAGATAAAGTTTTAGTTTGTCATGACTGACAGCTCCCTTTTACCATTACAGGGTGAGCCATAGCATTTTGTGAAATTCTTTTTGTTTGTTAATTCCAATTTTGAAGTACAGAGGCTTAAGACTTCAAGAATACATATCATAGCATAAAGTTTTCATAAGAAATATTCAACTTAAAAAAATGCTGCCTTTAGCCTTCACAGAGGCCAGCAATCTTCCTTAGCCATGGACATGGGGAGATTGTTTCAAGCTTTCACAAGTTAGTGCTTCAGAGACCCCATTTTAACATGGTTCCCAATACAGGCCATCTGCTCCAACTTAGAGTAGACCATATTTTCCCTTGCCTCTTCCATTTGGCGAAATCCTGGATACGCCACTGAGTGGAAATACGGCTTGGTATCCATAAGTCCATAAGTCAATGATGCTTATGGTATTGGAAACGGTGTTCTACCCAACCCCCCACGAGCTGCATAACTGCAGCTTGGAGAGCAACAATGATTTTCGATGAAAAGTTAGACTTGTAAATTTTTAGCATTGAATGCAATTTTCATTAATAGGACATTCGCCAATTTACTTGCATGTTTTCCTTTATTGCCCAGTGCCCAGTGATTTTCTGTTTTACTGTTTTATCTCATTTCGAGAATCCTGCGAATGAGCGAATTTGGTATCAGGTGGAACCTCTGGCAGGGAAGTGCGTAAGAAAAGAGGATTAGTTCATCTCTTTCTCGTTTCACTCTCAGACGACTAGGAATTTTATAAACATGACTTAACTAAATAAACGAAATAAACATTCGACTCGGGACAAATTGTCAAAGGGGTCCCGACATTCGTGTATGACGTTTCCCATGCATCCTGTCAGAATTTTTCTCGACGAAAAAAAAAACCTGTAACAAATATCTCATTGAAGAAAATGTCTCTCGAGCATCTCGAGTTCCTTTGGTTGTTCGAAATACTGTGCAGTGATCCTGGAGAATTCTTTATCCTTAGAAAGTTTTCTTCATTTTGGATCCAATATACTATACAGTATTTACTGAAGTAGGTGACTCGGATGAAGGAAAGAAGGATGAATCCGTCCCTTCTGCTGATTCTCGACTGCGTGCTTTTTTTCCTTCTTTGTAATGGTGTAAGTTATGAGATAGGCATGCTGTGATGGTCTTAACGGTGGTTTCCAAGGGATCCTAGGTAGAGGGTGATTAGTATCGGTTATTTTTTGCTCGTTGTTGGACAAGGTGGCCTGCAGATCGACTAGAGCAGTGATTTTCAACAGCTGGTGCTCATACCAGCTCTGGTACTTCTGGCTTTTGTCACTTGTACGCGTGACTTTTTTTTATTCGCAGATATAAATAAATAAATCTAGCGTACCATGGATTATTCACAACCGCATCACTTCATTGGTAATTCAATCATGATTAAATTTAACTTGCATAACTTTCGATAATTTCTGCCGGTAAAATCGGTGTCATAAAAAACCACTGAACTGGAGCACAGCAGAGAGTGGAATGGTGTATAGAGCAATTTGTTCGTCACTGGAGAATTCGGGCAGTTTGCTTCGCCGCGATGGGAAATGTGACTCAATTTCCAAGCTGCTCACGGACGCTTCATTAATGGAAGGGCACAGCTAGAAGCAAAAGTTATGCTTGGTCGGATAACGCGAATAAATTCTGAATTAAGCCACTCGACTCAGGCACATACGCCCTACCATGAAAACCATTCGTTGACAGTCTCGTTCATTCTCAACATTACGATTATAAGCGGTTTTTCTTTCTTTTTTTTTTTTACTGCGGCGGTCGGTGGTGGTGGTTGGCGTCGCCACGTGTGTGTTGGGCGGCGGCTTCTCTCTTGTGTGCGAGCCAGCAATTGCAATTTTCTTGTTCAGTGTAAGAATGGTAATAAATTTTAAAAAAATAATGATTTGCCCACACTGGATACAGCTAGTTCCAAATGCAAGAACAAGAACCTTTCAGACAAAGCTTGTTGGTCGCTTATAGAGAGAGGAGAGGAGAGAGAAAAAAAGACATATTTCTGCTATTTTAATTATTATTCTGGTAGAATCAGCAAAAAGCCACCCCATCAAAATTCAAGACACTGAATGAAAAGGAAGAAGTGTAGGCCAGTCAGTCTTTGGAAACGAGATGTGGCTTTCGCTGCGGCTGTGCCGTATACTGGTCTGGCACATTTAATAGACTAGTGGACATCTAAAGGTAGACAAATTACCGGGAAAGACTAAATGATATTTGTATGGAAATTCGTATCAATGACTTCGGGATCCTTTTTCATTCGCTACGACAGGGAGCGCGCTGAAAACTCGGCACTGGTAGGGCGCCCGGTTATTTATTGTTGTTGCTGTTGACATTATTTTGGAGATTCTCGGCAAATGCTGGCAAAAGGAATCGTGAAGGGGTTTCTACCTTATCGACAACCTTGGCCGTGAAACGGTTTTCCCCTCCAATGCCCCTCCCTTTGTCGCAGTTCTGCCGTCTTTATATCTGCCTCCATCGGCGAGATGGAGTGAGCTTCGAAAGTGAGTGACTTCTCCCTGGATGAAGTGTGATTTCTTGAGAGCGTCATGCACTCCCAGGATGGGAAGAAATCGTCCGTTTCCTCTCAATGAACTTGGCATAAGGTCCTCTATTAGAGGAATTCGAATTCAAACAGTCCCTTTCCTCCCTTGCATCTTGGATGGTAGAGTCGTTCGACGGCAGCCTTCTGATGATGGGCTCGATGGGTGGTGTGGAGTTTTCGGGTAGCTTGATCGATAGCCTGTTCTGGCGGTGACCAATCCAGAACCCCAACTCGTCAGCTGAGGACGGGGGGTTATTGATAATCGAGATCTTATTCTTGCCAGACAGCTCTGTCTCTAGTTCGAGGCAGACTCTTCGCTTGTACTCGGCTGTCAACTTTTGCCTGACGTCTTTAACTGCCACGGAGGTTTCTGTTCCATATCTAGGTTTTTCGTAGGTGTCAGGTGGAGTGGGCTCTCGGAATTATTATTCAAACCGGTGTGAGGTAAACCGAAGGCTTACTGAACGAAGATTCAACATGTAATACCTGCGAAAGAAAAGCGTTGACTGCCACAGAAAATAGCACTTCGTCGTATGGGAGTCTGTGTGTTAGCGCTCTGACATCCAAACCGCTGAATATTGAGCGCTGAAATTTTTTACACTGATTCCTTAGCATCCAAGGATGTGCCCTTCTCATGGGACAAACACTTGCTCCGAAGTACTGTTTTCCTTAATTTCACGAAAAACTCAATTTCGCAATGGGAGATGAAATTTGCCTATCACAGCCTCTGACGTCGTGGATGCCATTTAATAAACATCGACTGGGAAAATAAAAATGTACATAGGCTCAATGCAATCAGTGCACTAGGTCTAGAGTCATTGGTAAAAGGTGTGAGGTGTGGAGGCCGAGGTATGGAGTTGCATCCAACGCATTCTCCTTCGCTACCACCTTATGCCACGATATGAGGTGTAGAGATCCTCCGTTATGGTCAAGAGGTGGTGGTGGAAGGAGTATGCCTTGGATGCAACTTCCTACCTCCTCCGCCTCCACACCTCATACTGTGCAGCTATTTGCGCACTGTTGAAGATTCAGTTTTGGCTTCATGGAGGGTCACCGCAAACAAACAAATCGATGAAATCATAAAACCTCATAGAATTATCTTCCTCATGGCACAAAAACCATTGTTCTAGTTCAAAAATCACAGAAGTTATTACAATTTTAAAATAGGGAGTGACTTTCCAACCACCCTGTAGAATGTTCTAGCTTCAGTCCATGGACCAACTTAATGGCTGAGTAATTTCGAGAACTGCTTCCAGGACTCATGCCCCATAAGTAAATAAATACTTTATTTATATTGCCACATATCTACGGATGGTTTTTCTTAAAAAGTATGAAAACTTTACCCGTTGGAAAATGCAACCATCACCTTTCAAACTCAATAGTTGAGGGAAGAAAATTCCAACGGTCAATAAATTTATTCGAATTTTTCTGGGTTTTTTTTTGGCACTGAAGGTGCCAGGTCGTAGGTAGCTGAAGGTGAATGAGATGTAAGTTTGTGTGGGTCTGTGCATGAGTAAAATCTAATATTAAATTTGACATCTAATTTCTTTCATTCCGGTTTGCCCAGACTTGGCCTGCATCTATTATTATTATCAAAAGGTACGGTATCGGAAATTACGCAGCATTGGGAGTTGATACAAGTTGAAAGATTTAACATTTGCATTCTAAGACTTTCGCCATGTGACGTATGCCTGAAAGTTTGCTGAAGAAATACGGTACTACGAATGGGAGAAAGGGATAGTAGAGCTCTAACAAGGAATTTTTATTTCATGAGGGGAGTGTCCTTCCGTTATGGTGTGTTGTTTGCTCCATCCATTAGTATTGTACAGGATCGACGAGGAAAGTGCAGTCGTTCGATAGACCGATCATTGAATCTAGCTTGGGACTCGAGGACGTCTCAGAGTGCGTGTCGAGTGGGTATCATAGGTCGTAGTAGTTGAAGTGGAATGGGAAATGAAGAAATGGGGAGCCGCACGTGGAATGGAGACGTCTCTTGAACCCTGGAGACTCGCTTTTCCTTATCTCTCTCTCTCTTCTGGTTTCCCTCCGTTGCGCGTTATTCCCTGATTTTTCTCCGTCGACCAACGTTCTCTTAGTTTCCTTCTGTTCTTTCCCCGTGTTCGGCTTTGTGGCCTATCGCTCGCTACCTTCCCAATCACGGTATGATAGTGCGAGTTTCGGTTCCATTTCTGAGAAAGTAAAAAGAAAATACACGTAGATCTCTTTTGTCTGAATTTAACGCTATGGGTTATGATGATGTGAAACAGGGCGAAGAGAAGCAGGGTCAAAGGAGATCGCCGAGGAAGCGACGATCCACGACAGAAACCATGGATCATTCTCATCAAGAATCCCCGCTGGTCCGAGAGGTATGCTCTTTTGTTTTTTTTTTGTTTTTTTTTTTATGCGTCGTTGTACTCAATGCTATGCGATAAAAGGTCAATTTGTAAGATGTGAGGATTCATCCCGACTTGTTCCTTTCTCTGTTCCTCTTTCAAAGTTTCTATCGAAGGGAACCTAGTTCTTAAAGCACACGGTTTGGCATAGTGCAATTCTTAGGGTGTTTCACACTTAGCGTGTCATGCGTCCCTTATGTCAACGCTGAGGAAGGTAGGCAGTCGCATGTGTGCGCGCGCACGCATGTCCACTTACATAGAAGGTTTTCCCAAAACGCAAGACTTGCATGCGGAAATGGGATGAGTTCCATTGAAAACGCAAGACTTGCGTTTAGTGAAAACCTTCGATGTAAGTGGACGCGCGTGCGCACACGTGCGACTGCCTACCTTCCCAAGCGTTGACACTAGGGACGCCTATGACACGCTAAGTGTGAAACGCCCTTTAGCCTAGGTGTAGGTCTAAAAGTCTCAATTTGCGTTGCATCGTAACGATGCCGATTGACCTAGACTGTGTGTTCGAATCCTCGAAGGAAGAAAATTATACCATTTTTATTTTGGGGTATCTGTCTGTTTGTTCGTCGGCAGTCGTGTGTGAAGCCGGCGCCGTTCTGGGACGATCCGGAGGCGGTGGCAGAAAGAAACGCCTGCGATTACGACATCCGCATCTCCCTGGACATGGCCCAGGAGGGAAAAGGTAGACCCGCATCCATTCATGGGTGTCGATTTGTAGATGCATGGGAATGGTAAAAAAAAATAGAGTGAATGCCCTGCTGTCGGGCGTTTCCCTTGGATTTTTATTATTTCAAACATCCATGCATACTAGAGCAGATTGTCATTAATTGCATGAGCCCGCAGCGGCAATGATTTTTTAAATTTTAATGCAACGAGTATGAGTGCGACGTTTCCGACCTTATTTTTGGAAAGCTTACGGGAACCTCGTTCCGCTAATTTTCGTCTCCGCCAACATTTCTCATCGACGGATGGGATGAGGGACTTGAAGGGATGATGGAACTGAACTGTCTGTGATGTAGCCCCTCGGAGGATCCGGGTGTACGCGGACGGCATCTACGACCTTTTCCACGGCGGACATGCACGACAGCTCATGCAAGCCAAGACCGTATTCTCTAACGTCTATCTCATCGTCGGAGGTACTTCTATCCCTGTATTTGCCTTCTTCAGCGTCCTATCGGCATTTGTCCAACCCTTCTTTCTTTTTGCTTTTCTCTTTCACGTTGGGAATCATTTCGTGCTTGATCCTGAAACCCTACCTTCTTTAACCCTTTGGGGTCCGAGTTTTTCTTTTACTGTCTGCACGTGCCGATCCGAGTTTTTTTTTTCACTCTCTCAAAGGAATAAGAAAAAATGCATGACTGCAACACTCGTACGAATGGGGTTGCGCTTCCAATATGCCATTCTAAACATTTCAAGCTATTTTCGTTCTAGATATATCAACTTAGTTTTAAAAAAAAAGTCAGTGGAAAGCTTCTTTCAACACTGGAGAAGGTGTGGTAGCGCTCCATGCACTGGTGGACGCATAGGGGCTTGTCGCAGGTGTCGCACATTTGACGCGCTTCTTGCTTCTTCTTCGGGCCCATGCATGAGTGGGTGCACACGTGACACACTCTAGTCTTTCCAAAAACTTCTGTCTTCAGTTTCTGTTAGGTGCTCGAGTAGTCGCTGATTGACCTTTTTCTCACATGCCCCATTAGCATACTTAATGTACGAAACAGCATGATCTCAGAAGTGTTAGTTAGGGACCAGTTCATCTGGGATACTTCCTTGTAATATTGGATTGTCTCCTGCACCAACTTTTCGCACAGTTTTGGTGTAAAAAGTGCAGGAAAAAAATTATTGCAGTACAATTTGACTCAAAGGATGATTGCACATCTTAAGAAAATCTCAGGAAACGAAGAACATCATTTGAAGCATTATTCAATTCAAAATCTAAGTCGGAAACAGCAAATCTTCAACAATTACCTCTTTTGATAGTTTGCTGCGAGTCATGTTTACTGGACTGTAGCTGATTAGAAGAAGTTACCACAATACCCCACATGACTAGGATTTGAAATGTGACGTCAGCGCCTGGTAACGTGTCAGGACAGGTGCGGGATAGTAACGAGAAAACGTGAAACGAGATATCTCGGGCGTGGACCCCAAAGGGTTAATGAGCTTTCGGTCTCATTCCGAATCTTGTTGGGTCTTGCATAATACTTGCAATTGGGCTTCTCACTCCATGACCTTCCGCAATGGGATATCCCCTACTCGTGTGGGCCCAAGGTCATGCATTACTTTCAACAATGAGTTTAACCTGGAATATAAATTCTTGCTAAAAAGCCCTAAAAGATAGATACTTAGCATTGGCCGAGGCAATTGACCATTCTTATCCGTCTGTTTCTGAATGTGCTGATGGCAATATAAGTTGATTTGTTAGTCTTTATAACTCTGGTTTACTCAATGAGCTTTGTTGTCGCTCAGTTTGCAGCGACAAGCTGACGCGAGAGCGGAAGGGGTGCACCGTGATGGACGAGCACGATCGCTACGAGGGAGTGCGTCACTGCCGATACGTGGACGAGGTGGTGCACGATGCCCCCTGGTCCATCGATGACGACTTCCTCCAGACGCACAAGATCGACTTCGTCGCCCACGACGATATCCCTTACACGACCGGCTCGGCCGAAGACGTCTACGCATCCCTAAAGGCCCGCGGGATGTTCGTGGCCACTGAGCGCACCGAGGGGATTTCCACGTCGGACATCGTTGCCCGCATCGTCCGTGATTATGACCTCTACGTCCGGCGCAACCTGGCCCGCGGCTACACCGCCAAAGATTTGAACGTCTCATTCATCAAGGTTTTTCTCAGCTCTTGTCCATTCCAGAGCCTCTCGTTTTATAAGTCTTTGGATAATCTGCCAGATCAATTGGGGATCATTTGACATTAACCCTATTCTTCCCTGAAGTTTGAAAATGTTTCATTTGAAAGACTCCTTGTCACACGTTCGTGCATACCTAAAAATTGCATCTCGGTCAGATGACTCAGACGGGGGAAACGCATATGGTACTCTTGAGTCCCTCCGGAACGAAGAGCCTGTAAGCGGTATCTTTGATTACCACTAGTGAACTAGGTATACGCCTTTCTGAAGAAAATTTGGGCGTGATTCGTATGTGTACTATTTGGAATTCGAAAGCGTCGATCTCTAAGCAGATTCTTCCAAAAGTCACTTTCATTGTTGAAGCAGCTGAGGAGCGCACACGGAACGACGTGAGATCGGATGTTGAACCAACTAGCAGAAACAATTCGGATGCCGTGATGATGCCATCAACGTGTAACGTGCCCTTACAGTGGAGACGAAAGTCAGCAGGAACGGACGCGTTCAACACACTTCCAGAATTGAAAGACCTCACACAGAGATTCTCCTTGTTCCTCAAGAATTGCGTTGTGCAGCAGTTGGGAAGGTGTTGCTGCTCAGTGAGGCCATTCTGAGGCCATGTGACCAATAGAACCCATACACAATCATTACTGAACCACCTAGGCCATTAGCTGTGGTTGCAGGGCACATGAAATGAGGGTGGTGTACTCGCCACGCCTGATTCATCTGCACACATCGGCTTTTGCATCATCTAATCGCTCCCACATCTAGTTTACCTCATCCAATGTCACTTCGTGTGCCCTCTGTAGCTGCCTGAATAGTAACTTAAAATCCTGCGTAAATGAGAGAAACTTTGGATTTAGCATTTGCCAAAATTTCATGACTTTTACTAGGCTCAAGGATTGCAGTCCATATACATTCATTAATTTGCTCATGTGCTAGACACCTACTGAGTAGCTTTAGAATCAGCTTCATTGGCATTCAGCAGATTGCAAATTAGGTGAGTTTCTTTCTCTGTCTGCTTGGCTGGAAGTTATTTCCTGCTCTGACCATGGAATGCTCAGGTACCAAGAGGAAAGAAAGGTTCAACTTACCTGGTGTCTGAAGCTCTAAACCCTTGAAAATATTAGAATTTATATAGTTTGAGTTCGCAAGTGTAGAACCCTTTTATCTTTACTTTCCTTCTAGTGTAGATTGTCCAAAGATGACCATTTAGTGAGAATGTCTTACATGGGGCACAATTATGCCTCCCTTCCTCCCTGAATGTATCAGCGAGAATTGCAGAAGGGTAGGCCAAAAGGTAATAGTCCCACGACTTAAAAAAAATGCAGACTTCCTCCCACAATCATGAGAAAGAATCCACTCTGATGATCACACATTGTGTGTGGACAGGAGAAAAGATTCCGACTCCAAAACAAGATGACAGAGATGTTGGGTCGGGGGAAGTCAGTGGTGGGAAAGGTTGGTGGGAAGGGCCAGGAAGTCCTCAGCAGATGGGAGGAGAAGTCCTGGGAATACATCAACAACTTCCTCCTCTTCTTTGGCAAGGAAGGCATTGTGAGTCTCTTTTCTTTCTTTGCTTTTACCCCACAATGTGCATATAACACAGGTTATTAACAGCCCTGTCCTATCTCTGTCACCAGTATTCTCATTTGATAGAACTAGCATCTGTAGTGTATTGACTAAGGTGTTACTATATGGTCAGTTTTTGAGCTTCCTTTGTTAAAGAAAAGAGATTTCCTGTCATTTACTGGATGAGCAAATCTTTCCATCATTTTCCAAATTGTCCAAAATTTCATTAGTATTTAATGCAACTCACAAATATATACCATGCCAGCCCCATCATATTACTTGCAATAAGACCCTTAATGCCAAGGAAGTTCCCTCCCATATGGGCCATACCTTGACTCTTTTTCTCCAATTATTGGTGTCATCCTATTGTAACTTTGTTTACAGGGGAACATCTGGAAGGAAGGGAAGAGCATAGTGAGGCAGGCATTGAGCCCCCCGTCCTCTCCAGGGAGCTCCTCCCCTCCTACTAGCCACAATGGAAACTCCTCCCCTGACCTCTCTCAATGGTGTGTCTACATCTCTCTCCATTTTCATGACTCATTTCTAACTTTTATTAGTTATTATGGGAAAGCCCTTTTCAAATGCCATTTAGATTTGAAAAATGGTGCCATTCCAATGACAGGAACAGTAGGTTTCTGAATGTATGTTAAATGATATAGATTCAAATTTTTGTGCATGAAAAAGTCTTTAACAATAGGTGGATTGGTTCCCAGTGGTTCGTTGAGTGCATCTGTGGCTCATAAAATGTATTATTGTTAGCAACATCAGGGAGTCAGGATAGTGAGGAGAAAGAGGTTCCCTTACCCTATCCCTTCCCTTCTATCCTTCATCCTTTCCATCTATTCTTATCTCCATTTTCCCCTTTTTGAGGAGACAACTTATGGGTTTTGGGTTACTTTACACTGTCTAATATCTAATAATAAAACCACCTAAGTTCAGACATTCTAACATGTATTGTTGAAAAATAAGCATTCATGAGATCACCCTCAAATAAATTTTCCTAGCCCAAGATTGACTTGTTCCTAAGAAAATGAGTTGTGGTGGCCATGATCAAGCACAATTTCAAGATATTGGGCTGAAATAAATGTCATATCAGGGAATTCAAGGAAACATACTGAAATTATCTTATTTGAGAAATGCTTCACACATGGTATTAATTCTATGATCAGTTCTTATTTCCAATGAAACTAGGGAACATAAGAGTACTCCTTCACAGAATGTTCATACCATGAACAGATTTTTGCCCTACTTCATTGTGTCCTAAGTTGTGCTCAAAGGTTTTTTTTCATCTAAGTTCAGATACCTGCAAAATAGGCAGTATTGGAAGCTATAAGGCTTGAAGGACAACATCTTCACAACACTCATACCTACTCGTGTTGTGCTCCCAAGTACAAAAAAGAAGTATTTGGCTTGTACCATTTAGGCATGAGTGAATTACAAGGCTTAACTGTCTAAAAAATTGGTGGTTTTACCCTATTATTTGTGGATCTTCAAGACTTTCATTCCAGATTCACTAAAAATTTCATTTCATGTTTTGGTCTTTTGAAGTCCTCCTTACAAGATGCGACGCTGCAATGAAGACCCTGAGGAGTACTCAGAGGACGAAGATGAAGAAATGCCTTGCTCCACCAAGGCAGATGCTGTCTCTTCCTAGAATTCCATCATTCATTTCAGTTGACAGTCTCTTGTGATTTCCCCTTGACCATTGAGCTCATTTCTTTATTTACTCTTTTTTTCTTATCTTTCTCTCCCTTTGGGTATTCAAAATGAAAAAAATATTTATGTGCTTAATTTTATCAAATGGACTATATCATCTTCATAGAATGGAGGGAAAGTTTGAAGTGAATTTAGATAAAAATTTTCTTTGGGATGGACACTTGGCTTGTTTTCATCATCCTTTGATGATTCCACATAATTTAGCTCACATCAAAGAGCACATGACACATTCATATAGCACCATTACAGCAGTACTTGGTGGTATGCATGTTTTTTGATGGTATTCCTTGTGAACAGGAATTCACTGAGTGCAATTCTAGTGAAAACTCATGTCAGACAAGGTATCTGCAATTGTTCACAATATTGCACATACCAACTTGTGGTTCCTGTGCAATGATGGGCAGTTTAAAGTAAAGCCAGCAAAAACACGAGGATGATTTTCAGCCTAGAGTCTCACAGGCAGTGATCAAGTGATGGCTGGCTCCAGGCTGAAAATGCTTGGGCACACATTTTAGAGTATTGAGTAACAAGAATTCAGAATGAGCACCAAGTCTGCTGGAATGTAAACCACTTAATACCATTAATGGGTCGTGCTAGGTTTCTTGCCATAGGGGTCCCCTGATAATTAAGGGGGTTACTTTCCAAGTGAAGCACAAGAGAAACTAGAAGGGTTCCTCAAGAGTCCAGCAATCCATGTGTATTTGCCAACTTAATGTAACCAAGCTGTATGATATTCAATTCAGCAGTCTTAGGCCTTCTGCCTGTGTGTCCCAGGGCCGGCAGGAGGCCAGGGCAAGAACCTTAATGCAACTCCTGATTAATCATATTGAACTATCAGTCAGGCTACAAGAATATGGACCAATGATGGCATCGATACTAGTAAGCCAGAATGAAGGGGCTCACCATAGATAATCAAGCAGATTAAAACAGACTATGACAGACAAAACTTATTTCATTGAATAAATATGTGGACACAATAAAAATCAAGTATGAATAATAAAAAAAGAGGCAAAGAACTCACAATAATACTGTGACAGAAACAGGAAGAAACTTTAGAAGGTAATCAGGGTAGTTTCTCCTTCAGAAACTCACATCATATGGGTACATAGTAACTCAAGATGTAAAATGAAAATCCTCCAAGGAGGGGAAGGGGCAAGAGACAAATGGAAGAGAACTAGACTATTTCTCCTGACTAGACCAGCTTTCAAGGACATTTCTGCCTGTTGGGGAGGTCTAGTGCAAAGACCATAAAGACAGATCACTTGGTTCTCCCGTATTGGTATAACTCTTGATTTTGCAGATGGTTTATTCAACTAGGGAGCCCTGTCATTTGGCTTCTGCCACCATGCCAGCTGGATCAGCTCTCAAATGCACTCAAAATGTAGGAATGCATCAAACCTACACATTGATTGCTTGTGCTGCACAATCATGTATTCACAAGAAGCAACTGGGGGGTGGACAGTCATCCTTCATTACAGTCTTGGGTCTAGCATCCACTGTGGTTTTATTGTTCACAGCAATCCTGGCCTTCAAGTGAGTCTTAGTCACAGACTTGAAGCCCCACTTGAACCTCTTAGCTATTGGAAGATAGCATTAGTCATTACTGAAGCTTGAAGACCTCAAAGTGGCAAGGAGCATGACATGAATGCTTCCCATCAGTAAGATGGGAAAGTATCACTTACAGATATGCCAAAGGGTTCCACACTTCCACTGAAAACTCCTCATCTCCTCATTGTATTGATTTTGAAATGAACAGAATGCACATTCTGATGGAAGTGTAAAGAGGAGAGAGTAATTAAAAATAAAAAAACCGGGCAATCCTGACTAGATCATCTTTCCTCATTGAATCTAGAGCAGCAATTCTCAACCTGTGTGCTGCAGTGCCCAGGGGTGCTGGAAGGTTTTATTTTTTTATTTTTGACTCACCACCTATAGATGGCAAGGAAGCAAACAATGCCCCTTGGCTGATACATTAAGGGAGCAATTCTTAGAAAATTTCAACAAACCTCTGGAGAAGAACCATTTTAATGATGCATCCTGACTCCTGGCTATGTCACAGAAGAATGCAAAGACCAGTACACTGCTGCAGTATGATCCTGATTCCTTTTGCTACTACATCCCTGTCTGTCTACCTTGTTTGATTCTGGGCAAGCAAAATACAAGTGCAAGGCCCAAATGAGCAATGAAAATGTCCTGTTTGAGCTTCCTCTAAAAAAAAAATCACCACTAGATTTTTGGTGCAATTTGAGGTAACCTTCAGCTTGCCACAACAGTTTTATCAGCGTTTTTATAATAAAAAAAGTCAGTATACCTTTGAGGATAGAAAGGATGAGAACTGCTGATACAGAGGATGATTAAGATTGTAAAAACAGCACAGATCTACCAGTCACAAATATGAGCTGCCTCAAATCCAAAATGAACACAAAAGAAAACAGGCAGAAAAAAGAAAGCACGAGAAGAGATTCCTGGTAGGCATGATACAATCAATGGTGTGAGAAGACAACAATCTCACAGCCCGTATCCCAGTGAGCTTAGAGAAAAAAACCTTTCTTGAACTCACTCACACAAGAGACCCTAGTCCAGTTGGCCTACTCTGGACTGAGGTGCATTCAGGTAGAAAGTGGAGATTGCAGGAAAGGGAGGACTCCTAAAGAAGGGAACACTTACGTTCTCTTCTCCTGGCTGGTTCTGGTCGAAGGACGGCTCGAACAGCCTCATCAAACACCTGTTGTGCATTCCACATCATGTCAAGATAAAGAATTTCTTGTCACTTCTTCCTTCAAGTCAAGTGGGAATCATGCTAGCAGTAGGCCTACCTGTTTAAGGCCCCTCTGGGTGAGAGCAGAGCATTCAAGATACTTGATGGCCCTGATCTTGGAAGCCAATTTTTGACCCTGTTCCCTCTTGACAGGACTAACACCCTGCTCAGCCAGCTGGTTCAGTGTCTCCTTCTCCTCCCGCAGATCTATTTTCGTCCCTGTGATGTCCAAGGTCAATGATGAGAAAGCAATGTTTCTAATATGAAAGAATCAAGAAACAATATGTATACCAATGAGAAGAATGGGAGCATCAGGACAGTGGTGCTTGATCTCAGGATACCACTTGGACGTCACATTGTCATACGATGATGGAGACACCACACTAAAGCAGATCAGGAACACATCCGTCTGGGACAAAGGAAATTTTAAAATTAATGGAAACTTCATCCATAACCAAATCACTCCCATTTCTCTCCAAATGAATTAATGGCAGTTGGATGTATGCATGTAGTGTGGACATGCCTGAGGGTATGAGAGAGGGCGAAGGCGATCATAGTCTTCCTGTCCAGCTGTGTCCCACAGTCCCAAACTCACAGGAACTCCATCTACCACCATTGGGGCTGAGTAGTTGTCAAATCTGTAACATCCATCTCACCAATGTATTGAACCCATTGGAAATTCAGTGACAGCCTTAACAAGACTAATAAAAAACAAAAGCAAACTATTTGTTTCTTAAATCATTTAAACTTAGATGAGCCAGAATACCTGCTCGTGGCTCATTAGTCTTACAAGCTGCCATGCCATGCAGTCAAAAGTTATTATTTACAAGCTTCTATTTTGAAGGCTAATCATAGGGATTGGGATCTTGCTTTAACAAGCAAGGTTATACATATAGGTGGTAACTCTGCCCATGGAAATGAGAAATTTGCATGAATTTCTCTGCAGGATATGAGGTTGCAATAGTTCATAAGTTTGATGACAGTCATTATATTAAATGTATTTAAAGATTTATCATCTGTCACCCCAGATCTTATGAATTCCAAAAATTTCTGACATTCATGAGCTCTCTCTTGGTTGCATCTAAAACATTATAATTATTATTAAATAGAACCAACATTTGGAAGAAAACCATTGGTCTTTGCAATGCAAGGTGCAAAAGGTCAGTCAAGTTAAGATCCTCTAATTTATCTATACAGAATTTTTGTATTTTAACGCAACACAGGGATTATTTTGCCGTCTGTTTATGGAGTTCAGCGTGTGCCTTACAGCTCACTGGGTTGGATATCTGCAAGGAAACACACCAGTGATAACATTCATCCTTCCAGATATGCAACCCAGTGAGCTGTAAGGCACACGCTGAACTCCATAAACAGATGGCAAACCTTCCCCTATGTTGTGTTTAAATACGAACACCCTGTAATTCTGTTAGATATCTTCATGTCCACCAAAAGTGGGTTCCAGAGCTATGTTTTTACAATTAGCCAGGCTACAAGTCTGAAATTCCTATTGCTGCTCAATTAAAAAATAGGCACTTGGGTTTAATCACTTTTAGTAATAATTATTTTTCTTTGTACATACTCAAATAATAACAACAGTTTACATGATTGCACATTAGGTTTATGGGGTACCATTTCACTCCTACAGGTGGAATGACTAGAATTCCCTCAGAATCATCAAATCTAGGATATGGCAATAGTCTTAATATAGGTTTTCCCTACAAATTTAGGCAAAAGTCCATTCAAATTCGCAGCGGCTGTTTCAATTTCGGCAGTGCTCCTCTCTCCTCCCAGTTATCCCATTCAATTTTGGCAGGTGACTTTCGATTTTGGCATTCACCGTTTCAATTTTGGCAGCGCAAGGGAATATCTTGTCTCTGGTAGTTAAAATGGGAATGAGGAATAAGGAAGGAAAGGGCACAAATGCATAGGGTATTTTTGGCGAATGACCATTATTTTATTATGCAAAGGTAAACACATGGATATCAACATTGATTCTATCTATCACTATGTTCTCTTCTTTTGGCATCTAATCAAGTATGTTAGTGCATGGCAAAACCATGCAAAGCACTTCTATTTTCTTTTATTCTCCCAACTGATGTCTCTCCTATTTCGAGCAGTTTCTCTGTCTGACTTTGCTGCAAGTTTTGTTCTGGTCTTTGTTGTCCAAGTTTTACCAGTATTTCAGGAAAATACACCTCATGTTTGACAGCTGCCTTATATGCAGAGTGGGCATGTTCTGTCGGATTCAAGAAAGGAATATGTCGACAGAAACTTCATGTGAATGTAAGGAAAATCATCTGGAACTGAGGCTCATTTGTGGGGTCTAGCATTATCCATGATGATATAAACTGGTTGATCTGGTAGCAAAATCATGTATACATGTCTCAGGAGCTCCTCAAAGAACTCCTGGAATGACAACGATGTGACGTGTTCCTGTTGTTCCTTCGTAGTAAAAGATTATTCCAAGCATGGAAATGAACATGAACCTACGTGGAGGATTCACAGAAAGGAACAGCCGATTTAGGATATTTAGTTCCAGTTTGTAATCTTAGACAATGCTAGACCCCATGAACGAGCCTCTATCCCAGATGACTTTCTTAATATTCATTGGAAGTTTCTGCAGGCATGTTTGCCTTTCTTGAATCCAACAGAACATGCCCAAATTACCCATCAGAAATGCTTTGCGTGGTATCGCCATGCACAAATATACTTGAGCAGATGTCTAAGGAGAGAACTTATCAATGGGAAGAATCCATGTCAATGTCCATGTGTTTTTCTTGCATAATAAAATAATGATTATTTGTCAAAAAAAAATTCCCTATGCATTTGTGCCCTTTCCTGCCCTATTCCTCATACTCATTAAGTCCCAAAAAAAGAGATTCCCTTGTGCTGCCGAAATTGAAATGGTGAATGCCGAAATTGAATGGGAAAATCAAGAGGAAACAGGAGCACTGCCAAAATTGAAATGGCCGCTGCTGAATTTGAATGGACTTTTGCAGAAATTCATCGGGAAAACCCATATTAATGTTTTTGTTTTTAGCCATTCACCCTCAACATGGTATTGACAATTTATTTGCAAGTTGCACTCATTGATCACTAAAACTAAAGTTACTGTTTCTGTATTATAAATAAAAAATGGAACGTGGATAATGGATATGACTGTGTGAACAAGTATTTAACCCTTTTTATATGATGTTTTCTGTGGGCAGCTGTATCTCCCAGCTGTACAGTTACAGCTATAGTACCAAAAGGATTAAAGAAGATGCACTGAAAATGGCTAATTTGCACTAATTACTCCATGGGGGGAAAAGAAAGCTTGATAACAACTGGCTTACAGTGTATTGGAGGTAGCCTAGCTGACTTCAAGCCTAATAGCTTGTTTGGACTGGAGGAAAAACCTAGAGATTTTCTAGATAAAAAAAATTTCTAAGCATAGTCAAACCTGATCTTGCTGGTGACCCCCTGCTATATAAAATGCCTCTGCCACCATTCCTAGCATTTTTTAATTCCTTAGAAAAAGATAGAAAAATAGCTAGGGATGAAGAGAGCAGCAACACAATGGCCATTCTTTGGTATCTCACTGATGTCAGTCTGCAAACACTGTTTAGAATAAGAATGCATAAAAAAAGAGACACAAACCCCCCCAAAATTGAAGGCCATCCAAAGTTGATAACAATTGGAAATTAGGGCAAGGGCAGGAAACCATGGCAAATGGTGACCTTAAAGAAATCTGTGGGGAAAGGCCCAATACATCTAAAATAAATATTTTGGAATCAAGCACATCTCAAGAAGACATTGATGATAACATTAGAAATAGATTGATAACTGCCATGAATCCTCAATGAAGAGGCTATGAGAAGGAAGACCACATAGTGGAGGAGACTGCCACCTCCAAATACCTAGGAGCTGACCCAAGTTAAAACAAGGGAGATTTAATTTATGCTCTTCAAGCACATCTCTAGAAATAATCTAAAACCACTTTGAACAAAGAAAGCTAGAAAATGTAGATACCCAATGTTTCTGTGGGTTGAACATCCAGAGGAAAAGATACAATCAGAACAAGACCGATGTCAACCTTGGGCTTATGATGATTTCTTCTTAGACCTAACACTATATTCTTATCCTATTGGGGCATCTTGGCATTGAGGCCACATGTCTCTAAATGAGGAGGTTTGGCATGCTAAAATATATTGGTTTTACTTCATGGGGCTAAATGCACAGCTAATATCTCCTCAACAAAGGTGGCAGGCAAGCTCTAAGAGACTAAATTAAGGTTTTTCATCTCAATTTCCTCTTTGTCTTAATCACTTCCAAAGTAAAAAGAGACTTTGTCAAGGAGGAAGGGAGTCTCAATGTACCACTGCTCCAGGGAAAAAGACATTTGTATGCAGTACTGCCCTTGAATAAATATGTTAGGATAAGTTTACTATATCCTTCCTAGTCCTGCTTACATCCTCCAAGCAGACATTCCTATGCTTCCAATTGAGGACCACCATGCAAGATTTTGCATAGAAAAAACAATTCCATTCTTACACTTAACTTCAAGAGCTTTCCACTAAATGGTTTGAACGAGGTCAGTGAGAATCCCTGTCATTCAGTCGTTTGGGATAAAACTGGCATTTATTTTCAGATGAATGGGTCAGGCCTATTCAACTGATGCCTATAATTAACCTTCGAGAAATACCATGTAGAAGAACAGCTCTGTAAATCCACGATGAGCCTAGTATAGGGCTTAACATCAACTATGAAATTAGCGCGAGGAAAACTCACACAGTCGGGACATATTCTCCTGGGAAGCTGTCGGTAGTATAGGAGATGAGCATGCAAGTCTTCCCTACTGTGCCATCTCCGACCACAACGCATTTTATGGGTCTTCCTGACGACATTCTTCCTTAGCCTAGTCTTTAAGATTCACTTTCAAGAAATCAGCATCACAGCTGCGGATGGGAAAACTATTCGACGTCCAAGGGTGCGGCCATGCTTTTCGGCAGTGATGCCATATATACCAACCTCTTCAATCATGACTTACAGATTCCACGAGAACCACGCCCTTACCGAAGCAGAAAAGACGCATTAAAATAAGCTACCCAGAAGCATGAACTTCCCCTGCTTTATGTATGTTTCTGAATCCAAAGCTACCTTCATCGGTCCAAGTAAAACTCAGACTGTTGCCGGTTGGAAGGCAAAAGAGTACAGGAATCCAAAGTCGCAATATTGCCCATCCCTCTGTTGAAGGAAATTAGTGGATCCCAGGAAGACTGAGTGATCCTAGAGGTTGACGATGAATGTCTGAATGAATAATAGAAATCCGAATAGAACCAGTTTTCAATGCTCTTATCAAGATAGACACAATCGCTAACAGACAGAAAACATGTGGGAAAAAAACAACTAACATGGGGGGGGGCTGAGAAGGCATCATCCCACAAGCATCACTGCAGGGAAGAACCAAAAACAAAGATAGAGGAGAAAAGAAGTGCGAGATGACATGGACACTAGACTCGGGTGCCTCGATGCATCCTGGGGCGAGCCCACTCCACAAAATCGTCAATCAGCACTGGCCACGCCCCCTCCTCGTCGTAATTGCTCAAGTCCGAATTGATCGTGTTAGCAAAGTCCAGCAACAAGTTCCACGTATCACGGGGGATTGACCGTTTGTGGTGCTCCTGCACAAATCCAAGAAACACACCCAGCAATGAAACATTTTTCACTTCATCGCAAACAATATTTATTGGCTGCGCTTGTTCAGATATTTATTACAATTGGAACCCAGGGAACATGAGTTCGAACGAAAACTGTTGCAGCCTAATAACAACAGTTTAACTCGGCTATAACGTCAACGAGGGCACCAAATGGGGGGAGGGGGAAATAATAAAAAAAATAGCAGAGGTTCCTTAAAAACGACGCAGTATTAGGACGAGGATGATGCAGAACGGGGACGCTAAGTGAAATTGCCAAATTTTGGTACCAAGGATCTAGCTCAGCATGCTGCTGATCGGTACGCAGTACTTCCTCGTATCTCATCCACGTTTAAAAATTTAACTTCATAGCGAAATCAGGGAAGGCTATATTTCATCGAAAATTAGCCATTGTTGTTTGGAACATTTGACTACCATTGTTGTCAAATGTTCCACGGGTGGGGCAAAATCGGACACCCCTGACATTTTCTTTGTGCAGTTTTTGTTTCATTAAAGATGCCTGTTTAACTACTTGTGGACGGGATTAATTTTGGCCAAATTGCCCCTCAGACGGGATTAATTTCACATTTTTGAGATGTGCTTTGTATTTACTTACTAGGTGCATACTATTGTATCTTTGATGAATAATGATGATGACTAAGCCTCAGGGGAATTCCTATAGCTTGCCGAACTATAATTATACTAACGTGTTTCAGTTTGGGAAAATTTGCGTTTATGGAACGTCATCCGTCCTCAAGAGGTCACGGAACAGAAGCAGCAATAAAATATTCACGACCAACAAAATTATGTTTCACATGTTTAGGGTCTAAGTCCATAATGCCTTAAAAAAAAAAAGCGTCGTTCACGTTCTATCAAAAGCATTCCCTTCAGCCCCTTCATCGTTCCCACTATATTATACAGAGTGTATCAAAAGTTGGTATCCCCGAAGCTAGAAACTAAGGGTGGATTTTTGAACAGAGAACTATCCGATAATACAGCTTTATTTCTGAGAAAATGCATTATAAATCCGGTAAATAAAGCAGCATTATCGGAGAGCGCTCTGTTCAAAAATCCACCCTAAGTGACAAATTAGTAGTACCCGTTTACTTGCTCGAAACGGACAAACCTACAGCAGTACAATAGCAACTAAATATTAATAATAAAAAACAACAAAAAAGTGATCAACTTTCTGTGCAGTATTTTTGGTCGAGCGGTATGCTGTGGCAGATCATGGGGCAAAATTCCACAACGTATTTATTGAATTCCTCAACAATGAAGTCTTTATATTGATCTTGCGTTTTTCTTTCGTGGGGGTGGGGGGTTCGGTGAGGCGATCTGGCTGGCCAATCGATGAACCTAGATCTGTTGATCCATTTACCCAAGAGATGCTCTTCCAAACATACTCGAAAATGGACATGAAAGTGTTGGTGTTAAGAGATTACAACACTCGTTGTCATCTCGTCGATCAGGTCGTGATATTTAGAATCTGATCAAGCGTTGTCGGCAAGCTTCTACCATCACCCTACTCGACCGGGCACAGACTTTTTCTCCATACCACATATAACTTTTTTCTTAGTTATGCACACGTAGCACACGTGCTCTGTTTCCGAGAAGCAGTGAAAGCTGCTCATTGTGCAAACTTCCCACTGGAAGAGTTTGGAAAGGCAGTGACGGACGAGTCACTTTTCAAGAGTCACTCTTGACAATAAATAACTTATTATAGTCGCAGTTACACTTACTGCAGCTTTTAGTTCAGTAACATCGACATTCCACAATAACTTCTGGTCATCAGTGGCCTCAGGTTCCTAACCTAAGAGGGTAAACGCCGAAGAAACGACGAGACGCAACCGGAGGCATGTTACCATACAAAATGTCATGCTCACACATGGCTCCCTGATCCCATAGAGGAGTTCCGTTTGAGATCGTTTCCGCCACCAGTAGGCTACGCTGGCTGGGGAAGAAGGGGGGGAGGGGGCCTCCTCATCATGCCACTGTGCACGTGCTTGGTTCGCTTACGACTGAACATGGGATGAACTTAAGGCTAAAAATATTCATGCTAGATGTGTCTTAAGCAAACACCCGGTTTTTCACACTCCGGAAACAACTGGATGCAGGAAGAACAATTCCAAGGAAAGCTGTGCTTACCACCTTCATTTTTCTGATACGATCTTTGACTACGAACAAATTGTGAGAGGGGTTTTCATTCACATTGAATTTTGCCGAAAGAAGACAGAAAAGTATCATGTAAAATGAAAAAAAAAACAGTACATAGAAGAGCCAGAAATAGACTCATCTACGATGAGCATTCCTGGAACAGCACAGATATAGAGAATACAGAACTTTCTTGTCAAGCACTGAATAAGGTTGAAGAAAGGTCGAAGCTGAGCTAGTTTTAATAGAATGCTTTTATTCTGCTTTTCTCAACCTCATTTTGATGTGTTTTTCTTCCTTTTTGTTGACAATCTGGTACTTTGACAAACTCATGGCGGCTGTATAACCCAGGTAATGTTCCCTGAGAGCTTGAGCTTTTAAAAATACTGTATTTTAGGTCCTTTTTTCTTTGCCTTCGTTCCCAGTTGTGTTTAAAAAATTTTCCTTCTTCCTATCATTACACACAGAGACTTGACACGGGTAAATACACATCCATTTGAAATTATGCAGGGCATTCCAGTTATAAGCACATGATTGATAGCTACAGAAACAGATATAGATCAGAGGAAGGGAAGTATTAACCCAAAAGTCTGCTACTAGTGATGGCTAACGAGTTTGCAAACAATAGCAGAGAAGTCACATTACATTATGAGGCACTTTATCGTGAGATTTTTTTAACAATTGCACAACTGACAGAAGAAGGGAATCTGGTGTAATGGTCCTAATCTATGCAGCCTGGAGTAAAGGGAAGAAAGAATCTTCAAGGAGGATTCAAGCAAAGAGTGTAGGCTGATGCAACCCATTTCCACAGGGTAACTTTACAAGGCATACTAGTGCTGCCTGTGGAGGAATTCATCCTCTGATCACTTTTCAGAGGGTGTCATATGACTGATTCATCAAGTGCTTATACAAGGAATGTATAACCATTCTTTGTAAGTTTGTGAAAATCCCACTTGCACACATGCCAGGAGTGAATACATTTTGTGGTTTGGGAAGTGAAAAGTAAACATAGTGGCACATCTCCCTTGAATGAGTTTCCGTCTATTTACCCTTCCCCCCCCTTTGTGCAAGTTTTTGTGATTCCTTGTAGTACTCTAGATATGTCTTTAAATTGGCTTATCCATCCAGAAACTGCATTTATGGTTGTATAGAGGGTGAGGAAAAATGTTGCCTGGCTGCTGACAGCTATAAAAATATTTTAAAGGCTGGTATTTTGTGGTGTTCAATCAAGAAAAAGAGAGCAGTGATTATGAAAGAGCATACCTGGAGGAACTGACACCAAAGGTCAAGGAACTTGAAGCGTCCCTGAAGGACAATGTTCCAATAGGCAATGGCCATGTCCAGGTCTAGACCTTTCTGCCCTGGGTTTTTTGCATAAGCAAATGTGAACTGGTAGAAATCCTTGAACTTGGATGCATCCCGCAGCTCCAGCTCTACCAGGGGGAGTTTGCTCTTCAACTTCTCCACACTATCACAGCTGAAACACATCCACAAAACATAGAAATCCATTCTATCAAAGCCATCATGCACCAAGTCAGCAGTTTCCAAACTTTGAGTCATGGAATTAGGCCTGCACCTTCAACCCCCAGTAATCTCAATCACCCTCACCTTTGCCTTGACCTGACCCCATGTGAACCACATCCAGACCAGTTCTAATGAGGGCATTCCTCCAACCTATCTCACTCCACTTTAATGCAAGTTCATGTGTCATTGGTGGGAGGTAGAAGACAGCAGTCCAGAAAAAGTAATATGAGGAGAAGAAAGAATCATTCATAAAGATGAGAGTTTCTGCCAGCCAGCAGCCACTCTTCTCCATACATGAGCCCTCAAACCCCCAGGGGTTCTCTTAGGCTGTGCTACAGGCAGCACTGGCTTGTCTGCTTCAAGTATTTTCTGTGGAGAACCCAACCACCTAAATGGGTCATTCCTGAGATATTTTCAAAGAAGCCATGCATCAAGAGAAATATAATAATTAATAAGCATTTATGGATCATTATGGCTCATTAGCAATTCATGGATAAACAGAATAGGAGTGGTCCTTGGGTCAAGCTATACCTTCCTGTATCATCAATAGCATGTCTTGCTGAAACATGAGATGAGGGAGTGTGTAGCTACCCAATTTCGGTGAGGCCATTGCAGAATTCTTCCTTGGTGAATTCACACTGGGCGGCAGCCTTGAGCTTCCAGGCAAGGACCAGCACTAGTCGAGACTCTGGATTCAAACCCAGATCATCCAACAATCGCACAACTCCATCTGTTGTGATTTTCTCTGGCTCCTGGGGGTCTGTCAATAGATCAACACATGCACATTCTTAGATACCTTCAAGATAAAGAGCAATATATAGACTGTAATATATCAACTTAGGTGGAAAGAGAGATGGTGAGTACATTTCCCTACCCTATTTTACCCTCTTCTCAACATTGTTCATGTAACTTATTCTCAAACATTGAAGCAGATCACTTTTTTTCTTTCTTTTAAATAAATGTGGACTGGGATTGACACACACAGACAAGGACTAATGCCACAAGCAGCCAACACAGTGAAGAGGAAAGGGGATCCAGATTGGACATCCCAGATGGCATTGCCACACCTTCCCACACACTCTATCACTATGTATCCCATTTTTATGGGCCTGGGGCAGGTGACAGCAAATTTAATGCCACTCAGGCCCAAAGCCATCCAACACTGCACATTGGACTGTCAGGGCTGATGTGTCAGGTGCTATTGAAGCAAACCAAACCCCTACCTCTCACACAATGGAGCACAGAGTGGCCTATACTTGAGCCCAAGGGAGAGCAGGCAGTACCTGAAAGCAGCCGGGTGAGCTGTTGGCCCAGAAAACTGCCTGCTGCTGGTTTCCTTGGTCCAGGTTTGACCTGAATGACATTATTATACAAAATGTATCGTATCTATAATGCAAAACGTAAGCTTTCTCCCCTCCCCATTAGGACTGGGAGCAGAAGGATAGTTGCAAAGCACAGAGATCTCATCCTTGTAGGCGGTCAGCATATTCATGTGCCATTCTAGGTGAATGAGAGAAGGGCCAAGGTGCAGTTTATGAAAGGACAGCGCAGCGATGGTTCAATCGTTTCCAGTCTGGAAATTACAGTCTCGAGGATGAGCCCAGGTCAGGCCGTCCATCTGAAATCGACGACAAGCAGTTGCAGCACACAGTGGAAGCCGATCCGAGGCAAAGTACCTGCAACTTAGCGACGGCACTTGGCTGCGTCACAATTGTGGACTGGGCACAGCCAAGTGCCATCGTTAAGTCGTGGGTACTTTACCTTGGATCGGCTTCCACTGTGTGCTGCAACTGCTCGTCGTCGATTTCAGATGGACGGCCTGACCTGGGCTCATTCTCGAGGCTGTAATTTCCAGACCGGAAATGATCGAACCATCATCACGCTGTCCTTTCATAAACTGCACCTTGGCCAAACGCAGTGCAGATGTGGCGACTCGATTCAGCTGTGATGCCAGATAGGAAGTCGTAAAGAAGGCATTGACATTGGGTGGTCTTGTTAAAGTTGATTTTGGAAGTCATGGTTATAGGCTTTGAACGACTAAGCAACTGCTGCGTAATCATGCCCACACACCCTTTATATACTGCTACTGTGGGAGGTTTGAGAAAGTTCCAGAAATTTTTTTTCTGGAAAATTCTCAAAACGGCCAGAACTTTCCGATCGACCCAATAAATAGGAATATGTCATAACAGGGAAGCATCTCGGGTAGCTATTCGAGAAGTGACCTAAGAAAGGAGATCTTCGGCAGAGAAGTAGGAACGCCTGGCATGCAGAAGTTGACTGCAGATTGCAAGCAAAAGGAGAGGAGCAGCATAGATAAGTACAAAGGCACAAAAATGATACTAAATTTCAATAAAAGAAACAACCACACAGGGATAGTGGTCTCTGCAATGAGACAGGAAAGTGACATCATTTTTGAGGCAAACATGTGAGAAATGGTATTATCATGCAAATTGGGAAGGTTCCACAATCATAAAATGGTGAATATGATTTCTTATACATAAAAGTTAGAAGCCAACTCTAGACTGTCATGCTTTGGAACACTGGAGAAAGAATATGTAGGAATATGTTCACATTCTCAATACAACTGGACAGGCACATCATCCATTGGATGGATGATGTGCCTGTCCAGTTGTATTGAGAATGGATATTTTATCAATCAGAAAAGTCCTAATTTCATGAAGTCACCATTTCAATTAACTTGCCTCTGTACTTGCTGTAGAAGTGTTCAAGCTTCTTCTTGTCAATGGAGGACTTAGTCTCCTTGTAATAGTATTCAGGATTCTGGAAGTAGTTATCTGAGGCAAGTTCCAGCTTCCACTCATTCTGCTGCAGGCAAAATATCGCTGTCTTCTCACCAGTGTTTGTGAAACTTACAAACTGTTTCACCCGATCCTTCTGCCATGGACGCAACTTGTGCTGTTTGCATAAAAAAAAAAACAATCTGTTAATGAGGTCCTAACATAATCATCTTACCTCAGGCCAATGACCTTGGTTCTAACATATAAAAACAGCAAACAGTTGTTATATTCACTATATAGTATCTTTCTGCCTGTCTGTTTCCTTTGGTTTTTCCTCAATGCATGGCCTGAAGTTATTAGTATGATTCACCTTTCTGGAATAGTTACCTTAAATCTTTTTTTGAAAGCACCAAATAAGAATTAGCTTAATTTTCAAATTGCAAAAAATATTTAACCATTTCCATGGTAAATAACAAAATTGCATGATACAAATTCAACTCCAACATTTTCCATACTTTCAAAGTCTTGATATGCTGATGGCATATCTACTTCCTCAAATTGGTCAATTGTTTGTAAAATTCAAGCATGTCTTCAAATGGAGACATCGGCAAGTGCAGGCAACTTTTGCGTCAAATGGAAGGAAGTCTTCCTTTCATTTCTGAAGTGGTAGAGAAACCCCGAGCTGTGACTGAAAATTTTGGCCTTTAAGACCAAACTATTTCATTTTAGTCTTGTGTCATTTTGCAAAAGATCCCTGGTATGAAGATGCTTAGCAAATTGAGTTTTTGAACCTCAATTTCCTTGTTCAGAGTTGTATTAGCATCTTTCTGCTAAATATATACCTGATTGCAACGAGTTTTGGAAATTGTTGGCCCCATTGTCTTCCTGAAAAGACATCAGAAAGGGTGCAATTGATCTGAATCAAAGCATATTTGGAATAGGAAGTCTGTTTCCTCCTGGACTCATCATTCTTTTGTGCATAATCCATGCATTGGTGAAATCAACACAATGAAAATGTGCAGTACAACTTATGGATATGCAGACATTTTCCCATTAAGGTTGGTCAACATCTTCATTGTATCAACATTCCTTCCCTCTGATAGTACTCCCAGATGGCTAAGCCTGGCTAAAGCCCTCTCTTTCTGGAATTTGGCCTAGCAAATGACTTTCTTTGCAGGATCCTACCCCAGTTCAAAAGGAGATAGCTTTGTCACCCTACATTTTCATGCCTCTAAATGCTTGAATTTACCTAAACACACAAATTCATTATTCCCTGACTTTGTTTCTCTGTCCACTTTCAAAGGTGACCAACCTGCCATGTTCCCTTATAGTTCCCACACCCTATGTTTACATCTTTCCCATATTTTTAAACAAATTTGTAATTCCAGAAGAAATCATCACATAATATTTTTTTTGCAACATCAATTCCTAAACAGAGTTCAAACCAACTGAACCTCTGATTCCAACATTCAATTTCTTGTCATTAACCTCTTTCCCCTAATAAGCAGAGAAGAGATTAACACAACCAGGCATCCCATTAATTACTTACACCATGTATCCCCTTTAGTAAGTTTCTTGGAATGCAATTTTTCCAAGCTCTTAAATCAAGGAACACAGTCATGATTCCTTTAATTTGTCTTTGTTCCTCTGTCAGAGTAGACCTTGAATGATTTTTGTGACTCATCAATGATGGATCACAATTTTTGAAGCCAGTCTAAATTCACAAGGTGACTGCTAGTTGTAGAGTGCTATCACTGGCAAGAAGATGCTTAGGTGTCTGTTCATAACTTATCAATATCAACTGCTCAAGTATGACAAGCAATTGAATTAAGTGTTACTCTGATGAATAATGTGGATACTGGGATAAATTTACTGATCCCATTAGAAAATATGCCCCATGAAACACTTGCACATGATCACTGTTCCATGAAAATATTGACATGATGGCATATTTCAGTTTTTGTTCAACGATTCAGTAAAGAAAATTAATAGTAATATTTGCTTTTGCAAATTCAGGTTATTGATATTGCAGGTAGGATTAGAGAAGGAATGGCTAACAAAACTAGAGCATCTGTGGGGACTGACTGACTGAATAAAGACTGTTTGTAGGGATGACAGTTTCCCAGCTTCATTGGGGTCAGCAATTTTCCAGCATGATAAATATACCCCTAGAGAAACCTTCATTGTTGCCTTTTAGAATTAGTCACATCACTGGCAAGTGTTTGAGAACAAATAGGATGCCTATGTTGAAGAGTGAATCAAAAGACAAAACTCTTTTCAATTGGGTTTCCTACAATATATTAATGGTACACATACTAAATGCACCTCATATCTTAGATATGCTTCCAATGGCTACCTGTTTTAGGCCCCATAGGGAGAGGGTTCTTGCATATATTCCACCCAAACTGCACAAAACCAAGTTGAAGTGAGAGAGATCTTTAATATTAACCTTAAAAAAAATTAGGGATGGGAACTCATAACATTCAGCATTGATATTTGAGTCATAAGCCATTGGACTTTCTGTCTACAGATGGGCAAGTGATAGGAATGTGATGAGAGTTGCACTTTCAACCCCCCTGGATATCACTGGATCTGGGTCAACCCAAACAGAAAAATCATGCATCATTTTATGAGAAATAGATATACAGGAAAACCTCATTATTCGATATCAGATAGTTCAAAGTATTGGATACTTAGAAGGCATTTACATTCCCCATCTGAGAAGATAAGCAATTTGTATGCTTTATAGTACAGATAATTCTAAATACGGATACTATGAAATTCGTAGGCATTTTCTGGTTCTGTGAGCTATAAACTCAGAAAAATGTTTGTTTACTCCGAAGGGCACTTTTCCCTACGACCTACAGATGACCTATCTCAAACCTCGCCCTCTAAATGGCTGCAAAGCCAGCTAATTGCCTTGAAATCTTCATTTTTCTATTCAGAAGAATTCTAAACATAGACTAATGCCCCTTTCACTAAATCTCCCCCTCTATCCTTACCTATCTCATGCACACCTTATATGACCTTCAGTCAAAAACCATTTCATTGCAGCAGTGCAGTCTCTCTCTCTCTGTGTTGTGAGTGAATGGGGGTGAATGTGCCATGGCAAACAAGAGGAAGTACAAGCATTTCACAGAAGTTGGAAGTTATTTATGACGTGGGCAAGATAGTAAAATCAAAGACCAATATTGCAAAATAATTCGACATACTGCTTTCAACTCTATCTACATTCCTTAAAAATCGTGGCACCATTGAAAAGCTGGCAGAAGGCCATGAAACCAACAAAAGGAAAAGAATACGCTGCACAAAACACGCGGATTTAGTTTAGTATTACAAAATAACAATGGCCACACCAGATAATTCGAACCTGCTCATTTCGAAGTCAGTATTTTTTGGTCCCCTGGATTTCGAATTAACAAGGTTTTCCTGTATATATTATAAGTGGTATGGTCAACTATGGTAATATTTGGATATATATGTGAAAGCATATCTGATCATATCTTCTAATTGAAAAAATGCATAATGATCATGCATGGCAGGGTCATAAACAAACTTAATGAAAACACGTATGTCCATTTTGTATATGGTGAGATATATGCAATAATAATAATAGACATATTTCCTCATAGATCTTGTTCATTGACATAAAGTATGACTTGATGAACTATGCTGAGAACTGGCTCTTCAATTGTCACTCCAATGACATTGAAATAAAAGAAAATGCCTCCCTTATGTGCTGGAATGGATACATGCTAGAATAAGTACACAAAAATGTCCCAATTTAGTTCTAGATTGTACGAAAGCTGTACAGTCAACTAGAAATCCAGATTTGTAAACTTGCTCTATCAATAAGGGATGAATATGAAAAAATAAAAGTAATCACTGCAAATTCTCCATATAATTATCAATTAGTTATTCATTTAGGGATCATTAGCTTGTTCGCTTTGCATGCTCCTCTTCCTTTCCCCTCACAGCTGTGCCATCTTTTTAATTGAAAGCTGAGACAATGTCAGACACTTTGGCCCATGGAAAATTTTCCAGTACAGTTGCTACAGTCAAACATGGACTTTAAGGGTGAACAAAAAAACCTATATTTGACAAAAATTTTAAACATTTAAAATAATTTTCCTCCTATACTCATAAATATTTAAATCATATACTTCATCCTGGTACATAATCATTTATGCAGAAGCCTATCCCCCAAATTTGATCAATCTTTTACATAAGGTAGACATGTTGCCTGGGTATGTTTTAACCCAGATACACCTGAAGAGAATTGGCATCATTGAGTAACTTTAATGATTCCTCCTCCCACAGGCCCATTTTCCTTCATTAGCAGGGCATCAAAGAATGTCATTTTCTATATAAAATACCAGGTATATCTGGATAAGTGTATGGATAAGTCTCACGTGAAACTTATACTTCAACCATGTATGCACTTATTTAGGTAGCTTCACATAACTTTCATATTTGATGTTACTGTATAGGAAACCTGTGTATTAACACTACCTTTCAGTTTCTCATTTTATCTAATGTTCTCTTTGGTTCTCCTGATGTTCACTTTTTAATCATCATCTAGTTCAACACTTGAATTCTGATTCAATTGCAAATTAATGTTCATTTCCTTCATACTTTTCTTCCTTAAATGTCTCCTTATTTGGCTTATGTAAAACATGGGTATTTGTACAATCACACTCATAGAACCCTGATTGGGTCTGAGAATTAAATCTGGTTCTGAAACTTACCATTAAGTTTTAGAAACAGGCTGAATTTTAAGAAACTTAAAAGAACAAAACATATTGCTTATGACAGGTATAAATACAGTTTCATGTGGATTTAAATTGGCTTAGAAATAGGTCTGTACTCACTGAACAGATCAACAAAGGGAGACCTCATCCAGGCATTAAAACTCAGGGAATCGAACATGAAAAGTATGGTGGCTTTATTCATGGTAGCAGCTGAATGAGAGGAAACCAATCTGGTTGCAAAAACCCCATTAGGAATGATTATATAATTGCTTCATTTGTAGGGTATTGAAGGCACGGTATGCAAAGGCGATCACGTAGTTCCTGCCCTTCCTATGAATAGCTAAAAAAAAAAAGGGGGGGGGTGAGATGTCTTCATGGGTAAAACAAAAAAACAAGCAACTTAACTATGAATCACCAGCCAGTACGGAAAGATGCTTCAACAAAAATATATACCTTCATGAGAGGTAGGCCTAACTTATACGAACGGTCGATCTTGACACTGGACTTCATGATGGGCAAAAGTGGCAACCTAAAAACGCATACGACCCTACCAGAACCTTGAACCTAAGCCTGCTATACCGAACATGGAAAAATACTCACCATCCTTCATCTGGATGCGAAAATGCAAGATATCCCCAGGTAAAGGCTTAAACTTGGAGATTCATACAACCATCCACCAGGTCTATGTCAAATGCAGGCAGGAACACAAAACCTATTTTAATGCAAGTTCGGATCCGTGATTCAATAGAAACCCCGGAGGACCAGTGACTTCAGAAGGGATGAGAGCAGCCATGATCACGCATAGAGGCTTCTGTGGAGCTCACAAACCGCATTTTCAGCACCCGCTTCATTTTCCGCCTGCCGAGGTGTGCGTTGAGATACGAAGAACTCGGAAGCAGTTCCGCGGTGCAAAAACTATGTAACAGGCACCTCTACCTCTTGAGCTCCAAGTGTCAGGGTTGACAAACCTCAACACTGCATTCCTATTCTAGGTGCAGGATAACCTAATGTAATTCTCACCACTTCAGCAATTATTGAATTCAAACAAAGGAGTTCATAGTCAATTCCTGATCATAGTAGTACTCCGTCTTACCAATCTCAGGGTATGGGCTGAATGGCTTGAAAATCAGCTAAAAGAGTGGTAGATGAGAAGAGAAGCCATATTAACGACAGCTGAATGTGCAAATTAACTGATATCGACGAAAATTACAAAAACAGTATGGTTGCAGAGATTGTGGCAAACGTCTCACCAATTTACCTCTATGGCAAGACATGATGAATTGGTGCCAGCTGACAAAAACCTAATACTGGTTAGCACAGACCTTTCAGTGACACTCACATTGTCTCCCACTCCCTTTCAACTGGAGCCCTACCTGTTTCTTTTCCAGACAAACTACATTTCCTCATACATACACTGTTTCCAGATTGAATTCGTACCCCCTATAGGAGCGCTTCCATCGATTGCAGGTAGTGACATCTTACACATGGGTGGGTTTGTCTATCGCCTGCTGAGACGAAACCTCTGGAAATGTGTGTTTCCTTCATTCACCACTAAAGGGGTATGGTACGAATTCAATCCGAAAACAGTGTATACCAAATTTCCCCCCCATTTGTTTTTGACCTAGCAAGTATTATCTGTCATTTCCTTTACAAGACTTATTGAATGAATTAAATTACAATGGAGTTTCTTTGCTACAGTCATGAAACTTCCAACTGGAAGGAAATCAAGGAACAGTTCCAGGGAAAGCATGGCTTTATAGCAACAACAAAACATAGGAATGGGGAATCAGGATGCTGATTGCGAATGTCGGGCTTTCTTTCGTGCGAGAGTGACAGTATCTTGCTTTTGGCGTTTCTCCTTCCTCCGTAGTCGCTTATAGAGCCAGCGATGCTTCTTACGCATCATCATCTCCCTCATGCGGAAATGCTCTTTTTCAATCTGTTCCCTCTCCTTCTTCATGTCAGGAGCCACATACTTCCCAGCCTTCACTGCCATCTTTGATTCCTGATGAAAGGAAATCCACCATCTTCATTCTCACACAAAAAGAAACGGTATATACAAGTATACTGAGCATTTTTTTAATACCTCAATCCTGCTATCTTCTTTTTCCCCTTCTGCTTCTTCCCCAGATGATTCTTCTTCTTCTCCAGATGAATCTTCTTTGTTCCTTTCTTCTTCATCAACCTCATCTTCTTCCTCCTGATCACTTTCCATATCTTCTACCTTCTCTTCATTCTCCTCCTCCTGAGTTGTTTCTTGCACTACAGGTTGAAAGGCAGAAACAGGATTGCTTTCATCATTACTTTGGCAAATAAGACAAGACCAAAAGAAGCAATTACATGTATCAGTAGATAGTCCTGCATCATCTAGTGGCAGATCTTGGGTTGTATATTCCTCCGGAACAAAAGGAGAGAGATGGGGTGGGAGAACAGCTCCAGGGAAGTAGGATGATACAGGAAGGAGTTCTTTTGCATTCACACTGTCGTACACCCATTGTGGTTGAATGTAGTACCTGAATAAACAAATCAAATTGAGAGTTTATGGCCGCAAAGGTTTCCAGTATAACTAATGAAGTAGAGTAAAAACAATGTCTTCCAGCAGCAGTTGACATTCTATTGATACTGGCTGATTAATTGATCTGTTTGTTATAAATCTAGACATTAAGCAGGAATTGAAATTTCAATTCAATTTCCACATGGCAGAAATTGAAAGCTTTCTTGGAGACAGGATAATCCCCAAAGGCCTATGCCACCTAGGTCTCCTGATCTAACTCCACCAGATTTTCCTGTGGGGCCTACTAAAGGGAAAGGTGTACAAGAATAAACCTTGCACCATCGATGACCTTAAGGCTAACATTACCCAGGAGATTGCAGCCATTCCAGAAGACATGCTACAATGAACATTCGATAATATGGAACGGATACAATTATGTTTAGAACCCCAGGGAGACCATATTCAGCATTTGATGTAATTGTAATCAATTTGTAATGGAATGAGGTCTGTTTTAACCAAATTTTATGGAAATCAGTTGGTAAATAAAGAAAATATGGCTGAAGTGTACAGTACTCAGTTTTTTAACTTCTGGATTTTTATCTTCATCCAAAGGAGAAAGTCCCATGCACATTCCTTCACATCATGGTTGCCAAAGTGCATCTCTGTGATTATTTATATTAACTTACTAGCTATGGTTGCACCTTCGATGCTCCATTACCTTGGATAGTGATTAATTCATTTATTCTTTGCGAAATGGCAAACACATATTTAAAGTACATCCACATTGAAATATGTGACATACGGGGATGAAAGTCTTGATTTTTATCAAAATCATTACTTCTACGATTTCTAGTGTGCCTAACTTGAAATCTTTTCATGTGTCCCTTTTTGTAAGGGTGGAGAATATATTTTGAAATATCAATACTTCCCTCCTATAATCTACATTAAGGGGACAGATTTCAAAAGTAGAATTTTTCATCAAACAGATACTTCTGAGGGAAGTTTAAATTTTCTGACTCTGTTTTATTGGATAAAAAAAAATTCAGGAAAATGGGACTTAAAAAAAAAAGGTGCCCTGATAGGTTTTAACGAACATTTTCTTTCTTCTGAAATGTAGACCCAGGGAACTCCATGCCACCCAGTTTCAACCTTATATGTTCCCCCTTTTTTGCTGGCAGAAAAAAATGTATTTGGAAAAGCGACCCATCCAAAAGCTGTGCTTTGAGGAGACGCACAACAAAAGTTGAATTTTTCCTTAAATCAACATCATGTCCATTATGTGTGCACCATTTGCTACTTTTCTATTTCTGCCCAATTCGCTAGTATACGAAAAATTATTTGAAAACATAATGTCCCCAAAAAATATTTTGGAAATTTGACATTTTTCCTGAGCTCAATGCATCAGCAGTCACGTTCTTGCCAAGTTTCAGCTTTCCATGTGTCTCCATTTGATTGAAGCAAAGAGGACTATTTGAAAATATGTTCCCTGAAAAGGTGTGCCCCTATGGCATGTATCACCAAAGTATAATTTTTCCTGGACTCAGCATACGAATAGCTACTTATATGTCAGTCCGTCAGCTACTCATGATCACCTATATATAACAAAATTAGAATTTTTTCTTTACTCAGCTATACATCAGTTACTTCTTTGCCAAGTTTAAACTTTCTAGTGCCCTCTGTTTTGCTGGATCAGAAAATTTTGGAAAATACACCTTTTTGCAAAATATGTGCCCTGAGGCGTTTTAACCAAAAGTACCATTTTTCCCCAAAATCAATCCTCAGAGAACTACATGCCCACAAAGTTTCAGCCTTATAGGTTTCCCCTTTTCGCTGGTGAAAAAACATGTTTGGAAAAGCCAACCCACCCAAAATCTATGCCTGGAGGGAATGTACCATGAAAGCTGAATACTCCCTCAACTCAATAATATCATGTCACTTATATATGTGCCAAGTTTCACCTTTCCATTTCTGTCCACTTCACCACAACTAAATTTCTTTTTTAAACATTGCCCCTCGAAAAAATTCCCCCAGGGGATGAATCGAGACTTAACATTTTTCTTTAACTCCTTGTCTCAGTAGTCACATTCATGCAAAGTTTCAGCTTTCCATGTTCATCAGTTTAACTGATGCAAAAAAATTATTTGAAAACATCTCTCTTTGAAATTTGTGCCCCCAGGGCATTTACTTCCAAAGTCTGAATTTTTCTGCACACAGCATCCCAATAGGTAGTTATGTACCAAGTTTCATCTTTCCACACTAAATACGCCAGGACAAAAAAAATTACTTGAAAGCGCTGGCCCCCAAAAATGTGCCCCCAGGGAAGGGATTTAAAATTTGACATTTTCCCTGAACTCATCGTCTTAGTAGGCACATCCATGCCAAGTTTCAGCTTTCAGTTATCCATCTTGCCCAAGCAAAAATATTGTTACGGAGGGGGAATGAGTAACGGGACTTGGAAGGCATGAGAGGCCAAAAGAAAGCCAAGGAATGGCCAGGAATTGAACCCAGGCCTCCTGATTGCCGGTCAGGTGTGCTACCACTATACCACCAAACCCGAGACATCCAGTCGAGCCTCTCGATGCCATCCTCATCCATCACAATATACATTTAAAAACTTCTCCCCCCAAAATGTGTACCTCCAGGGCATGTACCTCCAAAATCGGATTTTTTCTGAACTCTGCATCCCAATAGGTACTTGTGTACCCAGATTCAGATTTCTAACCTTTCTAGAACATGGTTAGAATTAGTGTCAGTCAGTCATGATCATCTATATATATTAGATAAATGAAAACTTATGGAGAAACAGGATGTTTATGAACTTGGGAGAGGGTGACTCAGGATCCAAGTGTAATGCATGCTCCCCACCATTACAGGGATGATGTATTTTGATCACACTGCTCTCATCCCAGGAGTCATGCCACTTCATGCACCAGAGAAACTGGACTCCAAATGTTATTTTGTGGGGATGTGTGGCTCCTTAACCTTTACAGTCCTGGTAGGACTCTGAGCCCTAATTAAAGAATTTCACTTCATGTTTTCAAGTTGACAGTAGTCCACAGTAATACAAAGCTGCTATATTTCCTCTGGCACTTCAAAAATGGTGTCATCATTTATATTTACAAGGGCCACTCAATAAGTTATCTACCTGAATATGAAAGGGATGAGCAACAGGCCTGTGCCTGCTATGACATGTCTCTACAGGTCTCGTGAGTACCCCACCACTATACCAGCTCAGTGGCTCAAGTCTGTTCAAAGTGGTAGTGAATTAGATTTCTTTTCCTGAGTCTGTGTCATGGATTTGACGAAAGTTGAACATCGTTCAGTGATCAAATTCCTCTCCAAAGAAGGGAAAGCACCTAAGGAGATTCATGAACGTATGTCTAACGTTTATGGTGTGTCTTCGCCTTCTTATTACCAAGTTAAATTTTGGAGCAAGCAGTTTAAGTGGGGAAGAGAGTCAATTGAAGATGACCCAAGGTCGGGGCGCCCTGTGGAGGCTTCTGATCAGGAAATGTGTGACAAATTGGAGAGTGCGATGCTGGAGGATCGTCGCACCAAAGTCTCTGTTTTAGCTCATGAACTGGGGATTTCAGAGGGCACAGTGATTCACATTATTCATGAAAAATTACACATGTCCAAAGTCAGTTCTCGAATGCTGACTCTAGCTCAGAAGAACAGATCTGACATCTGCAAGGAAAACTTGGAGTTTTCTAAACAAATCGGGGAAACTTTTTTCCCAGAAGTTAGGGATGTCAACTGGTGTTAGTTAGGGATGTCGACTGGGATGTTAACTGGTGATGAAACTTGAGTTCATCACTGGGATCCTGAAACCAAGCAGGAGTTCATGCAGTGGAAGCACAAGGGATCGCCAACGCCTTGCAAATTTCGTGTTCAGAAATCTGCAGGAAAGATTATGGCCACTGTGTTTTAGGACAGCGAGGGACTACTGCTGCTTGAGTTCATCCCAGACAAGTATATGATCACTGGCGATTCCTATGCTACTACCATGAAAAATTTACATGATGCCATCGAGGAAAAACGCAGAGGAAAGTTGTCAAGGGGGGTCCTTCTTCTCCATGACAATGCGCCAGTCCACAAATCATGGAAAGTTCAGGCAGCAGTGAGGGAGTGTGGCTTTCAGGAGCTCAACCATCCTCCCACCAGCCTGGATCTGGCTCCTAGTGACTATTTTCTGTTCAGACACTTGAAAAAATTTTTTCAGGGAAAAAGATTTTCACGCAATGAAGAGCTGAAAGTTGCCGTTCCTGATTGGTTTGATGGACAAGAAGTTGACTTCTATTCCCAGGGAATAAAATCCTTGCAATCAAAGTGGAATAAGTGTGTTGAGTTAAAAGGTGACTACATTGAAAAATAAAGTCTTATTTTTCCCCTCAGATGTTTCTTTCTTATTCAGGTAGATAACTTATTGAGTGACCCTCGTATTTCGGCTAAGACATTTCTTTCCCAGCCAATTTTTTTTTATTGCTATCGCAAGCTAGATAATGGAAAGCAGTGCATACATACTGGGAAACATAAAACAGGGATATGTGTCCTAGTCAAACTTATTAAATAACATTATTTTTCTCAATTTAATTTCTTCAGATAATTAAAATATATATTTAAGTTTACTTGAGGAAACCATTTCAAAAGCACTTTAATGCTACATAAGCCTTGTTGAAGTTCAAAAAGTATATGATATATTTTTTCTATGCCTAGAACATAATTCAAGACAGAAAGGATTAAGCAATGAAAGTATGAAACACTGGAAAGGTGTACACCTTCCTTGTGAATCTTCCCTATGCACACTTTCTACTCTGCCTGGCTTCAAGAGAGGGGGAGAGACACTTGTAGTCAGCCTGTTTCAGTGAGGGTAAAACATAAGGAAAATTGGTGATCTGGCATTAGGATATCTTGATGATACCAAAATTCATTGATTCTTGCAATAAACTAATATCAAATAACTGGCATTGTTACATCCTTAACTTTCACACTTTGTCTTGTGAATGCCTCCATACTTTCTGATTCCTTGTCTGCCAAGTCCTCAGCCTCCAATGTTGCTTCTCACACACTCCCTTATGCCTCTGTTTGTTACATCTCAAAATGAGACTGGCATACCTACAGGAATATGAAATGGTACAAGTACCACTGGGCCTGGAGGAGAAGTATAGAGGCAGCACAAAATACTTTTGAATAGATATAATCCCATTTCAGAATGAAGCCTGCCCAGCTTTGTGCTGAGGAGAAGGCACAGGCAGTTGTAGGAATTTAGAATATGCTGGCACTAAAAGGGAAAGGATACAGTTAAGCAGCAAGGATTGACTAGCTGCAGACATAAAAAAAAAAAAAACTTCAGGAAATGGGATGTATTTGTTTACTCTTTCCAGCCCAATGAGTGAATATGGAATCATTGATTTTATTAGTGTGTAGCCACTCTCATTTCACTCATTGTCCCCACTTGGACCCATGTATGGTTTGCCACAGATGTCAACTTATGGGCTGGCAGCACTTAATTACAATTTACAATAAAATGGTGACAACAGGCATAATGAAAATGGCCTCACACTTATAGAATTATTGGGTCCATATGGACCCACTGGGCCAGAAAGGGTCAAAATGAACTACCTTTTGGAACAAAATTTGTAACATCCCCTGGTTCTTTGGAAAATGGGGTTTCACTGTACATGGAGAATCTGAATTGATCAAAGGACATTCAGCAAGAGAAAAAGGAGAGGAGTGTAGAGTGCACCATATCATGAGGTATTGGTTCAATATCTGCTGCAAATACTAGAAATATTTACAAAAAGAAGTGTTTTTATTATTAAAGCACTAAACCCACTCTCAACATTATCCAAATCCTAGAATTTTATCAGACTGTTCTGTACTAATTGGGGAGCTATCTCCAAATGTCCATACGAGTCTGAATTCACTTGAGACTGACTTACCGGGACATGTGCTGCTTGGTGATGGTGGGTCGATCCACAATCTGATGGGTGATGGAGGGATCATCCTCTTGAAAGGTAGCACCTAAATGCACTGTGGCATCCCACGAAACCATCCCACCGAATGAACGGATGACAAAAACAAGGGACTCTCGAGGCACCTCACGATTCAAGAAGAATCGTAATCCCCTGAAAAGGTTCTGAAGCTTTTTTGTTTTCTCCAACTCTCGCTTGGCTTCCTCCAGTCTGTCTGGGTCTTCCTCCTATATGGGATGATACCTCTATCAGATTGCTCACACCAGTCATCCTGACATCATTCCATTATGAAGGAGTCACCATACTGTGGGGAATTCATCCAGACAGGCATCATCCACTTCTGCAGGTGCAGTGCGACTCAATGGCTGACTCAAGCAGCTGATCAGGTCACTTGGGTTCTCTTCTGTATCCTCTACACCTGTTAACACCATGGCATCCTCAATAATTATCATGTCTTTGTCTTCAAAAATGAATTGAGAAAAGGGACAGACCAACAACACCCTGGAGTTTAGGTGGGTAGTGGATGTTCAGTAGGTGATACAAGCGAAAATTCACACATGACATAAGGGTCATGTAGAACTCTGTGAATGTGTTCATCACTTTGAAATCCACATTGTGTCCATGGGGATGCTGGAAAAAAGAAAAACTTGAATTTCTATGGAAACTGCCAATCATTTGTGCTATTTATTCAAATATAATATGGAGGCCAAAATCTATGACAGTCACTACAAAAGTAATGAGACAAAATTTATTACAACAAAAAGTATAACACATATGCACATGTACTTTTCCACGTTATCTCCCCAACATTCATGCACTCTTCCCGTCACTATACAAGCTTCAGTATCCCTTACACACCATCTTTTTCTTCTCATCTGTTCATGGTGATTTCAAAGCCTTTATTACTGCTGAGCTAGATACCATTAAACCCATCTTTTATAGTGCCAAAAAAAAAAATAATTGCAGAGAGATAAGTCTGAACTGCAAGGTGGATGTTGCAGTATCTCCCACTAGTGATCCACAATTAAGTCCTAAGTCTTTCATGTGGTATGCAGGGATTGCACTAATTTTCTTGCCTTAAGGGTCCCCAGGACTCTCAAAGTCTTATAAGAAAGGGTCACTCAGAAAAGTTTGGGGGTCCCATTGCAATTGAAGCATTATGAAATCTTGCAAAGTTGCACAAAAAGTTCCATGTCCCATAATGTTTTTTCTTTGATTTAACATAACCAAAAGCATGATATTCAATCCAGCAGCCATAGGACTACTTCCAACATTTTCTCTTAGACAAATATCCCTGGGACATCTTCAAATTTCCAAATGACAAACTTCTGCATATTACAACTGCCAGATGCTCAGTAGGGATTTTTCACTTTTCATTTTTCAAAAGCATCCATCTTCCAAGGAATGACACATTACTCTCATCAGCTGTTCCATGCATCTCATAACTAGCCTTCTTACTGACTCAAAAAAAAAATGCTAGGCTTTCTTTCATTTTCTTCTGGATTTAAGACACTAGAATGGGAAGATAAGCTCCACCAAATACAGAACCATCTGTTCAGCAGGCCTAGCATAGATAACAGGTGAAAACATATTGCACCTGTTTATAATAAGCTTTAAAACTATGAGTAAACACCCACAACCAGTCATAAATGCGAATAAAATGACAGATTGATGATAAGTGCACTTATGCAGGCAAACCTTGTAGGAAAATTGATGGGGAACAACCCAAGTGATGATCTGCCCAAGGATCTCTGCTTGATAGTAGATGCCCTTGATGGACACAAATACCTTGCGAAGGGCATGGGCCTCAATCACATAGTGCATGAACTCTACTGTGAGTTTTCGGCACATCATGATCACCCTCTCCTTCTCAGGGATGCTCCGAAGTGTTGGGAAGGTTGCATACATGAAACACATGCAGAGAGCATCATCCAGATCTCGCAAGGCATCAATGAAAGTTGGATACCTGAAATAATTTAGGTCATAAGTAACACCTGTAAGTCATATGAAGAAAACTAAAAAAACATGAAGCTGGAGTCTGATTACCGCTCCTTCACAATGTGATGAAGGGTAAAGGCAGGCTTGTTCTCCTCAAGTCTCTTGATAGCTCCTACATCCTTCCTTGCACGTGCTCGGGTCAATTTTCGGTAATAGACCTGGGATGATATGATGGCACATTATAGTTGAAAATAGAAAATGATAAGAAAGGAGAAGGAAGTGAAAAAAAAAACAAAACAGAACAGAACCTTCAAAGCACGGAGTTTCCAAACTATGGGTTCATGAAGCAGGAATTTGACATCCTTGCGGTAGTAGAGTGTTCTGGGGACGATTGAGCCTCTTTGAGCCTTCTTTCGATTGTTGGGTTCTCGAGGATATACCCCCTTAAGAATGCAGAGATCTCGGAACTGATTCAGAGAGACCTGAAGGCGTCTTAGAGCTTGACTCCGAGACCAGTAGCGAATTGCCTCTCCTGCACGTCCCTGGAGAAGGGAAAAGAGGAACCACTTATGTAACAGCAACACAGTGATTCAGACCATTTGCAAATAGGAATATATGGGCCTACATTCAGCTAAAAGTGACTACTAGGACTGGATTTTCATGCTGTATCACGTTTGCCAATTCTTCAGGCAAGGGAATGAAATGAAAAAACCATGTTATAGCATATATATATTTGGTCCCTTTGAATTTCAAGTTGTTGCATTTTCATGTTCTATTGCTTCATTCCTTTGCATCAGAAATCCTAGTGACTAGGGGTGGATTGCATGAAACTGACTTTAGCCTAATGGAGCTTTAAACCTCCTTTATTACAGCTAAAGGAGGTTTAAAGCTCCATTAGGCTATAGTCAGTTTCATGCAATCCACCCTAGGTATCTGTGCTCACTTTCTAATATGAAAATGAAACATTGGAAGAGTGTCTATTTAGAACAATGAGAGGTTCTTGAGTCTGGCTGAAGTCTACCTTTCAGCCAATTTGTTCCATGCCTATGACAATGGAGTCAGTACTCTTTCCTAAGTAACACAAATAGCAAAGCAAGTATACTTACTAAAGATGTCTAGAGGCAATGTCATTCATCAATAGACCTATATACTGGGTGTTCCAAAATATATGAGTGAAACTAATGCTCATTTTGAGCTCCTTAGAATGGGCCAATTAAGTTGAAACTTGGCTGGCTCAGCAAAAACTTTTGAGTTTTTTGGGGTTAATTTTTATGTTATTGGGTTTAGCCAAACAATGACATCAAGTATTTGATCCCATAAATTTTGTTTCCAACAATGTAAGTTTTTAGCTTCTGCTTATGAGATGTTCAATGAAAGCCATTAAAAAGTTTACTGTGATTAATTATCCCATCCTTGGGTCATCTCCTGTCAAAATATTCCAAGCTTGAAGTCACCAAATCAATTTTCAAACTTTCAATCAATGCTAATCACATGAAGTTTGAGAGAATTTTGGAAAAAAAAATACCAAGACCCTTGGGGAGACTTGTATGATGCTGCCAATCAAGTTACTCCTTTCCCTAATCTGGATGCTCTAAAACAAGCTATTCTCATTGCCTTCCAGAAAATTCAAAAAGATCAAAACTTCCGAAACATGTTGAGGAGAGTGTTTTTCACCATCCAAGAACAAATGCATGAGTTTGTAACCCTTCATGAGCAGCATGTTGAAGCTCATCAGCATTAATCTCATTGTTGAAAAAAAGTGCATAAATAAAAAAACTAAATCTTATTTTCAAAACCACTATTGCCTTTTTTTCTCCAATATTTTACAATTTCACACAAAAAATGCTATATAGAACTTGGAAACTGAGACCAAGGACACCATCCTGTCCCTTCAAGACCAGTGCATCAAAACTTGTAATCATGAAGCATGTTCTGAAGCTGAATGCCAAAGGCCATTGTTGAAGCTGTCATGATCTGTCTGAAACAGTTTCCTATCTTCTGAAAGCCTGTTCTCTACTCATCCCAAAAGAGTACTTGAACAGGTGCAACCAGGTGTGCAGAAATGTTCACTGGTGTATCTATCTACAAGCATGCTGGCATGGATGTCTCAGAAAAATGGGACACCAACCAAAACCTATAGTAGAGACCTCTTCCAACAAAGGTACTCTGGGACATGCCCATAGTTACAGACCACAACATTGTCTGCAACAGGCCCAATAATCATGATCTACAAGAGAACACTGCCCTGCTTGTCAATGTAAGCATACTAGCTGACATCAACCTCAAAGTTAAGACCAGGGAGAAGGTTGACAAATACTCCAAATGTGAAGTGGAAGTCAAGCAGCTGTGTGATATGAAGACCACCATATTTCACATCATCATTAGCAAAACTGGCATGGTCCTGAATAATGAGATGGGTCAAGTCCAGTAGCTGAGATGTCCTATATCCCTAGACGTCCTTCAGTACACTGCTAACATCCTTCGCCGTATTTGATGGAACTAGAGCAGTATGAAGACTGGGATGTGGCTCATCCCCCATCATATTCTTTATGCCGGCATATGCCATTAGAGTGAAATAATAATTATAAAGTCTGTATTCATCTGAGACGGCAGATAAACGAGTACACACGGAAATAGAGCAAGGTAAGCCTGTTAGTCAGAAGGGAGAGATTGAATTAATCTTCTTTACACATTGGCTTCCCCAGCGCTTTACCACAACCCGCTCGATCTTTCATAAACACTAGTCTAGTTTTAAAATAAGACTGGAAAATAATTATTTTGGCGTTCCACACTGTTTCTCTTACCTTTTTCAGTATTTTTCCCATATCTGCGAAGAATGCCTGCACGAAGGGTCTCAGAAAAGTAGGGGAATTTCGGAGAAGCTGGCAAGCAGCAACGCGCTCTACCTGCGTTTGCTGAGAAGATTGCAGGCAGACATCATGGCTTACAGTGTTGCCATTGCTTCAGAAGAACAAATACGTGGCATGCAACTCTCTTTGGAGAGCTTAATTTGTTTCCTTGTGGAACACCCAATGACTCGTTATTCTTTCATCCTCTACCTGGTTCTGAAATAATGCATTTGCATGCATTTTCACATTTACTTATCATGATGAATTCAGGATTTTAAGTTATCTTAAGTCACACAGACTTCAAATTCTGACACTTTAACCCTTTGCGATCCGCTGTCGGACATGGTCCGACAATCTCCATAGCGTTACAAATAAAATGGATCGCAAATAGCTAATCCAATCTCCGTCTCCAAGCTTGCCACAGGAGCAAATTTGAATGATATTTAAAACTTATTATGGTTTAAGAGAAGTCAATTCTGGAATGTCACAAAAAATGGTCCATTGAAGAGTGTGGTTGGAATGGGGTCCACAGGCGGGGGTGGAATTATGTCGGTCTTGGGTCCGCATGCGCATTTCTTCCTCTCCAACCCAGGCAGGATTGCCAAAAATGAATGAGACGCCGTTCGAGAAGAAGCAAAAAAGAGATACGGGAAGAAACTGGCAAGGTAAAAAAAAGGACCCCAAAGGAAAAAAAGGGAGGAAGGAAGACGGGCGAAAAAAAAGGGCGAGGTTGGCAAGGCAAAGGGACCTGGCTCCACGGGATTCAGGTCACATGTAGGAAAGAATGAGACTCTACAGGGAGAGCATGCGGAAAGTGTGATGTGTCCGGTGAGGAAGATGAAGATTGTGGAATACGCTCGTGGCCCGCGATGATGGCGAAGGCGACGAACGTCGAAGCCTCTCCTCCTCTCATCCACATTCGCGTCGTCGTCCTTGGTCGAAGACAAGTCGGCAAAACCGGTAACTTCTTTCCGTCCGACTTACTTGTTGTTCTTCTCTGGCTTCCCCCGTCTTTTCATTATTATCGCAAGCTGGCGCATCGCACTACTAGAAGGCATAAGGGACGAGGAATCCACCTGAACGGTCGGTTAACATTACTGTCATTGTTGACCAGAATTTGTTCCGGAATTCTGATGGAAAGAAGGATAGAAATACTGTTTTATGGCTTCTCCATCTTCCACTTTCGAGGAAGCTGATGGAGTTAATCCTGTTGAAAGCCTTGATTTTATTTATTCCACATTCTTTTTCACTTTCTAAAATATATTTCTCGTTTGGATAGACAAGGATCACTCTAAATGGAGCCGTTCTGAAAAGGAACTGTCTCTAATCCGGGGGAAAATGCTATTATATGGCTTTATCACATCTCTTTCGTTCCAAATCTTCACGATGTGTCTGTTTTGTAATCAGCCGAGTTACCCGAACGTATCAGGGTTTCACTTATCGATATGCGAAGGGAAGGACGATTAAATGGTCCAGTCCCAGTTCCCTTCTCTGGTTCACCCTCTTTAGAAAGATCTACCGTATCTGCTACTCGGGGATGAATCCGAGACTTCGCGAATTTTCTATAGGATGAAGAATAAAAAAAGAAAGAATCCAGTGGAAAGTTAAAAAGGGGGGGAAGAGACGGTTCGGAGCTGTCGTCCTCCTAAAGGACTTTCTTTGAAGCCCTTCTCGGAGGAATTTCCTTCCACAAAGAAAGAAAAGCTGCACGTCAGATATTCTGCGACGTCCTTTGCCTTCCTTTTCGGCCTTAGACGAGAGAAATGAGTTGCAAGATGTTTCTTCCCTGCGAAGTTCGATGACGGAAGGTTTTCCTTTTCCTACGACAATATGCAAAATGTGGGAAGGCCAGGCTCTACGAGAGACAGACCTTCACTGTACTGGTAGTAGTGCGAGTGAGAAAGGACGAAAGGCGCGTAGAAGTCGTCCTTCGTTTGTCATCAGCAGCTGTTCCTCGAGGGTTAAGCGTCGAAAAGGCTGCTTCAGGAATCCCTCCGTATTGGCACTTGGCATGTCATCGGGATCAAACCTAACGAGAACATAAGTCGAGACTTTCCGAATACGCCGGGGTAGTAGAAGTACATTAAATCCGAATGAAAAGACATCCATCTGACGATGTTCGCAAGTTCCGAGATTCAAAAACTTCTCCAAATATTCAGGTTGTGTAACACCCAGATGCGGTATAATTACGGGCAACACCGCTCGGTCTACTATTGGAATTCGATTTCAAACTTTGTCAATGGGGATATGCAATACTTTCGTTAATCCCAAGGAGACGTCGTCCGGAATGCTTCTATGTCGCAAATGTTGGATGTTCCTTTCTCACGTACGATTCATTCGACTCTTCAGCCCTTGCTTTCAACATGGGAGAATGGAACGGCAAATTTCTTGAACCGAATGGCTTCGTTTCATCACTGACACTTTTTTTTCTGGATTTTTAAGGTGCATAAAATCTTCTTTTCCGCAGAGCGAAAAAATCTTGACGTTTTGAAATGTCGATGAATTCGCATTTGTGTCATTTCTTTCTTTACTTTTTGCCTGTCCGATTCTAATTTGTCCCTGCTCCACAGAAGGAAGTACAAAATTTCATTTTTAATTATTCGTTTCAATGCATTGCATCCCTTTAGTATATATTATTATACGCCTCAATAAAATTTCAATGCCTCTGTAAGTCCGCCGTTTCGGAAGTTAAATTTCCATGAGATTTGTTCCTGGGCGAGAGGGCTGAGGGGTTACACGATCCAGAAGGAGTGAAGAGGCTTCTTCTGATAAAGCATGACATTTGTCTTTCGCTGGATTCCGAATTGCGAATATAACGAAAATAAAATCCCAGCGAAACAAAACAAGCTAGGATTCTCGACTTGCAGTGCTTGACAGATTTCGAGCGATCACTCATTCTCCTGAAGTGTGCAATCCATGAACTCCTCCTCAAACGCAGTTCTCGTTGAAAACCGTCGGTTCCGATCGGGGTTCCGGCCTGCTGCTTTTCCTCTGGGCATCTACTCCAAAGATGGAAGGCCTTCTTTTAGGCTCTCGAAGAGACTCTATCCCGACGCTCGAAGCATAGCCGAGAGGATACCTCAACGACCTCAACGACCCCTTCTTTCGACGTCTCCAGAAGCGGTTCAGTTCACGACTTTCCCATGTTCCATGCCAGGGAAGACGATGGACTTCCACGGATGCTTTTGCATCTTCCAACATCCCTCACGTCCGCGATCGACTCGGAGCGGACAACGAAAAGAGATCCCCATGCAATATTCCCATGGCAGATAATTCATGTCGAACTTCAGGAAAGCTTTAACTGTACCGCCTACTAGCTCTCTGCAAGCTGAATATTACGATGATAGCGAAATCCGTGAAGAATCCATGGCTTCCCAATCAAACTTAACCGAGTTCCATCCTATAGCATTCTAATGAGGCGCCAAGGTTCGAATTTCGAATGCCCAGCAATCGGATGAAGAATTGGAAGTGTTTCCAATCATCAGGGACCCCCACACAACAAATGATAAATGTGAGATCTCACTCCCTTCAGGGTGTGCATGCTTCGTCACTGGGCAGCCCCTTCGCACACTTCACTTAATCGTTTTATTTGCTGTGGAACTTCCTTACAGACAACGAATTCCATTCCATAGCTTTGGAAGGAAACATTTCGTTCGAATTTGAAGTGTAGAGGACGAAATATCGAGGTTGCGTCCTGTCGTAAGCGACACTGAGTATATTGTAGCGTAGAACATGAATGAGCTGCGGGAGGACCTGAAGACTTTAATCGGACTGATCGTGTCGAATTCCGAAAAATCGGCAAGTGCAAATATCAAAGAATCGGACGGACGTACAAACAGACAGGGGTACAGAAACGCACGCTAACGTAGCTTATGAAATATATGTCAGAACTGTATCACTCTCAGAGTGATCCTCTTTTTCGGAGGAAATATGTAAAGCGTAATCTCAGTCCACATGAATGATTCAGACTCGAGATACCTCTCATGCCTTTTATTTAAGGGCAGAGGTGGCCTCCGCGAGTTCGTTCTCAGAGGTAATCAATCGCGATGGAAAGCCAGAGTGCATCGAAAATACAAGCCAAGAACTCGCTTGCGTTCTGCTCTAGTTTTCGTCTCTGGTTGGAGGAATCAGCTCTCAGGTTCCTTTCATTCCATCCGATGATTTGATCTTTCGAATCGATCCTGGTATCCCCTTGTAGTCAGGCTGGCTATTTTCTAGGTTTCATCGAGTATTTGTCTCGAGTTCGAAACCAACCGAGATAGACCTATATTCCCATGAGCAAGATCCCCTCACAACTTTCCCGTCTCCAGAAAGGTGACGTAAATGAAAGATGGAAAAGGGGTAAAGAAGTGAAACCCAAACTGCAGGTAGCATATCTGGGGAGAAAATTCATCCTCCCTAGGGAACTGGGATTGGTGGATGGGGTAGAGGTTACACGGGGTTAAGCGAGGTCGAAGAGGGTTGGAACCGAGATGAGGAAGGGAGGGTGAGATGATGTTTACTCATATTTGTATTCAGGGCTCTCTCGCGGGCTTCCAGCCTCCTGCGCCTCTTGGTGCGCCTTCTACCGTATCGTTGAAGTAACCTAACTCTCTCGCATATTTCGATCGATCGATGAATTTGCCAACCGATCATTCCAGCAGGTCATCGGCATCGCCTGTACCTTTTTTGCTTCGTGTGCGAATCTCCTTGCGACAAAACCGGCCGAATGTCTTTGCACGAGCCGTTCCTGTAGCATTGAAGCCACAGGAAGCTTCTCGTCTGTCAAAATGCCAAAGTAGACTCATCAGTGGGCAACTACAGCCTCTTCGGCGTCACTCTTCTTCCCGGCTCCTGTTTTTCTTCGGTACCCAATACACGGCACGTACGAAAGCTGCGATGATTGCCCCGTTTCCATCATTTCCGCGGTCTGCGTCCTCGTTCGCGATCGACAGGCGTTCCCTCATTCTCTCTCTCTCTCTCTCTCCCCCTCACTCGCCTCCCCTTTTTCCCTTGCTCTTCTCTTCTAGCATGGTTGTCTTTCGGGCTTAGAAAGAATATACCAGACATTCTGATTCCGTCTTGGGATTCTGAATCCATGCTGCGATGCATGGCATAATCTGATAACCCCGATTCTATAGAAAATGCCAAAAATCTCATGTGAAGAGAAAATTTAGTTTTTTATGATCAAAGCTCCTCTTTGACTTGTCATATCGAACCTGCAAGTGTGACTTTTTGAGGCCGGATAGACTGTTCTGATATCTTAAAAAGAGTAGAAAGAGGCGCAGTTTGACCTCCAGCAGCAGTTACAAGACAGATTCTCGTAAATGAGGTATGGCTGGAATGAAATGGAATCTCATCTGATCGGTTCCTGCATTCAGGTTATTCAAGCTCAGGGTCGCGTGCACGTCCGTGTGACTAATTTTGCCGAATCGGTCGTAGCGGTCTGCTGCCGCGGCCGACCCAATCGTCTCGCTTTGCTACCCCCGACTTTTCTCTTGGGGTCACGCGAAAACGGAAATGTGCGGTTCGAAGCTTCCCCGACGCACCGGAGCTGACGGACGGCATCATTCAGAGCGTGAAACGAGTCGCACCACGCATCTTAAGCGATGTCTTCGTCGAGATAGTCCGCCGCTTTCATCGTTAAATCGATCCAATGCCCTATAAAGTGTGAAGTTTATTCGGTAAACCGTACTTTTTAAACGTTTCGATTGCATCGGGCACACAATCGAAGAGTTGAAAGGAAAACCGGCATGTCTGCAAAATTCCATTCCCCAAGCTTCAAGAGGAATATTCAAGTGACCGTCCTCTTAAAAGAGAAAAGTGGTACATGTAGATGGATCAATTTCCCATTCACATGAATCCCAAAATGACTAACTTCAATGAAAGGAAAAAGGATCTATGTGCATGAAACGAACAAAATAGGTTTCTCTGATTTATTTATTTATTTATTTACAGATTGACCAATTTTCTTTTCAGCCATCAGGCATGTCCAAATCTATACTTCCTTCCAAGCACTTACCCGACCTGAATAATTAGGAAGGTGGGCGTGGTCTCTTTCATCAAGCACCTACAAGTCTTCGTTTAATACTGGGAAATCGAGTGGTACGTGCTGGGGTAAGTTACGCAAAAAATGTAAATCCAAATCCCTTCCCCTTCGTTACAAGAGAGAAGACCCGTGCGAGAATAAGATATACGTACCTGATCGTTTCTCTTGGTAGGGGGGAGGGGGAGGGGGGGTTGTGGTGATCGTTGGGCCTTACGTTATTCATCGTGTCACTTCCTCCGTTACACACCTCAAGGATTTCGTGATTCGCTTTCAGTCCGTCCTTGTATGTCCTTCCGGACGACGAGTTTCTTTCGGCCTGCAAGGTTTCTGCCAATGGTCTGCGGTCGTGGAACACGTCTTCACCTCTTGCGTTCTTTGACTTTTACACGATTCCTCGAAACCGAAAAGAGAAATTGCGAAACTCGACGCGTCGCATTATTTCCTGCGGGGTATTAAAACGACGGACTTCGTCCGGCTGCCACAAGGGGGAATTAGGCCCCCAGAATATACCATTCTGATCGTCTCATACCTCTCGGTGATCATGCAAACCCGTGGTGCAATCGCGAGCGAGCCGAAGATACGGGATCGATAGAACCGATGATGTCCGAGGCAGTACCATTTTTTCTGCAGTTTCAAAGCCGAGGTATCCATGGGAACCATAACGCACGAAGAGCCTCTCGTGGGAGACAGGAGAATTTTTGACCCACTTCTTCGCTTCCTTCGCAGGCCCAAGCCAAGTCTGCACGGTGCAGACTTTCCCTCCAGCCCATATGAATTGCAACCTCTCGTTATAAATTGCTTTCAGGTTCTGCAGGAAGTCTCTTCTCAAAGAGACTTCTTCATGCAACAGCTCATCTATCTGCATGTGTCGGTGAATCGGGGCGAAGCATTCGGCAACGTCTGCGGGAGTGCCGGTGCTTCGAAGTCACCAAGTCTTTAACGCGTCCGACATATATTGGGAACTTGACAGTTTTGGAGACGTTTCATCCGATAACGAATGCATTTATAAAATGAATGATGGAATTTGGAAGCTGTGAGAAGAGCCACGGAGGAGGAAACTGCGTTGGAATACGAGATTGTGACACTCCATTTACCGACTGTAACTTCACGCACACGTTGTTGAGTCCCTGGCTTTTTTCTCCTCATCCCCTCTTTCGTTCATGATCATTTACGCTTTTTTCCATCTATTTCTAGGTAGTTAGAAACTCGCATTCCCCACTTTTCCCCTTTTTTCACAACTGTAAGTACAGTATATACAGTAAATGTGGTTGAAAACCGCATAGCGCGGTTGAAAATCGGGGTTCCGGGCAACTTTCAGCACTCAGAAGACGATATTCAGTAGGCTCTGCGTACGTGGGGATCATTTTGGCATCCTGTATCCGGGTTATGAGGTTACTTCTAAGATTTCGTCGCTTGAAAGAAGGAAAATGGAAAAACAGCGACCGAAATTCTCGCTGGAAATTGAATTACGGCACGTACGACAAGAATATGCAATCAGGGTCAATTTTCAACCAGATGAACACAAGAATGAACCAGTAGCAAAACAACAGGCCTCATGTGTCAGCACGTCTTCATGGATGCTCTCACATTTGGTACGCGTGAGAACAGGCTAACCATCGTCAGCGACACCTTGATCGTAATCTTAGGAATGGACTTTAATGACGGCATGATTTCAACAGTAGATTGGGTTTTGAGAAGTTCTCGACTTTCTCCGGGGTCTTTTAGGCTTCCCTTCGGTGGAAAATGAAAATCCATTTCCTTCCCCTCGAAAGAACGTCCCACGACAGCCTAAAATGTAAACTTGCAATCCACCCTGTGGAGGAAAATATTGTAACAGTGCTCTCTATTTTCATACGTTATGGGCATTACCAGGATTTCGTGATAAACGTGTTTGTCAACAAACTTGACATTCCTCCGATGAAGATGAGATCCCATTCTCCCTGTCTCCCTGTCTTCCTGTCTCCCTGTCTCCCTGTCTCCCTGTATCCCTATATCCCTGTCTCCCTATTCCCTTCGCATCGGAGAAGAATGGAGAGGAGGTTTCCTCAAGGACAACTCAACCTCCTCGGCGTCCTTTTTTTGGCTCTACTCTTTTTACCCTGCGCCCTTTCTTTCTCTTGCCAGTGTCTTTTGTCTGTGAAGTTGTCTTTCATAGGCACACACGTCTCCGAATAGAAAGCATACAAAACTGATATAGCAACTAGTGTTTGATAGAGGCAACAGATGTCTTTCGATCCATACTAGCGGAAATATCGGACTGACCGCTAAGGAAAGCAGAAAAAACTAGAGCCCTGAGACTATCTCGGGGTAGACGCTAAGGAGGTCAATGAGTGCATTAACGTGCACTGCCAAGCAAAAAAAAAATACGGGTGTGGGATCACCTTGGACCCGAATGGCGGCGGTGATACGATGTGCCGTGAACAGACAGCTTACACGAGGGGCGCTAAAAAGTCTTCAAAATGAATTTTTTTAATCTCAAAAAGTGGAAACTACGATCATGCTGTACGTGTCATAAGAGATCCCCATCTACTGTATTTATAATCACAAAACACAATTACATGTCTAAATGTTTTGTCTTCTTTCAGGTGCAGGGACATTTTTCTGCTGTCGCAATGAAGTTGGAGTGAACGACAATCGCTAAGTTTTCTGCTAAGCTGGGAGAAACTGAAAAAGACCCAAGATTTACTTAAAGTTGCAGATGCGAACACCATCGCTTGTTGTGTGAATTCACCGTCGCTCCTAACAGTGTACTGGCGTTTTCAACGATTCCAAGATGGTAAACTTCGTGAATGCCGCCCGTCGACCAATTCTTACTGGTCGATGGTCACCCCTTACAAGATTCATCTTCAATGCTGTTCTCAGCTTGAAATCATTTGAACCACCTGTGTACTGTCACAGGCGATAGTGCATCGTTTCCGAGTGCAACTTTAAGCAAGTTCTGAATCTCCTGGCAGTTTCCAAAGGAAAGAGCACGGAGCTTGACATTTGCCATAAACTTCAACTTCTTTGTGACAACAAAGATATGTCACTGCAGCTACATCGAGACTAAACATACAGAGATGTAATAGTTCTTTTGTGACAATCTCACATCCGATTCAGAAAATAACGGACTCTCATATTACACACATAGCACGATTGTCTTGTATCGGGGTAAAAAAATTCATATTCAAAAGTTTTTGGCACCGCCTCGTAAAGACCTTCTAGACCTCGTAGAACATCACAAGGCTGCATCCAACAAATACACAGCGAACTGGGGCAAGTATAATCTGAGTAGGTTATGCTCTGATTTTTGGGCCAGGCAGAGCACGTCTCCGAATACAATTCAGTCCGGATGGACGAGAGCTGCTTCTAATTTCTAATCGCTTTCCTACGATTCTTCAGCCAGCATTCTTCACTTGCAGAATGCCAAAAATTAATTATAAACCATTTTAAAGCGGGTGGAAATAGATAAATATAAAATGCAATTTCGTTCGGACAATGAAGAAAGTCTCCTTAACGCGAAAGATTTTCAAACGGCTTCAGTTGCGTAAATTTTTCATGTTTGAAGAGTGGATCGTAAATGGAATTAAGACTTTTCCTACGGCTTGGAATGTGAGGCATCTTTGCGAGAGGAAGGAGAGGGAACGGCCGTGTGCCAATAACTGTATTTCTCTTAAACTGGGGTAGGAGCCTTGGAATTTCACCTAAAATGAAATCAACAGCGAGGAGATACCGTAGCGAAGCTCGCCTGAGTAATTTCCTTCATTCAGTCACGACGTCGCATCTTCCAATGGCCAATTCGTGAGCGCAATCATGCTTCATCTTTCAACTCGCGTGTTTTCCTGCAGACCCAGACGTGTAAATCATTCTCCGACTCTAATGGGAAAAAAGTTTAAACTGGCACTGGTTTAGGGGTAAATCCTGAAGGCACATTCCACGCTGACAGAGAAGGGCCAATTAAAAGTTTGGACATCTCCACCCCTTTCTTCGGATATGCAGTCCGACCCGAAATAGATGACACACTTGGACCTCTTACGGTATTTCGTAATATCTAGAGATTAATCTGACGAACGGCACAGCAACACTCCTTGCAACGACAGTCTTCTGTTGAGGCAGGCGCGCTTAGAATGTGCCACTTTTATCTTCTAAATTATTCATGACTTGTCGTTATTATGCATAACATTTCGATTTGCGGCCAAAATTGATGTTACCCACAGCGAGGAAGCACACAACTTTTGTAGAGTTAAACAAGTCGTAACTCCCACGCCAAGTATTCCATCTTCCAGCCTTCTTGCTTGGTTTATAAGAGAATTATAAACCTTATCCTATTCATATAATTCGTGGGGATGCAAATCCATGCGCGTGGTTTTTTTCCTTCAACTGATGATCTTGGAGTTTTCGAGATAGAAGTTTCTCGAGTTTTCAGGTCATTTGGAGCTATAGTTGAAAGCGAAGGACAATTTTGGGGCATATCGGCAACGAATTTTTGAAAAACTGTCCAAGTTTCACGGCATGAGAACTTCGATGGTGTGCAATCTATTTTGAGCCGGAGAGTATTTCCTGTCATTCTTCGTCACGTGTGCATAGACCTCGTCTGCGAAGACCTCGAGTCGAGGGCGGGGAAAAGGGGCAAAGGGGTATATGCACGCCCTAAATATTTTCGACATGGGAGGGGGAAGGTACAGTATTTCAAAACTGGGCGTGGCACATAAGAAGGGCATTTATTTTTCAAGTAAAAAAATGAAAAATAGTCTTGGAGACCGACTAGGACGACAGATACTTGGAGTACTACCACGAGTACTGGGGGACTGTAAATAATTCCAGGACCAACGTGATGGACTGATTGAGGTCAAAATCCTCACAGAAGGAGTTAATTGGGCCCCTTGCCCCTTTTCTCTTCTTTTTTTGTTTCCTTCCCTTTTTTTTCCTTCCGTCGGAAGGGAAGAGGAGGAAGAGAAGGAAGCCAAAACGGGAACGGACGCCAAAGCGCGGCGAACTTGCGACAAAAAACACATACGACGAGGAGGTTGAGGAAGGGTTTATTGGTTGTTAGTTGGGGTTGTCGGGAAAGCCCTCCCTTTTCCTCCTCTTTTTCGCCGATATTAACCCTACACTTTGTATCTGTCACTGAAGTTCTTCAAGCATGCAAGACCCTTTTTGCCTCATCTCTCTCGTTCGGGCCACCCTGGGTCGAATTTCCCTACCGCCAGAGTCGCATCCATTTCTTTTTCTCTTTCCTTCCTCTTTGATTCGTTCAAGGACCTCACCGAATCGGTCGACAAATACCTTTTTGGACATTTATTGGGGAATGCCAGCAAAAGGTTGAAAATGGAATCGAGACATCGAGTGGTCGCGCGATGAATTAGCAGGAATCAGACAAGAAACTCCAACCTAATTTACTTAACATCTTTGGTTCTTGTTTATTTGCAGCCATCACGGTGCGCTACCTGACGAAACGCTTCATCGGTGAATACAAGTCCTTTACTGGTGAGTCTCATATCTGCCTCGGAATGAAGGGGATGAGGAAGTATTCGTGAGAGAAATGGAAAGAGGGAGGAGGGAGGGAGGGGGCCTTATGTGAAATTAGAAGTGTTGAAACATTCCTTGATGGCTCTCTGCCAAACAGGTCGGTTAGGACCATTTTTTCCCCTTTAACTTCTTACTTCTCGTTTCACATATAGATCTCCTGTATAGACAAGCGGTGTGTTTGGACGACACTTGGACCCAAGTGGAAATCCTTGACACCTCTACTAACCAGGTCAGTCTCAAGACCGCCTTCTTTCCGGGAAAAGAAATCGGGTCTGGGGAGCGAAAGAATGTTTGGGAATCGTCCAAGGTGATTAGTACCAATCAGCCCCAGTAGTACTTGTCAAGAAGTTCTCCGCTCAAAATTGGCTATTTAACGAGTGTCGCTCATAAGCAGATCATGTTCTTCCGAGATTGTTGACTGATTCTCGCAAGATCATTTTTAATGCTAATGTACTTGATCGTATCTATTTCTTTATTTCTTTAGAACGGAATTCCTGCTGCCAAGCATTTCAAATTTAAAGAATTGCCATCCGCCAAAAGGTCTTGTTACATTTTAAAGGTAAGGAAGGCATTCGTGTAAATAAAAAAGCGAATCAAGTTGTTACGTAAAAGAAAATAGTCACCAGCACACAAACACTGTTGACCATTTTTTCCCCTCCCGAGAGTCAGAGGATCGTGTTGAAAGTTGAAGTTGAACCTTTTTTCTGGAAATGAGACATTGTTGACGTGCAGAAGGACATTCGGAGTTTCCCGTGGCATCACGTGCGATGGGCGGATGCTTGCGTGGTGGTGTATTCCATCGAGTCCCTGCAGAGTTTTCACGAGGCCATCGACATCATCGAGAAGATCAAAGTGTGCAAAGGGAGCTCGAAGGGAAGACCCCTCATGCTTCTCGCCAACAAAAAGGATCTCGAGCATCTCCGACAGGTCTCTTCCCGCCTCCCTTCGATTTAGAGCCTCTTACAGCGGCTGATGTCCCTAAAATCACCGAATGTTTTTTGCTTCTCCTTGTGCGTATCGAAAGGTGCCGGCGAGAGACGGGGAGCTGGCAAGTCTTCACTATGGGTGTCGGTTTTCCGAGGTGTCGGCGGCAGAGGAAGTGTGGGAAGCAAGGACGGCCTACGAAGCCATCATTCGAGATGCCAAGAGCTGGAAATTCAATGAAAATCTGCCAAGTCGGCCGCGAAAGCTGTCCATGATGTCCGTGTCTCGAATGTTGAACAATATGTTGAAAAAGACGTCTTTCCCCCCGTTAATAACCCGGAAGGCGGAAGTGGTCCCAGTCCCGGATCCCGAGGATCGTCCTCCACACCCCAAGGCCTTACTTCAACATCAAAATCAACAACAAAGGACCCGAAAGAAGGGTCTGGTGGGACATAGACCCATGACGCTGACTGCAAGTGACCCAGTGAATGAACTGCCATTCCACAGTCCCTCCTGATGAACACTTCACACTTCCTCGACTTCCTTAATCAATTATTGATTGGCACTGGATCCATTGATTTTTTCTACGGTACTTCTACTTTTGTCATTCCATCTCGATGAGATAATATATTATGAACCCTATTCTTTTTGACAGAGGCAGGTTAACTGTCTCTCTTCCCTCTCATCTATTTCGCATGGGTGAATTCATCAGCCTGTCTGGCTGTCGTCAACGTGTCCTGGAAACCTTGTGGTTCAAAATGTAAATTTTTTTTTATCGCATCTGTGACCGTGCAGCCGGTGCGGTGATATTTCAAGCATGAAAATCAGTCCACGTCAGTTGCCTGTTATTGCAGTTGGATTTTGCCGCCTACAGCAGAAGTTCGCATTGTGGGGAAGCGAAGGGCGATCTTCCAACTCATCAATCTGTTCCGTCCTCTCCTTATTCTTTTCTGTCAAAATATTATTTTCACACGAAATGAGCTACACGTGGAGGAAATTTCATCATTGACTTGAGCTTTGCCTGGCTCGGCTTCTGTCTTTATCGAAGGAATTGTGAAAGTGCCTCCGACTCTCTTCAGGTTCATCGCATGAAGGCCATTTCACATTTAGCGATTCTGATTGTCATGCGTTTGTATGCATGCTCGTTTTGCGTTGGAAAGAGGACGCACGCGAACCGAATGTGTCTGCGCGCAAGCGCCAAGGAGAAAACGCAATGCGAGAACTAAGAAAAAATGAGAGTGTTGGCCTCCGGAGTCGGACGGAACCCAATTCTTGACGTAAGCCTTGGGTTTCCTGCGAATGCATGTCGGCATGCATGCACACACGTTGTCCTTTGCGTTCCATCGTAAGCTGGCGCGTGCAGACACTCAGGTAGCATGTATCACTAAATCGCATGCGTCACATGCAATATGCGCCCTTCACATCCTTCTGGCTTTGTATTATGAAGGGTCCGGGAGGGGGGGGGGTAGTACCCCACCCAGTTTCCTTCTCCTTCTACCCTTCTTCAATCTGATTAATTAGAAATTACTTCCCTTTCTGAAAAAAAAAAAAAAAAAAAAAATCGGGCGAAGGACGCAGTTGCCTGGGTGCAAGCCCCTGATGGAAGTCGTATGGTTGCGTCTTACCTGTCAAAACTTTCATTTTCTCTGCCCTACTGCCCTAATTCCAGCACTGATTTTTTTTCTTCAGGCTGTAGACAGTATCCTATATACCTATATTGTCAACAGTTTCACTTGAGAAGCTTCGTGTCGTTCACATCAGAGAAGGATACACAATGCGGAACAGTTACCGTTAATATTGAGGCGAAGAGTTCCGTTATTTAAGAATTATTAGATGCGATACACTGATACATGGTTCTTCGTCTCCTTCATTCTTTGGCATTGAAGTAAGAATTTCTATAAAAAGCCTTTCAGGTTCGCATAGGCTTTTTAGATTCACCAGTTCATCTTATAGAACTCATAGAGTGAGGAGAGCCAAATGGGATCCAAGCAGATGTAAATGTTGGAACGGGATCTTGGTCTGCGTCTTAGGTCTGCGCACGAACGTAAGTGACCTCCCACGAGGGATCACACTTCCGGCGAGCCTTTGACCTTTCTAGAATGGAAATTTGAATGCAACGTGGGTTTACTTCCGCCGAGATTTGGGAGCAGAGGGATGGGATCCATCTTCGTCTTTCTTATCATCCTTTACACCTGTCGATGCTCCTATGCAATTTTTGGCGTGTTTGCCCCAAAATGGTGGGCCCATATTTTCAATATATTTCTTCTCTTCTTCTCGATATTTCAATGTCTCTTCAAGCATCCCAATTTACTTCAGGTTTCTTCAAATTTCAAAACTCAAATTGTTTTATGCTTTTATTAAGCTACGGTAAAGTTTTTTTATGGAATACCATGAAAATAACACGACTTACCATGGAATATCATGGTAAGTCGTGTCATTTGGAGGCCGATAGTATTGTCCAACAAGATTGCACTTTCCGTTAAGCATGATTATACCCAGATAAAACGTTACGTTGGGCCCACATTGGATAAAGGTGGAAAACGTTGGTGGAACGTGAATGTTGGGGAACGATGTTGGCCCCATGTGGGCCCAACATGGGCATATCCACACGTTGAAAAGAACTGTAGAACTCCTGGTGGGGAACTTCAAAACCTTGAAGTTCTTCGCATGGCCACTAGATGTATGTTTGGGTCTCGCTTTTCGCACAGCACGCAAAAGATAACTTCCCTCTTTCCCTGGAATCGTCCTTCGCAGGATTGTTTAGTACCTCGCCATATGTCTCGCCTAGTCTCATTATAGGAATCAATAAACGCGGACATTTCATTTGTTATCCACTTATTCAAGACAGGTTCATGGAGCTCAGGCCATAAACAAACATATTCCCGATGAGAATCCTTTTGAAAGACAGAAGGATTTCATTCGAAAAGGAGATCGGAAATATAGAGAGACCATCCGTACCTCAATTCCGCCATTTCCTCATCTCCACCACAGAAGGAAGAAATGAAGGACTGATATTGCGGATACTTCATGGAACCGTACGAGGTGGTCCATCCTTTGACACGTACTATATTCAATACAGTCAGGGGAAGACCCACGTCTGTACTGTCCTATGTCTCCTGCCTATCAGGATATACATGTCCTTGGTTGATTGTAGTACATAGTACAGGTTCCGTACTACAGATAGGAATACCTCCACTGGATAGGGACTCTAAGTATATGGTACGAAATGATGATGATATAGAGCAAAAACTAGCTACTTGGGTAAGTGGGTTATACGTTGCTATCCAATTTACTGCCAACGTTGGCCCCACGTTGGCCCAACGGTCCCTTTCACGTGGGGCCTACGTGAACAACCCACGTTGGGCCAACGTATCCTGACGTTGGAGGACCTCGTTGGGCCAACGTGGGCCCCATGAAAAATTGTATCTGGGTATTAACCCAAAGACATTCTAGTGACCGTGTCGAGTGAAAATAGTTCAATTTCCAGTGAGCACTTGATGTGTTTGGATGTTTGCTAAAGCCGTTCTATCAACTCCAGCCTTTCGAGATACGACGAAACCTGGAACTATCGATACTCTTAGGTTTCCCCTCTTGGCCTACGAGTAGGCTATTCCCACTTCATCCATGATTACTGCTTCTATAATATATCGATCTGAAAAGCTCATCTAACTTCTCATACCTCTGGCATTAGTGCAGAACAATCTCGGCCTTAAAGAGGAATTTAAGTTTGAATAAGTGAGAAAGAAGGAGAGGAGACATAAAAGTAACGTAATCCCATGTGTTAAAAGCCGGCGTACAGCCCCGGGCAGGCCCATTCTCCTACACGGGGAGCAAAAGGGGCAATTTGCCCAGGGCCCCATGCCCAGGGGGCCCTCATGCTGGCACCATACCGCCGACTAACATGCTATTTTTCAGTAGCGCAGTGTTCGTTAGCAATGAAGCTGATTGAGCGTGTTTACAGTGGGGAGGGACGAATGGAAAGGGGGCCCTCACGTAAATATTTGCCCCGGGTCCCTCCTTTGGAAAGCAAACACCATCCCCGTCCAGCAGTGACCCACAAGAAACCAGCGCCGCTAGTCGAGACATTCGGCACCGGCATTCTGAAACAACATACCCATCGATCAAAGAGGATTATAAAAAATTTCGCCTTTCACCCTTTCGCTTGACTCGAAGCGAAGTTTCATACGACGATGGATGGAGATGACACAGCAATCCCTTTCGCCTCGGTGTTCAACGTGCAGGAAGCAAGAGCGCTAGCGCCATCTGTTGTGGTGGTGCATGAAGCTTTTCACTCGGCTACAGTTGGCACTCGATCCGCTTCCGCTCCGGCCTGGGGTTGCCGCATGCCTCACTTCAGGCATCCATGCAATCGTGCGGCGCATGCCTCATCTTAAACGTACGTACTTCGTAGTTCCGTGAAGGTATTTGTTGTTCCATGTGGATTGGCTTTTTTTCAGCCGATGTTACTTTTCTACTACTTTCTACTATTCAACTATTTTCATTACTACTAGATTAAATCACAGGTTCTTCAACACATGGGCCTACTCAGGAGCGCGTCAAAGGATTCAATCGCCCCCCCCCCTCCTCCTGATCCCTCCCCTATTGAAAATCATTGACGCGTTACTGGGCCAACGTCAGCGCAATCCTGACTGATAGGAAGAATTACTTAACGCTATAAATGGCGTCTAGGTAGTTTGTTTATTATGGAAAGGCTGGAGTGTTAGTCGAAGAGAAAGAGAGAGAGAAACCAAGAGGCATAATAGCACCATTCACGAGAACTTAAAAAAAAATGTTCTCAGCTCCTTTCAGAGGCTGTAGCCTAATCTCGTCTCGTCTATCCAGGCTGGGCTAACGTCTGAGAGGATTACCATGGAAGCTAACGAGCTACAAGATCTGACTCTGAAACGTTTCTGGGGCACTGACCTTGAAAAGCCTAGTAGTTTGTTCCAGCTGAGAATCATTCAAGAGTGAGGCTACTGCTCTTCACGATCTTGTGCATGCTCTCCCCAACTTTCAAACTTTTCCTCCGCAATGCAAACTTGAAGTTTCAGTACTACTTTAGCATTTAGGATTAGTGGGAAAGTTTGAGGATACTAAACTGAGCGTCTCTCTTGAGCGAAAAGAAATATTTCCAACCACCACAGTACAGCTATTGAACTTAATTCTGCAATCCTTCATTTGCATAGCCTTCGTATCTCACTACTCGTGCGATCCCGCAGCAGAAAAAAAAGGTTCTGATTTTCTGGAGGAATGAAGTAACAAGGCTGGGCTTGACAGCAGGATATAAGGGACACGTGATTTTCTCACATCCATGGAGCCCTTCATCTCGAAGAATGATTATTCCAGCAAGGATGAAACACCGTGTAAAAGAAAACCGCCAGAGGATCTGCTAGGAAAACTTTTAAAAAATTGAGGCAAAACTGTATCTTACTAAGAGCAGAAAAAAAGTAATAGCCCTTTTATTGACTTGAGTGCTAAAGTTGCCCTTGTCTTCCCTTTTGTCTTCAGGTAACTGCT